AAGCCATCCATTGATACGTATTCGTTACCCGTCAGACAGCCTTACTGTGTAGTTAGCAGCCATGAATAATATCGCATAAGACCCGACTTTCTCGCCTCCGGGTGGAAAGAACTTGCTTTTCCCCGCCTCTCGCGGCATATCGACTACCGCAATAGAATTTGACAGCGTGTTTCATGTTCTTCCAACACAACCGACAAGCACAAGGAGGAAGCTCTTGTAGGTTCGGTCACGTCGTTGACATGCTCAGGTCGAGTAAGCACATTGCCGATCTTTACAGTAATGGCGTCGCCGTGGTCGGAGCACAACTCAGCTGGCCTCGCCAAAAGCACGAACAGCTTCTGTGCCCAACCAAGGCAGTGTCTTTACTCGTCATTGCATCGAGTCATCGACGGGTCCACTGGCTACGAGTACCTATGTACTACTGTGTAGATGGCGGACAGACTATGGTACGTACTTCCCATCGCGGCCCTCGGGTGGTGGAGCCCAACAATCACAGCTCCCACTGAGGTCGAGACAAGAGGCTCTCGCTGCACTCGTGCAACTACGTACAGCACTTGGTGAAGGTTTGGATCTCCCGAGGTGCCCGAGAGTCTTTGCCTCACCAGACGCGTATCGACAGCGCTCACGCGTAGTCTGTTGAGTCTGGATCACGCTTACCAGTGTTCTCTGTGTTGGCTCTGTCATGTGAAAATATGATATCCAGGGTCCTCGTGAAAGATGATACTACGTATCTTTTACCCACTGAATATCAGAGCTGTACTGGGTATCTAAACGAGGACGGGAGTACCTGGTCCCACAGACGACCTTGAGGAGTCGTCTGCTCAGGTAGGCATGGCCTTGGAGTTCTCCCCGGAGAGTCGATTGCTTCCATCATTGTTGCATCATTTTTGGCGAGCTTGCTGCCGAAATCAATGCCATCACATAGATCGACGCCTTTTTACGCGTAGTGCCTTCCTAATCTGATGCGGTGCCGACAAGGCAAGTGATATTCGTCGGGATGTGCATTGCAAAAGGAGCACTGTGTCTTTCCTCCACACACACTATGGTGTGAGCAAAGGGTCTCGACTTCGGCCCAATCGGCTAACAGCTGGACCTGCCCATCACCAGGGCTTTTGCCAACCAAGAGCCACCCCGGTCGTTCTAGGTAGAGCAGATCCCAAGGATGGCTTCTGGCAGGAACCAGCTCTTTCTCTCAGGTACCCGAAGCCCTTTCCGCCCCAAAGCTCAAGGGTCTTGAGGGCTTTTCTCACTTCCGCGACCTGGACAAATCCACCGTGGAATAACTAGACATGCCTGCCCCCTACTTAGTACCGACGGCCCCGTTCACAAAGTTGCAGGCGCCGTCCTTCGCGCGCGGCCCTTTATTGTTAGTCTGGTCTCTCTGCCCTGGGCTTATACTGAATCGGCGTAGGCACCTTCGAGAAAGCCATCGCTGATTCGATTCTACTCACGTCCACCACCCTAGACCAGAGGAGAGCGTGGCAAGAGAACGCCTATCTGTGCCCACTGCAGTCACATCAGTCCGCGTATGCCGCCAGAAGCACCGCGAGACCCGCCGAGCTATACCCTAACCGCACTAACACAGGAACGCTCTGAACGTTATGCACGATGTCCTCAGTCTTCGGTTCCGCCCAATTAAACGGTGGCGCCTCATGCAGGTACGAAGGCTGTCGCTCTTCCTTCGCCCATCAGCATCAGATCTTTTCCCTCTGGCTCAGCCAGAAGTTGCAGCTCGTGTTTCAGATTCGAGGCGATGCGGAAAGGCATGTGCCCATCACAGTCGTGCTGCCTCTCCCAAGCCTATTCAACATATCCTATCATGTTGCAACCCTAAGAACTCCCTCACCTTTGTGTTTCATGCTACTTCTCATGGCGACCTTGCAACGCTAGGGCTGCCACGTTCCTGTTGGATCCGAATTCGATTCGCTACCAAATGCTAGTCCTGGTGGCTTAGGTATTCCTCCAAATTTGGATGCCTGGAGAACCCAGAACCCAGCGGTTTGCACGGGACAGCGTCACCCGCTAGACGGGGCCTTTTCGCATTGCGTAGCTCCTAGCAGGGGTAATTTTCAGTCGCCGGTGGTATGCCATCATTTCGCTTCCAATTGTGGGTGGTAGACACCCTCCAAAACTTTGTGCGGAGGGAAGACGTAGTGCTTCCGGCGAAATTGCACTCCACTTCGCTATCTTCTTATCGTCGATGGCGGCGGGCGGAAGAGTATTGACCAGGCGTGTTAGTCTCGCTTGCGTTTTATCAGCTCTGCTATTCCAACTCAGGCAACCTCTTTCGCCTTCCTTCGAGTTCACGAGCGTTCGATTTTCGGTGGCTGCCGTTAGGATCGACTCTTGCCGTGTAGCCTCGAGCTCGGGAATTTTGGCTGAAGTAAAATTTCGCCTCTTGGACAAATGCAGCCACGTCTGTCCAGTAACGATTGAGACGGTTCGGCATCACCTCTTAATGCTCTGCCGTTCGGGCTTCATGTGCAACGCTAGACCCAAGGTTCGGGCTTCGAAGTCTTCCAAAAGTATTCCTCAGCCCGATGGGTCCAGTCTGCTCGAGGCGAGGGTGCGGAAGCCGTCCACCAAAGCGTAGAGTGCTACCCCAATCCTCACTGACGACCTAGAACGTCGTCGTCCGGGCCTCCTCCTTGAGCTCTCGGGCCAAGGGAGCCACATCATCCTCCCTTCGCACGCAATACACTATATTCAGAGGCGTGGACGAGACGCGCCCCAACCCAAAAGTCAAATGGGCACTTTCCGCCCATCTTAATTCGCTGCGATCAGAGGCCTTCATCGTTGGTAGCAGGGTGCTTCGGTACGCAGCACAGCCTGAACATTGATGGGACAATGCCACCACTTGTCCCATACCCAACAAGGGCCGTTATGGCGAGACTTACCAGTTTAGATGGACATCGAGAGCACAGCCAGCCTCGGTCGAAATTTCCCAATCACCCTTGACCATGCGGGTGCCAGATGAGTTGTCTGGCAATAAGCGATAGATTGCAAGGTTTGGAGCTGTCCATTACGGAGTATCTACCAAGCACAAAACAGTAATGGGAGTCGCTGCCGATCTGGGCTCAATTGTTCAGAGAATCTACTCGTACTGGTTCTAGTACACAATCGATAATCTCCCCAAGTGAATAATGTTCGTCAAGACCGACATTATTGCAAGTTGTTGAGTGTTTATCTCAATAGCTGTTTCACTAAGAGTAAGTTCCATAAAGCCTTTGACTCTTACTGTGTACTCGAATCCAGCCTCGGAAGACTGCAGTAACCTGGAAGGACCCCAGTTTTCAAGCAAGACGGTCTGGCCTGGATAAGAGTGGGTTTCGTCTTCTGCGTCAGTGTTGCTGACGTGCCCTTCCGGGTCGATGCTGGACAGCAAGTCGATAAGAGATTGACGTCGACCCAACTGCGCCGGAGAAAGGTGTCAAAGATGATCTGTACCCAAGGATTGGGTCCCAACTTGGCAGGGTCATAGCCTTCATATCGAGGACGTGCTCACTGCATTATACTCACCTAAACCAAGCGATTAGCTCGCGAGCTTCCCCAGGCGAATTGCAGATCCTCCCGCTGGTCCGAGGCCCTCCACGATGGAGCTTGAAGTCGATATCACAAGGGCAGATGACACCAGACCCGACGAGGATACGAGTAGACGGATGGTGCACGCCAAGTCCACTATCCAGTCGTCCCGATGAACATACTGTGTAAGGGGCTCAGGCCAACCATGCTAGAATCCTGGGCCATTGCTGCTGCTTGATCAGAGCTCTTCCGAAAAGGACGGGAGGAAAGTGTTTGGCTGAAGACATAGCGAGAGTCCGTCGGTGTTGAATTAAATCGTGCGTGCCTTGTCCGGAGTCTCTTCCGGCCAGGTTCCTCTGTTCCCGCTTGTCCGTGTCACATTCGGGTGCTCGACCCATCCTCTGCACATCTATTTTCAGCACAGTGCAAGTCGCAGCCGGTCACTTCGCGGCGGACTCTCTGAACATGGTATGGAACTCAGGCTGAAGTGTCAGCAAGAGGTGATGAGATGCGAGAAGTTGAGGTGAGGTGGGTCAGAAAAGTCCACACCAAGGTGCTGGCATGTCACTTTCGGCTTCAGGACTTTCAATATTGAGATCATGCTCGATTTTCAAGTCAAGCAATCAGTCTCTTCCTATCAATTATATTGTGTTGTAGTTCATCACGAGCCATGACATGTTCAAAACACAGCTGCGAGCGAGATGAATGTGTTGCAAAGGTGATTTTCAAACTCGCCAAGCCATATGGAAGCTATCCCGAGCCGGGCTAGCTCACTTTGTGTCGCTACGATATCAGCTGTTCAAAATTTCCATCTCCCTCCGAGATTTCTTTTCTTTTCTTCGTGCGGCGCTGCCACTTTGAAATACCCCTGTGTTGCTTGGCCGATCCTTCTACAGTCATGACGAGTTCCAAGTGTCAGTGGCAGCACAGAGCAATTAATTGCAAGCCGATCTCCTCGACGTGTCTGATGAAGCTGCCTAGGTGGTTGATGAGTTGTGGCTCGTTGAGTGTTCCTGCGCTGGTCTATGCGTGGGGTCGGACAGATTTTTTCTATGGAAACCAGTGACTTGTGACACCTGCGTTTCGGGTGCTTAGTGTCCAGAGTGCGATATTCTTCGGGCATCCGAGTGGGTGCCGAGTGGGCAGACGTTTCAAGGCGGGAGCATTACGAGGCAGGAGTGTCGTTTTGGGGAAATGCATTGTGCGCTTCCCTCGCATGGTCACACGAAGGTCGAGGTGAGCATCAGCGAGCCGCGCGAACGGAGGAAAAGCTGCCTTCCGGATGAGTATCTTCGGTCTTTTTAGTGGACGGCATGGTCCATGTTTTATGCCTCAGCCCGAGAAATGTAGTCTCGATGCTGAATCTATGGAGTTTTGTCTTCCGCCACCCCTGTTCGATGCTCTATGGTTACGTGCCGTCCAGTTGCGATATGCAATCATCTATTATGTTTCGTGGTCGAGTACTGCGGTTTCGTGGCTCAGTCGTCGGAAGCAATCTTTTCGATCTTCCCATCTCTCTTCTCTCCTGTCTCTCCAATGACCCTTATGCGGTCAATTCTGACTTTCTCATTGTCTCCTTCACTCTCAACCACGAATAGAACGATGCTGGACACGTTTTGAAACTTGACTATGCGCAACTCGACCTTCGCCGTGCCCGTCTTGGGATCCCAGTCCTTTTCAGACAAGGTGACCTCCTGCGCCGCTTGTGTGTCATCTGCTTCGTCGAACCCGAGGATGCGAGGTCTGTTTGTGTAGATCTTGATCACCTTCGGACGGCTTGGCTGTTCCTCGTCGTCTGTGTCTGTGGGCAAGGATGTCAGGTGCAGGGAGTGGATCTTCAGAGTGCACTGGAAAGGTAGGTAGACCATGAGCTGTTCGTCTGTGTCGCTTTCGACCCAATCTGATGTTGCTTCGGCTTGGCCTGTGAAACAGAGGTGTTAGCATGCCCCAATCGCAGCTCGTCGATCTCAGCAACTTGCCTTTAGGTTTCTCGCTGCTGATTAATGCCCTCGCGTTTCCATGAGCAGAATCCCAGTTCAACAGTTCCAAACCCAGGACATCAATCTGTGATGTTACGTCGACATAGCCTCTAGGTAATTCTGCACCCAGCCACGTGCCTCCACTCAAGCTCCCAGAAACCTCGCCTGTGTCCATCTTGTTGACCTCGTTGGCCAGATCTTTGACCACATTCGAAAGCCTCCTCGGGTCTGCGCCTTCGATGAACTCTACGCGGCGCGCATTTCTGAACACCATGAACGTAGGCATCGCCCTGACGCCATATGACCTTGAAAGGTCTTGTTGCTTATCCGTATCGATTTTGGCGAAGGTGATCTTGTTAGGTCGAGACAGTTGCGCCGAGAGTTGTTCAAAGATGGGGGCGATTTGCTTGCAGGGACCGCACCAGTCGGCGTAAAAGTCGGCAACAACTATGGTGGAAGAAGAGAGCAGAGCCGAGAACTGGTCGGTCGATTCGATGTGGACGGTCTTGGACATGGTGCTGGCTCCTCACGCCCCAGCGCAATGCCTGGTAGGGGCAAGGCAGGACAGGGTACGCAGGACAAGAGACCGCGAAGTCGGTCGCAAGTTCGCGATTGATGGGTCAATGCCACGAGTTTGGGTATTTACCGCTTTTGTGCGCCTGCAGATTGGGTACGCAACAATAAAATAACAGGTCAGCAGTTCAGATGCTAGTTAAGTGCCAGGTTCACTGCTGGTTGATTCTAATGTGAAGCGGCAGGAGCCCTGTGTTATTGGTCTCGGCCCGTCATGCATTCTCAGCCCCTCACCGACTGGAGGCGTTGAGTGAGCGAATGTGATTGGCTGTCGTGGAAAAGAAGTTCCGTGCCGCACTTAGGCTCGTGGGGCTGAACAAGAAGATGTTCACGACACCTGCTCTTCTATGGCTTCATATCCCGCTTACCACGGCGACCTGTGCTTGCTGCCAGCATGGTGTTCTGTTGTTTAAGCTTCAGCCGCACAGAGCTATCTAGGATGATTGCTGTACCCTCAACACCTCGTGCTCGCTTAGTGCTGCGTCGTGACGCACCTTCCGTCATGGCTGAGCTGTTGCACACTTACTGGATTGATCCAACGGTTACTTGATTGAGTCTACCTATGGTGACAATCAGAGCTCTCTGCTCGGTCGATGAGCAAATATTTTCAGTCTACTCACAGGTGATAAAGCTTCATTTCCAAAGCCATGCCCGCCCTTCTCGTGTGCTTCTGCTCTTGAGTCAAACAATTCTGGTGCTGCTGATCTACAAATGTCAATGAAGCCATGACAGGTGGAGACACAAATGTCTTCTTCGTGCCATACAGGCCTCATTCCACGCCGGATAAATCTCACTCAGTTCAGGAACCGAAGATATCTCAGCAAAAGCATGCTGCTCGAGAGTACCACCGAAAGGCCAAGCTTGAACGGCTCGCTAAGCTCAACGCCGTCCACGACCGCCATGCACGAAGCACAAGCGTCCCAGCCACGCAGCCTCAGTCAGAGTCTTCTTCTCGACCGATCCTGCCTCGAAACAGATCTTTTCAGGGAGACCAAGTCTACGACAACTCTTTCGTCATCTTCGACATAGGCATCGGACAGCTCGATCCCTTTAATGCCTGCGTTCCTGCCGGTGTGCCTACCTTTGCTCTTGACATTCTAGACTATGGTGAGTATTTGAATTTTTTTGCTTCGTCATCGCCTTTATCCCTTGTCAGTCATCAGATTTTGCAACCCATACTGATTCAAGCGCCTCAGGTCGGTCTATCTTTGCCTCCAACATCGCACTCTGTCTGGCGCATTATCCGCTCGTACCAGAACTTCTAGCGTCACTGACGACAACGACAGCGCCATCTGCTCAGTGGAAGATCTTCAACTTGGCAAAAGGTGTCGGTGGCGAGGGGACTATTCAAAATGCGCTCCTCGCATGTGCCATGCAGTCTCCCGCCGCATTCTGGTCCATTATTTTTGCAGGTGCCACACACCACGCCTATCTTCAGGGTGGAACAGACGCTGGCAGCCGTGACAGGACTTTACGCTTGTCCTACAAGACTAATGCCATCAAGGAGCTGAATCGCGAAATACAAGGACTGCAAGGAGTGGCTTCTGACGAATTGCTGCTCGCTATTATCACAATGGCCGCTCACGGTTCATGCGAACAGTTGGATCCACCTCCACAGGAGGAAAGTTTGAGCACGCTCGAATCTGTGCAAAACTTCCAATACTATGGCCGCATGCGCTGGGAGGAAGCACATTTTAAAGCTGTCGCTCATCTAGTCCGTCAGCGAGGAGGATTGCATACTGTAAAGATGCCTGGATTAGCTAATGCTATTGCACTGTGCGTGGCTCCAACGAGGCATTCCTTCCGCATTGGTCCGAGCTAACGGTAGTCAGGGCCGATATTTTCTTCGCTTTCCAGAATCTACGCTCACCAGCCTTCCCCCTTCTCGCCCCTTCGACCTTGATCATGTCGATATGGGCCGAGGATCCGGCTCCTCTAGCCTCGTCCTTCTCGTACCTGGCTAGTGGCTTTGACGAATTCAGCGATCATCCATGCTTCGCTCCCCTGGTGCAAGCAATTACCCATGCGCGTATGATCACGATCGGACTCAACGCATATCAGTCCCAGCAACCTGGCGCTCCCACCATCACACGTATCGTATGGGCGCGGAATTTCATGACCCATGACTTACTCTCTCTGCCTGTGACAATTGCTAGCACGCTCATCGAGCATACTCCTGGACAACAACCACATGGCTCCTCAGCTTCGACCATAGTGCACGTCTTCTCCCCACAGCAAGCATTATACAATCTCATACGCCTCTCAACGCTGACGTACACACTTCTGATCCTCTTCCCCATGCCTCGTGTCACGGGCTTGCACGCCAGGCTATCCATGCAGCTCATGACGGCCATCGATAACTGTACAGCACTGGACCTTTGGGCTACACATGCAAAGATACTCTTGTGGGCCACTGTCCTCGGTGGAATCGCCTCCGAGGATGCCCTCCGCAAATGGTATGCCGAAATGATCCGACAGAACAGAGCGACCATTGCAGATATAGCGTTGGGTGACTCGTCAGGCCGTAACAAGTGGAAGGACACAAGTCGCCAGCGTAGCCACAATCGCAGTCGCTCAAATTCAGGCGCAAGCAGTCGAAGGGAGCCAGACGTGACTTGGAAAGTAGTGAAGGACGTGCTTTTCCGGTTTCTTTGGTTCGATGGACCCCGGTATGATGGCCTCGGCAGCGGGTTCTGGGACGGGTGTTAGGGGAGATTCTACCTGCGGTGACGACGAATGATGGGCGGTCCGTTCCGGGCTTTTCATTTGGACCGAGACACAATGGCAAGCTACACGCAGGGAGACTGCGACATTAACTCCGAGTCGATCCCTGGCAATCTCGGGGTCAGATCCACGGTTCTCCGTTATTTGAGAAGCGTGATGAGTAGATCAACTGGCTTCACACTATAATATATACAGCGCATGAGGACCTGTTGTCTGCCGTAACAATCACTGTTCAAGACGACATGGCTGAATGCTCGCTCTATTTCCGCTGAGCCATTTCTGCAAGCGCCTTTCAAAGCTTAGCACTCTCTTTGAAGACATAAAATGCCTATGCATGCGGTCAGCAACTGTAGAGGAGATCAGAGCTGGTCCACATACTTCCTGAACCACCGTGGCGATCAACAGACCCTGTCTACTAAAAATCCTCGAGTTGATCATCGCCCGGCCATCCTTCGCCCACGGAGACGTCACCTCGATATAGAGGAGCTCGTCGGCGCGGAAGCCATCATGCGTATGGAAGTGGATAGAGTGATTCAGACTCGTCATGATTTTTAGACTGGCTGGTAGCGCCGTCTTGGTCACATCCCCGATGGGCCAAAGCCCGTGCGGTACGCCGTGGATGGACAGCGGACAGTCCATGACGTGGTAATCGGACGCGTGCACCACGGCAAGGATATGTGCCGCTGCCCCTCTGGGGGCTGCTATGGGCGGATCGATCTGCGCCACCACGGGGGCTATCGTCGTCGCGGGGTTTTTGGGATCTAGGGACGTCAAACAACAAACGCATGAGCAGCGAACATTGGACAGAATTCCATGGGTCTTCTGGAGCGACCCACCCTGGTGCACAAGCGGCAAACGCTCAAACTTCATAAACGGCCCTCTCTCCGTACGCATGTCCTCGAAGTCGTCGAGCGTGATCTTCCACCCGCTCCGCTCGCCGTGCCGGGCCGTCTGCATTGGCGCCGTGTGCGTCATGGCGCGGCCGGACCACGGCGCGCCGTTCACAAACGTGGTCGTGACGGCCACGAACACCTTCTCGCCGTCGGCTTGCGTGATGGTGACTTGTCTGACGGCGAACCGGCGGCCGTTCCCTATGCGTTGGACCCTGTATACTAAGGGGACGGCCGGGTTGGGGGCGAGCATGAAGTGCGTTGAAAGCGAGTCGAGCGTGAAGCCTTCGGGGACGGTTTTCCAGGCTGCGGACGCGGCTTGCGCCATCATTAGCGGGCCCGGCATTGTGTTGGTGATGTTGAAGACCCAGGGGGTGTGGATTGCTGTGAAGACGTCCTGGGGTAGGCATGGTGTGTTAGTGAGTATGTGAGTGGGCATGGAAAGGTACAGTAAGGTATAGATGGCATGGTAGAGTCCTGGGATGGAGGATGTGGAACAAGATGGGCCTGCACTGAAGGACGACGCCGTCGCTTACCGGTTCTGTCTCCTTCAATTCGAGATGGGTCTCGAAATCGAGCCGTGTGGCCCTGGGCTCGGGAGGTTTGCTCGAACCCATGGTTATGGTTATGGCGAGGATGTCGATTCGGTGATGTTATACGTGGTTGTGGGAGAGCGTCAGCGCAAGTGCCGGTCTGTCTCTGTTACAGACTGTTTTTGTACAGGGCCAAAATTGTAGATAGGTAGCTGGCAGAGTAGTAAGTGTGTGAGTCCACGCAATGAGGCTCATCATGCCATGCCTGGAGGCCGGTATTTGGTTGCACGTTCTGACGCTCTGGATGCTGGGAATGGTGCGGTCCGGTCAATGGGCCTCGTCCTCGGAGTCAGCTGATATATAAATCAGGCTGGAGACATAACGTTATGGCATTCGGGCTGATCAGCAACCTAGAAGTAAGTAAAACGGTACATACCAGATCCGAGATCATATGGTGAGGTGGAAGCCCGGGTACCAAGCACCCAAGCTGCGGGGCCCCCAGACTTGATCGCTATCGCATACTGGGGAATATACCGAGGTACATGTCGGGAATCCAGCCATTCGTCTTCATGATTGCGAGACTACGAGTAGGCGTTGAATATGAACGACAATCACCCGCACGAGCCTACTTCATCGAAGGCTCCTGGGCCTGTCTGGCGCCATCAAGCAAAGGTTGAAGAGCCTGTACTGTAGATGGACAGCCCGATGCTTTCAACCCTCTTTCCTTCAAGGTGAAGTCGTTTCTTCTACCTTTGTGCGGACAAGATGCCGCAAATGCAGCAGTGGTCTCTGTTGCATGCTCTGGCAGAGTACTCGTCTTCCAGAGACTTGAAATCTGGTGGTCATGAAAGTTCCTTGCGTCGTGGTGGGGTACCTTAGACAGCTAAGGGAATGACCATAATCCAGCTTGATGTGCAAACCGCTGATGTGAAAGCTTGTTGTCCATCTACGGACAAGGGTCTACGAGTGAGAACATGACACAGACTGAATCTATTTTGATCAGCCTAAGAAAGCACTCGTCGTCCCGCGGAAGGGAGGCGGCCCTTCCGTGGTGGTAACGAGACCGAAGTCAGGCTGACGGAGCTTGCCAACCACGCCAAATCCTCTCAGGTCAGTTAAGCTCGGGACGCTGACTCCTCGAAACGTAGCCGGATAGAGTGAGGGAACTCTTTGATCAGTCCCTGGGGGCGGTTTTCTGGACATTTTCCGCCCCACATCATCGACCGCGGTCGCTCTCCTAATGAGCTGGACTGCCGAGAATCGGATTTTCCGTTTCTTCTCCCAGGAGCCGCTTGTGTTGTTGCTCATGTGGTATGAATTCGGTCTGCGAGAACAGGAGACACGAGTGTCGCGAAGTTGGTGTGTAGAAATTACCAACCAGCGACCGAGTGCGGAATGCTACCGTGGCCCCTGCGGCGTCAATATATCAACTAGCATGCACATGTCTGGGTGAGGATTCATTGACGCCATTTAGCTCACCCTTGAAAACTGTGTGCGTGGAACTACACGCTGAGGATCCCATGCAGGCTAATAGGCATTGTCACACTGTCCCTGGTCAACTTGAAGATGGAATAGCACGGGAAAGTTCAAATTAGACAGTAGCGTCTCGTCCTGGTAAATCCTTCAGATTCCCGTGTACGGTAGGCAGACGAAGCCTCTCAGCTCGGTGTGCTGCTCCGGACTCCGACAGACAAGAAGGGTGTGGTGGGAGTCTGGTCCTCGTTTTTGTATTTTGAACTCACCCGGATCGCAGGGAGAATTCATCTGGCATTCAGACGCTTGAACTGCTCGTCCGGAATACGTCTTCTCCGTTCCTGAATTGTACATCGCAGCAGCATCGTCGAAAGATTATGCAGCATTTGATAGGATTTAAAGCTTATGAACAATGCATGCTTGGAGTGGTTGCTGCGAAAGTTCTCGTCATAGCGTCCGAGATATCTTGCCTGAATTGAGAGACACAATCGATTTCTCACCTGCTGCCGGTAATATCCTGTTGTTTGCAAGTAGACCAGGAGCTCTGACAACGAATCTGATCGCATGCAATCATATGTCCAGGTCTGGGCATAGTGGAATCAGAAGCCGTGCTGTAGATTCAAACCGCTTGGCGCGTGGAGAACGTTGGAACTGACAAGGCTGAGGTTGAGGGTACGCAAGGCTGAGGCTACGTCTTCTTCTCCTCACTGCATCTACGCAGTAAAGCCTCAGAGACATTCAGTTCAATTGAGCTTGAGCCCACTCTGAACCCCTCGCCACGACGCAACCATGCGCCTTTCACGGACCGTGCTCCCCCTTCTCGCCTCAGCTCTATGCTCGACGGTGTCCGCAGCCTCATCATGGACATTTGCAGACGGCTCGCTAAGCGTCACAAGTAAAGGCGCAGGCTCGAAAGATGGGGGAGTCAAAGAAAAGTACGTTACTACCTCAAGAAAGATCGCATAGCTTAGCTGAACGCTTTGGTTCTATTCTGCTCTGCATCCCCTCGTGGGGCATTTCATGCCGTCACAGCCATTCTCTTGAACCTGCCACTCACAATCTCGCTACAGGCTCGTACCCTCTCAACAGCTCTCGAACGCCGTGTCATTAGGCAGCACCGATACCCTCAAGGTTACGTTGACCACACAGGAGGGCAAGACGGCGAAGAGACCGCACCAGGCTTTCCTCATGCTGCAGGATCAGGAGCGCAGACTCGATGTTTCGTACCCGTTCAGTGTCAAGGAGAGCGGCAAGGCCGTGGTTTCACTGGTAAGTTATTTCGCTAGACATGGAAGGGAAGGGAAAGAGAAGAGAGAACATGAAGGAGACGAGATGTGGCAATCGGTCCGGACCACGACTTTGTGGGGAACACTAGACGTCTACACCTGCACCGTACTTCCCCAATGTCACGTCCCTACAGATAACTCGAATCAATTTTGGTTGATGTCCTGATGGCTGGTCGTCGTCTTGCTAACTCGTCGCTTACAGACCCAGCGCGACCTCCCCGCGCAGTTCCTCGCCGCAAACACATCCCTCACCACGTCTATAATCGTTGCCTCCTTTGGCGCCTCTACTCCGGGTTACAATCAACCAGCGTTCACACTGCACCCCAGTGCGTCCGATCCAAGCACACCCTTCCCAGCGATAGAGACGCCCCTCCGCTACGGCAAACTCCCTGAGATCCATCACATTTTCCGCTCCGACCCGAAGAGTCCCCCACTAATCATATCATTGGTCTTCCTGGGCGGCGTGCTCGCGACTCTACCTCTCCTAGCTGCAATGGTATGTATTTGTTCGCCATCCCAACATGGCTTTCTTTTTCGGTCATGTCATGCTAACACACCTTCCGCGATATTAGTGGCTTTATCTCGGCGCCAACATATCCGCTCTCCCTTCGGCCCTCTCCGCCTCACCCGTCAGCCATACCTTGTTCGTCGGCTCGGTGGCGGGCATCGAGTTCGTCTTCTTTCTCTACTATACGAGTTGGAATCTCTTCCAGACGCTCCCCATGCTGAGCGCGTTGGGCGTGGTTGCCTTCCTCAGCGGGAGTAGGGCTCTCAGCGAAGTGCAGGAGCGAAGGCTGGGCGGGACGAGATGAGTGGTATGAGGGTATCAGATGAAAGGAGAGCAGCTGGGCTTGGAATGCGAAGTACGAAAAACATGGCAACCGAAGCAAAAGCGGCAAGAGCCGCAATAGCGATGGGGACAGCCACAGCAGCGGCACAGCAGCAGCAGTACCACGCCCGTACGACCGAGGAGAGAGAGACCTGACCGACCTGCTACATATCATAACCCGACGTTCAGCCCCCATCTCGTTCTCTCTTGCTCTTTACGGTTCCTTTCGCCTCCACCTTTGTCTCTGTCTCCGCCTCTGCTTCGAAAGAGACACTCGACACGCGGGATAAAGAGGGGCCATGCATGGCTGGTGCTATGATATGTAGTGCGCTGCATCGCAAACACAATGGATAGCATCGCCCCGGATTCGGGGTGTCTCGACGGACGCATTCGGTGAGATGCTCCCCATTTTTTCTATGTACACAAGACCAGGCACGGATTCCAACGATCCGAACGGACCATAGAAGGACAGACCGGACCATCGTGGACGCAGGTCGGGATAGGGATGGGGATGGGCAATAAAAAGTTGTAGAACATGCATGAGATAATGTGTTCAACTCCATACGTTTTGGAAGATCAAATGATTCAACTTGAATGGTGCAGTCCTGTGCGGTACATGCAGTGATCGGGAGTCTGGAGACACAATACAGTGCCTAGGTACCTATTGACCTACTGTACAGTACTTAGCTACCCGCCTGCCTGCCTCTATCTATCCCTGAATTCGCCAAACGACACTCAGTGCTCACTAAAGAAAGGTATCGGCGGCGGCACTCCATCTTTGATTCACAGGAATGTTGCCGAACTATCCGAACCACGGTCTACTAGGTATAGGTATGATTGAGAGCATTCCCCCCTATACATAGCTGCATTGGCTAATTATGTTGGTTGCAACGGGTGGGGGTCCCATCAAAACATGTTTCCTCGGACGAGTTCAAGAAAGCACTGTAGCTAGGTAGGATATGTGCCTAGCTGGTTGGCAAGTGGTGTAATATCCCGTCATCCTGTGACTACTGATTGACTACTGTAACTGTCTAGTTAGCTGGCTGGCTGACTGACTGCTTGGTTGCTTGGTTGCTTTGGTTGCTTGGTTGCTCGACCGACAGGTTCATTCTAGATGTTGTGCCTGAAGGATATCCTCACTTTCGAGCATAGATTATGGATTATGGATTATGGGCCAAGACTACGGTATGTCGACCTCGAAACCATGCCATGCCCCCTGCCATCTTGGACCCGAAGCCCTCGGCCTCGAGTGGGGCCAGGCCTGCCACCGAGTCCTCGCTGCGCAAGCTGTATGAATGCCCCGTGATAGGATATGTGATCAGTCGCTATGAGACGAGACGAGACGAGACGATATGATGTGCTGGGCTGGGCTGAGCTGTCCATGGGCATCTCGTGGTTTCTGACCCATTTCTTCCTTCCGGAAACACCACCCATTATCCACATGACCTGTCCACCCGACCACCCATTGGTTGTATCTTCCCGTCCTCCCCTCTTCATCCAGCCATCTAGTCTTCTTGTCCTTCTGTCTAATTCTTTTGTATCTGGGGTCGGTATTGATACTGATATGGACGTCGATACAAGTTCCGGAACCGAGCACATTCCTCCCGCCTCGCGAGCCAGATATATATACCGTTTGTGTCGGAAGTTCAGTTGGTTGAGGTTCTCCCTCTTGTACAGCACGGGCCACTTCGCTTGACTCAATCCGTCACAGCCACTGTCACTGGCACTCAAGAGTAAAGCTGACGTATGCGAACAGGGGAGAGTCGATGAACGCCTGCACGAAATAAATCTCACCGCCGAAAGTCGACAGGCAACGGCGCGTGCTCAATGCTTTCTGCAAAATCCTGGCTTCTTCTTAACCAGTAGTGCCGACCTTAACTCGCATTGTCCCCCATGATCTGCCTCGCAATCTTACTCCTGGCCCTAATCTGCTCGCCCTTGAAAAGCAGCACCCATGGAACAATTGTGAGCAAAGCGGCAATCCCGCCCAGCAGACTACTCGCGGGCGCGTAATCCAAGTTCGTAAACATCTGGTTCGTAAACAGAGGGAATACCGCCGCGAAGATGTTTCGCAGAAACGACTGTGCTGCTAGCGCTGAGGAAGCGTACCGATGGTACACGTCGGCCAGGTAGTTGAACACAGCCAGGTAGATGACAAAGATGCCCATTTGGGCACAGCCGATCGCGAGAACGGGCGAGATCCATGGGATGGACGAGTACGTTGTCCAGCCGAACCAGAAGAGGCCAATAGGGAGCAACGCGCCTTCGAGGCACGGGAAATACAACCTCCCCTCTGGCGAGCTGTTGAGTTTCGGCCAGCGTTTCTTCGCCAGCTTTTCTTGGTAGATGGAGAGCAAGGTCGCCAGTATGGATCCGATTGCTATTGCGGAAAAGACGGCGCCGCATTGCTCGACGTTGAAGTTGTGCCTCGTCATAAACACCAAAGGGATCACTGAGAATGTCATGTACAGAAGCGCCCAGGCAAAGGCGACCCAGAGGGAGAAGAAGAACACGACCGGTTCGGTGGTGAGGAGTTTGAAGGGGATTGTGAGGGAGAGGTAGAGCATGCGTGCTAGTGAGGAGCGGCTTTCGTCTGCGGCGACTTTGTAGCGGAGGCGGACTGCAGCATTTTCAGACTTCGGGGTACTGTTCTCGAGCTTTTCTAGGTATTCGTTCAACACCTTGGCTCTGCGGCTTAGCAGGACCGATCCTCTGGTTTCCTTGAAGAAGAAGTATACCACGACCAGCATGACGCTCAAGGAGATGATCTGGTGATAGTAGACCCAACGGAAATTGGCACGTCCGATGATGAAGCCAGACAATAGGGGTCCTATCCCCGTGCCGGCCAAGGCGGAACCACTGTACAGTGCCATCGGTGTATTGCGGTCCTCGGCATTATACATGTCGGAAACGACCCCTCCCACCATGGTCGCGAACGTGCTGGCTCCTGCCCCAACAAGGAACCGCGCAGCGAGCATTCCGCCAAAGGTCGGTGTGGTGGCACAGGCAATCTGACCGACGAGGAAGAGGATCGCCGAGCCGATAAAGACTGGCCGCCGACCATTGATTTCGGAAAATGGGGCGAGAACCATAGGCGATATTGCGAAGCCCGTCGCCCAGGTAGTGACGCCGGTGTTGAAGGCGACTTCCCCGAGATGCCATTTCGCTCGTTGGGGGTTCGCCGCTATCGAATAAGAGCCAGCACTGTAGGCGGCAGTAAAAGTACACCAACAGCACAGTATCAGGATGATGGTCTTATGCTTCGACGACCAAGTGAGCGGTGACTCGTACTTCTTGAGGATGGGTGGCGGTATCGAAGACTCCAGTGTGTCGAACTCGTCGAGCGGGATGTGAGTGTCGAAGTCGAGGTAGACAAAGCGAATGCCGTCTTCGACCTGTGTATCGGGACTGTCGCTGCCGCGCTTGTGCACTGGAGGTTCCAAGGCCGGAACTGGTTCTTCGTTGGATGCAAGGCTGTGGCCTGTATTGATCTTTTCGACGTCTGCCGACGTGGGCGACGTCGATGACATCAACTGCCGCTCGACACGTTCGGCCATCTTGGCTGCTGTTTTAGCTTCGGTGGTTGGCGGTCATCACTTTGGCGCTGTCTTTTCTTATGACTCTCTAGCTGGAGTCTGGCGTACGCAAGCAATTACAAAGCAGCAATCGTGAGCGAGCGTATATGGAAAATGTCGAGGACGAAGAGGGGACAGTTAGTTAACCTCGTGGAGGTCAATAGCCGGCGGGCATGCGTCTTTCCTCCAACAGGATCGCCTCCTGCCGTGGCTCTTGTCTTCTTGGACGCATAGTGACCGGATAGCGGCAACGGCTCCTCGGATGGCCCACCTACGAGGTACGTGACCAGACTAATCTGATGCAATGGGCGGAAGCATCAAATGCAATTTTTAGTCCAGATGTAACTGAAGCCGGAAGTCCTTCTGTTGCATTGGACCAGTCAGACTCTGTGAGAGCTCCGGACTGTTGACCGATGAGAAGACTGCGATTGACACGTTGAGATCTGTTTCTGGCTAGCCGGACTTTCTCTGCCCCTGGATTTTGGTAGCGACGGCGAATCGCAGCGACAGACGACCAGACAGTGGGCAGTTCGTTCTGCTCGCCACAACTGTTGAACCCGAGATCTCGCCGCAACCAACATGATCTCATATTCTACACTGTACGGAGTACGATGGAAGAATGGCTCATGCCTCCTTCGTACGAGGGGAGGGATGACACATTCACCCAACGTGCCTGATGAATCGGCGTGAAATTATCAATGCAGAGCCTCGCCCAAGCTGACCTTCAACAGCTATAGACAGTGCGGAGAGGTTATTGCATCTCCTAGAGCAGCAGCTAAATGAGGCATGCAGATCGCCTGGTGGCTACAGGCAGTCTGATACCGGACGAGCCTTTTTCCGCCTGCTGCTTGATCGAGGGGTCACGCCCTCCGCTGACACGTCGCTGGCACGTGTGCTTGTCATGGTGCTTGCGCCTCGTGAGACATGTTATTTCTGACGTTCCGCGAGCGCGAGAAAGCAAGATGGTGGTGACGGACGACCGTCAGAAGGTGACTAGGTGCCCAAAAAGAGTCCAACGGAGCTATGAGGACATAAACAACGGACGGCATTCGATTTTCGCCATTTCTTACGGAATTGCTCCTGCCCCACATAGCACTTGTTATGCGGTCATGATCGCGACTGTACTCTGCGCCGTCCCAACACGGAAAACCTCGCTGGGGTAGTATCGTGAAATGCAGTGAAAAGCCTCCACACCGAACCTCTCTGACATACGTTGTATATCCAAGTCTCATTGAGTCGTGCACCAATGCAACATGCCGATGCAAGTCGTGATCCAAGATTCGATGACCATATCGAGCCAACCCCCATTATGCAAGATCAAAGGTGTTATTACAAAGCATGATAGCCCAAGACCACAGCCGCACCGAGAGCGGCCCACCCAGGTAACGACCTCGTACCCTTACTCTCAAGACTCACTGCGTGAAATATCGGCGTAGGGTCGTATTCTCTCGGCTGTGTCGCATTCACAGTGCCATCCCAGCAGAACCGGTCGAAGCACTGAGTGCAGGCCTGGGGAACCTCGGTGTCGGTACGTTCCAGGCTGCGGCTCAAAATCGCACATGCCACGCATGTGGGCCACGTCTCGTCGCGAGTACCATTGCCCATGTTGGCCACGTTGAAGCCATTCGCGATGATGGCGTCGCGTTGTGTATTATTCGTCGAGAATTGGAAGGTGGAAATATTGCTGAACGACACATACGGTGAGTTTGGCAGGTAGACGACCAAAGGGGGAGTGGTGCCCCCGGTGAAATTCGATGTATCGCAGCCAAAGAAGGTTGGCCTTGTATTGAGACCTAGATTGACAAATGTGTTTACGTCCGGGACGGTAGGGAAAGCAGTGCCGTTCGCCATATCACTGATCGAACGCTCGTAGGTGGCAACCAGTGAGGTTCCATTGGGCCAAAAATAGGTGGTGTCAGCTGAAGAATCGACAGCGAAGATAATATCGACATTTCTGGTTGGCTGGATCAGGGGATGAAGGGGAATGTTTTGCAGGTCTTCACCGCCGTCGACGAGCGTCAGCCGAGTTGAATCAGCACCTGGGTTCGTTTCAGGATTGTACCGGTAGAAGGGATTCGGGGTATAATCGGCGATATCGTTGTTACTCTGGTCAAGATCTTCCAAAAGTCCTCCTAGCAGATTCCGTAAAGAATCCGGGATATCCGTGTTGTTGAGCTGGAGGATAAACTGGTTGAATAGAGTAGATGAAGTGCCCATGAGATATCCGGCGTTGTCAAAACCAACCACACACTGGTCACCCGATGGTACGCGGCCACCGGTGAAATTGGTACCCAAATGGTTCAGTGGGACAAAACCAAAAGCAGTAGGATCCCATGTGCCCATCTCGAACGGATTAAACTCGAAGATGGTGGTATTGGCTGAAATGAGCCTTTCGTCTGGAGCTCGGGAGTCGGCGATGATGATCGGATAAGGAGTGTCTGCGCTGATAAAGGGCTGTGAGATTCCAATGGACGACCAAGTGTAGGCAGCACCACCGCCAGTGGCATTGATCAACTGATAGGAGAGAGCGCGTCCCCAGAGATCGGTCAACGACGTATCGAAACCCGCATCTGCTTTCCCATTGACATCGCTAACGAGATCTGCGTAGTATTCAGCGGTGTTGAAGATCTGAATGCCGCCCTCCTCAGGGCCCTGAAACACACTGTTGCCAAACTCATAGACGGAGCCACTGCTATCAGCCTGCAGTGCACCGATGGTGGTGAAGTTATTGATGTATATGGATCCGACAAGCCACGAGCCGCCGCTCAACCCAGAGAGATATGTGGCCGATTGAAGAAGGCCACCAAGTTTGCCCTCACCGGTGTTGTTGACTGTCCGAGAGTCGAACGCCTTGATGGCGCCCGCGCCGTTCATCAGCGCTCGCCAGCCGCCACCCGACACTGCGATGCCGATGTTCGGTAGCGCGGAGGCATTGTCGGAATGGGTGTCAATGTATTGACCCGCGTTGAACCCTTCGATATCCAAGCGATTTAACAAATTCCGCAGTGGTGTCACAGTTTTATTTCTCCTCTGTTGCAGCCACTGTGTCTCGTTCGGCGAGAGCGCTGCGGCGCTTCTAACCACTGGCCGATTGGCAGGGCAGTTTTGGAAGGAGGGAGTGTAGCCTTTGCGCGAGTTAGGTAGGCTTCGGCGAAGGCTTTCGACCGCAATCAAGGTATCAACGTAGACATTCTCGGCAGGAGTGGTGTTTGCTGCAGCGCATGTCAGTACGTCAAGGATGCTGACCTTGGATTGACTATGGCTTACCAGTTGCTTCAGCGGTGAGAACGCTGGCAATTACGGCCAGTAAAGGAATCTTCATCGTGGTCGCGTGAGACGGGGCTCAAGGACCAGGTCGCCAACAGTGTACGCACGGGTTAAGATATAAAGGACAAACGAAATCACCCACTCGCCTCACCTTAAAAGCGTCACCCAGATGGCTGTGCTATGCGGGTTTTCATGTCACTATATCCATCAATAGGAGTATGCCTTTCCTAAAAGCTGAGAGAAGCAGTTGGGCGAGGCGAGCTGAAGCCAGTTCCTGGGACAATTTCCACCCAGGTGGGCCGAGACACAAAGAGCGATGATGTCAACACCATCAAGGAATCCTAGTCACCCAGCTAGTAAACGAATCATGAATCCTGCAAGAGTCCATGGTTGCGACCTTGGGGACCAGTTAAGGCAGCAGCCAAGGGAGAGATTGTGGCTCGGCCATCCGGTTGATCCGCTATACAACTCTCTATTTCGGTACTGCGTAGTGGTTGGCTCTATCAGAGAAGGAAGCAATCGAACATCCGTCGTACAGTGCCGACTCGCAACAATTTCCAGGGGCAGCTGCATGAGGCCGCCACATCCAAATAGGCGAGCTGGGCCTTTGCTGGGCGCGCTGGGGTCGCCTAAGGCGTCGATAGCCTTAAGAATAGACTTTATTTCAGCCTCTTCGGGTCTCTTCGTGGCTGACATCCAGACCTCAACAAGGCCAGACAGTCAAAAAGCGTTCAGCACTACCTCGTACTGTGCAGGCATCACAGTAAACATTCTATGCAGGTTACACACCATTCCCTGAGGTACTCTCTTACAACTACGAGTACGTGGGCGTTGGAGCCGCGTTTTTCTCACTGCCTCCGCATTACAAGTGATCATCACACGCTGCGTCGTACGCTCATCGATCGCCGTCCCTCTCATTCTCGGTAGCTCACAATCTTACCAAAAGTGTCCGCCATGCCCCAAATGCCTTGTCTCAGGCAAGTCAATTGCACAATCTGCGAGTGGTCGACGAACAAGTTGACGTCGATGCCAAACTCACGGACATACCAGTTGAAAACTGGCGGATCGGCTGCCTCGAACATGACCTTCTCTTGGGGCAGGTCTCGCAGAATGGACTGGATCACATCTGTGCGCCAGCTCTTCACGTTCTCAGTGATGCCCTCACTCTCAATCATCATTCTTTCCACTCCAGCCTCAATGAACTTTTTGCCAAGGTTGATGACTTTGGCCGGATCAGAGGTGCCTGTTGACTCCAAGTCCTCCGCTGAGGTATCACCTCCGGCACCAAATTGGATGCCGAGTTCTGGTTTCGCCTTCATCCCCATACTATGTACCTTGTCCACCAAGCGTAGCCAGTCATCGGGTGGGAATGACAAGAACCCCGAAGATATTTCGATCACATCGAAACCCAAATCCTTGCATTTGCTGAGATATTTCTCTACCATGGTGCTCGAATCAGGTTGAGTGAGCACGTGCTCCATCCATCCTCCGGTCGAGACATACACCTGATGCTCGTGCGCTAGGTCAATGAGCTCCCGAACGCTCTGCTCCGGCATCAAGGAAAAGCTGCCTCCCGCAAACTTGAGGCCATCGACATGGTAGCCCATCGTCTCCAGGACATCTTGAAGGTGCCTCTTCCCGTATGAGGAGTAGTAAGGTCCTCGGATTTCGGTCACGCCCTTGGTCCGAGGCTTCGGTGTCCTCGGATTGTGTCTTATAAAACCAAAACCATTGTCTTTGTCCTGCAGGAGTGTCTGGACTTGGTTCCTGATAGGGTTGGTGGACAGGAAGCGGTGGAGGCGCGGGACTTGAGTTCCGATTATTGGTCTAGCCGTTTTACCAAGGAGATTGACTGCAGCTTTTGTTGCCATCGTGTGAGGACAATGTGCCTTTAGTCGCGATGTGCCGCGGGGTCAGGGACGTTGTCTTGCGTGCTGCCAGATCTCGGAAGAGAACCAGGCGGGTTGACCGGTTTATCAGATAAGTCCCAGAGAGCTTACGGTGTACTGCACCCGGGTTGTGTGACATCAGGGGCTGTGGAGCTGCATTATCGCTCGGAAATTGCCGTGCAGCAGAGGCTTCGATACTGCATGCGTGTTCACAAGTATTGGGTGCTCATACGCTCGCAAGATATACACATTAGCTAGGTGATAGCTGGCCTTGCTGGGCACTTCGTAGATCACGAAGAAGTGCCTCTGGTGCCCCGCCTTTTGGTCCTGGTTGTGCCGGCGCTCTTCGGAATTTGGTATCCAAATGACGTCGACCCCTGTGGCCGGTGTATCCAATAGAATTAAGTCCTCAATTCATCCTCACCGACCGTGTACCCGCTTGCAACACCGGTCCTGCCTTCTTCGATAAGGCCGCCTGTTTGAGCTTCGTCTTCCTCATATTTGACATCGAAGTCGCTGCCCAAGCCACGCCAAGTGCGTTTTTGGGCGAGATAGTCAGCCCCGGGGGAGGCGATGCCGTTGACGCTGATCAGAGCCCCCTTTGATTTCTTCGTGAGTGCAGTGGAACTTTGCACGGAGGACCTGTTGTTATGAGTGCCGGACGGTTGAACGGCAGGTGGGATCCTTCGCAATGGTCGTGGACGTGAGACGTATCGCCCAGTTCGGAGGTCAAGTTCGGGCGGTTCGTCCTCTGACTCGGAATCCATATCAATCTCGCTATCGCGAATGATGTCGCCTTCATGTTCCAGTGATGCATTCTGCTGTTCAAATACCCGCACTTGCTCTTGCTCGCTCCTATGCTCGGCATCTTCCAGCACACGCTGGAAATCTGCTCTCCATTCGCCTGTCCAGACTCTGGCTTCGTCTCCTACCAACACCATCCCCAGTTCAAACGGTGTGATTACCGGTCTGAAAAAATCCCTGCTATCGACGAGCGAACTCTCCCAGCAGCCGATGACGACCCATCCGCCGATCTCTGAGAAGTTTGCCAGCTTGGCCGGGCTGAGTTTGCCGACCACGAAGAGATAGGACTTCTTGCCGGCGCAGGAGATCAAAGACTGGATATGTGACAGGATGAAGAGGTAGTTCTTGACCGAAAGGGTGTTGATTAAGATGCCCCATGTGGAAACGGTGGTGAGTGATGTGATGAGTGCGTAACGGCGGCGTAGTAGCTGGGATGTGGAAGTTTCCAGGCTGACGGATGATGTCGGAGCTGGGTTCGAGGTGTTGGGGATACTGCTGGGTGGGTAGATTCTGATACTTGCCATTCGGGAATGGAGTGTCAGGAGAAGCGAAGTTGGCGGATCAGAGATATGAAAGAGACTCCATTCTGACAGAGATGACGGATCGCCAGAAACTGAACTCGGCACTGTGCGATTCGGAATTGCCGAGGATGGGTCGTGGACAATCGAAGCTGCGTACAGGTTCGTATAGCCGAGTTCCTCGAGGTTATCGAACAGTCGCTGCACATGAGCGGCGAACGGAACGTCAGCTGTCAAGACCACCTTGGCAGCAAGGTCTGGAAAGGCCGTTTGGAATGACTTGACCACGTCACTTAGGTCCAGGTCCATGGTAGTGTATACATGCAGAACCGGAAGCCTCGTGGTGGGAGACAGGCAAGCTCTGCCGTAGTGGACCACTGCATCTGCGTCGACATGTTCGGCTGCTATCTCATCAACGCAGCATGAGCCATAAGACGTGTCGCCCAGGATGGTGAGTTTGACGAACTCCGTGCCCTCAATTGAAAGTTCGGATAACAAGCCTTCATTGGCATCCAGGGAGCCCTTAGAGCTGCTATTTCGGCTCGTGGAAACTGGCTTCACATTTTCTGACAACCCACGGGTCAACAGCTGGTAGACTCGTGCAGAATGTGGCAGCATCTGATCGGGAAATTGCAGTGCCACACGCTTCCACCTCCGCTGCCTGATCTCGTCGATTGTCCTGCGTATTTCATATCTCGTCTTTATCTGCTCATCGGACAGAGCTTTGGGCAGATCTTGTACTGAGTCTAAAGTCTCTGTCAATATATGCGCGTCAGGTGTAGATAGAACGGGCGGCGCCGTGAGCTCTTCAGCCATGATTGCTAGGGGAAGACCGGACTGGTCTCAACCTATAGGCACGGGACCTTCGTATATATCCGCCTGGCGATAGGTACCTGACTGTTACTTCTGCAGAAACCGGGAGAAGGAAAATCCCTTAGAAGGCGAATATGGCCAAGGGCTCTCGTTTGTGGCGATCACCGCTTTTACGGGCACTTGGCTTGGCAGGGGCGACGAGGCTGGCAGCCTCGCCTTCTAGATTACTCACGCACATACATCCACGGTTGTTGGGTACCGCTGACTGTTTCCCTCACTTGAGCGCGTATTGCGCGTTACGATACACGTGGAGCGACAGCCGATGCCCAGATCAGAGCTGGTACCTAAAGTGGACACTCTCATCACCAACTTCGACATCCTCCTTGCCCTCCTGCACTATCTTCTCCCTACGCGTATTCTTCGACCTCAGGAGCCACCACAAACTCATCACGCCAATGCAAGCTAGTCCACAGCACGATATGGCAACGGCCTGTCCAGTTCGGTATCGCGGACCCTCTCTGTCCAGAATGATTTGTCCGCCAATTATCGAGCCAATGTTGCTGATCGTTTGATTGAATGCGAGTGCTGTCGCACGCTTGTACCGCGGCCCGATATTTCCGTTAAGCCAGGCAACGTTCAGCAAGAGGAGAACATTGCCGAAACCCAAGATCAGGAAACAAGCGAAATACTTTACTCCTGCAGGAACCTCCCAAGCGAGGAGGATCGCATAGCCGGCAACGGTGAAAAGGGAGAAAAACAGCATGAGCGGGGCCCGGCGCTGGGTACGATCCGCCAACCAGGCAAATAAGAACACCATCACCGTAGCAAAGAGGTAGACTGGAATGGTAAGGTACTGCGTCTGGAGGGTACCGTAGCCAAGACCGGTGAGAATTGTCGGGAGGAAGATCGACAGAGGATGGTAGTAGACACCGGCGCAGAGTTGGATGAAACCAGACAGCCAGCAAATCGGGGATTTCAGGGCTGCTACGACCTGAGACCACCTGAACGGCACGTCCTTGTCTTGGCTTTCAATTCGACATTGGGCGAGGCGCTTTTCTTCCGTGTTGAGAAAGCGTGCTGTTTCTGGAGAGTTTGGAAACAAAAAGAAGCTTGCGCATGCCCAGCAGAATGAGATGGCGCCTTCAACGAAGAAGATCCACCTCCACCCTGCGTAGGCTGGAACGCTGTCGATCTGCGTCAGGGCCCACGCGAATAGGCCGCCGAAGGCCCCGGACAGCGTTACCGCAATGTAGACCGCAGCCGCACGCTTTGCAATCTCTTCCCGCTTCCAGAAGAGGGAGACGTAGTAGTTGAGGACCGCGAAGGAGGCTGCTTCTGTCACGCCAAGGAGAATCCGGCAAGCTATCAGCGAGCCAGCATTGCTCATAAAGCCGGAGAACGTTGTGACCAGGGAGGTCGAAAGCAGTATGCAGGAGACTGTTGCATGGCGACGCTGTCAGCTAGCCACTTCTTCGCTGGATGCCAGTGTAAAGAAGACGTACTTAATTTGGAAGGCCCGAGTGGCTTGACAAGTAGTGTGATGGGGATCTCGAAGAAGATGAAGGTGGCGTAGAAGATGGACACCGCCCCTAAAGACATCATCAGTAAAGACGGCATGGCAATTTTCAGAAGCGAGCCACAAACAGTTGATCTCATTGCCATGCAAGTGTAGATCCTGCGGCATGCCTGCGATTTTCGCATTTCCCAGGTTCGAACGGTCCAGGAAGATCAGAATGTATGAAATAATGATCAATGGGACAAGGTACAAGTCCAGCTTTCGTACCAGGGCATTTTCTGATTGAGCCTCGTTTGCATCGAGGGTTCCGGATTCATCGGAAGGAGACGGGGCCATAGGTTTGACTTCTTTCTCAGCAGAGTTCAGAGTCGGCATGTTGTCGATGGGTGTGGTGTTTTTGAGCAGTTGGTCGAACAATTTCGCTTTGGAAGAGGATGTCGAGGCCTGCATCACATACCTAGGTATGCATGCAAGGAAGAGACAGGCTGCACCAGCGTCAATCAGGTAGTCACCAGGAAATGTCACCGGCAACGTGAGAGTGCAATTGTGAGAACCCGCTCAGAGCGGCTTTACTTTCAGTGCCTCACCAGGACCTGGTCACATGCTACATCGAATGATTCACCCACGATGATTGTTGACGCTATCGGGCACATCACCGACGACATACTTGTACTCGCACGGGCATATATGTGACTGCATTCGGGGTTACTCGGCGCAAATGGTCGAACGGTGCTGCATCGTCCAAGGATGTCAGTAAAGAGCAGTCTTCCTCTCATTTCTATGTTCTTCTTGACCTCCCTGATGTTTCATCGTGGCTGAATTTTGCCTGACGCCCGTCTTCGGCAGTAGGAGCAACAACGAGGAGCGTGTGGATTTGACGGACGCGTCTCGTGTAGGTAGGTATGGAACTTCCAGGGTGAAGCTACGCGTAGTGCGATTCAAAGCTTTGCGACTGTATCGGGCTGTCTACGATGCGCGATGCTTCAAGCTCATCGAGTGCAGAGCGGCTTCCACACTGTTGTGAATGTCCATCAATAGGACGTGCTCCAGGAAAAGTCAACCGATGCAACCGAGCCGGAGCCAAAGCAAGGGTCTTGGCACTTAGTCATCGGTAGAAGCGCTAGTCACGTGTGAGTCGAGCTTGCTTTGGCTGTTTCGCCTCCGATTTCCTCCTCGTCGTTCTTCATCAAAGCTCGTCCACCGTCAACCATGTCTATCCTACTAGAGATGTATCATGCTATCCAAGCATGCGTCGCTATGGTCGCAGCTTTGCTGTCAGCCATGGCAATCTATAATCTAAACCAATGGGAGCCACAAGCCGAAACTGCGTCACGTTATTCGAACATGGCTTCTTCACAGCTTCACAAAACCAGAACCACACAAACCAGCGGTGCATTAGCTGTGAGTTTTGTGACTTGTGTGCATAAATCAGGCTGCTAACCCTGGCAGACCTTGCTGTCTCTTGTGTCATCCGTGATATGTGTCGTGGCCGTATCATCTGGAGGGAACACCACTCCCTTTTTGCTGAGTGCCGCAAACAGCGGAGGCCTTTACCTGGCATACTCCCATATTGGAAATTTCTGGCGCGAGAAAGGCAAAGTACCTTTTTCGCGGACCTACAATGATGGTGTCAGATCTTCGCAGCAATTACTGCAAGTTCTTGGCGTACTGGGTGTCAGCTGGGCGGCGGCGACAGCGATATACCTTTTCAGGGCGATAGTGTAACTGAGGCAGCGGACGTCACCTGGTGAGGCTTGGTCAGCCCGTACGGAGCTGCTCATCACCCTCCAAACCTTCGGGTAAAGTCTGTGATGCAGCATTTGGCTAGGCTCTTCCAGGTTGGTGGGGTTGCTCGAGTCTGCGGTGCATTTCCCGGCATTGCCCCACGATGAATGACGAGCCACCAAAATCCCGCTTCCGATGCTGCAACTGTCATTCCGCTCTCTGGCTCGTCGAAGAAAAGGCTGCGGGGTCCCCTGTCGTCAAACTCACCACATCTATTCGTAAACTTCAGACTGTCGATTCTCAGCTCTTGTCACATCACTCTGAAGATACAGCCACCCTCCCCGACACACGAAACGAACACATCCTCCCGCGCTATGGACCCCTTCGAGTACAATGCCAACCCAGGCCGTGTGGTCTTCGGGAAGGGCAGTATTCAGAAACTCCCAGATGAGATCAGACGTCTGGGATTCTCATCACCACTCATCCTCTCCACCCCCCAGCAAGTCAGTCAAGCAGAAGACCTTGCGAAGATCTTGACCAATGCATCGATCGAGCCAGCTGGCATCTACACCAATGCCACCATGCATACTCCCTCACACATCACCGAAGAAGCCATGTCGTTCATCCAAGACAAGTCTGCAGACTGTGTCGTCTCAATAGGTGGAGGGTCAACAACAGGTCTGGGCAAGGCAATCTCGGTCCGCACCGGTTTATATCACATTTGCGTCCCGACGACATATGCCGGCAGTGAGATGACACCGATCCTGGGTGAAACGCAAGATGGCCGCAAGACAACGCGCTCAGACCCCAAAATCCTTCCCGGCACAGTGATCTACGATGTGGATTACACAATGACCCTGCCTACAGGCCTCAGCGCCACGTCCGGAGTCAACGCAATCGCCCACGCCGTCGAAGCGCTCTACGCGAAGAACAAGAATCCTATCATTTCCCTCCTTGCTCTCGAAGGCACGAAAGCCCTCGCCGAGTCCCTCCCAGAAATCATCAAGGACTCCAACTCTCAGCCAGCGCGTGAAAAGGCACAATACGGCGCGTGGCTATGCGGTGTTTGCCTTGGCTCTTCCGCGATGGCCCTACACCACAAGCTGTGCCACACGCTCGGCGGTTCCTTCAACCTTCCCCACGCAGAAACCCACACCATCGTCCTTCCGCACGCCCTTTCGTACAATGCACCAGCCATCCCGGAAGCGATGGAGAAGCTCGCCTCGGTCTTGCCTGGAAGCGAGGGTGACGCCACCAAAGGCTTGAATGTGCTGCTGGAGAAACTACAGGTGAAGCGAGCGCTGAAGGACTATGGCATGAAGGAAGAGGACATCGACAAGGCGGCAGAGATTGCTGTCAGCAACCAGTATCCCAACCCGAGAAAAGTGGAGAAGGAACCTATCCGCGAGCTGATCAGGCGGGCATGGGCTGGCGAGCCGGCTAGGGCGGATTTATAGGGACATTCCGTCGTCCAGAGTCGCGGCAGCGGTAGTGCGAGCGGTAAAAACGGACTTGACTCGTATGCTCGGGTTTTCGGGACTGTTCCAATGTGAAAAGCACAATTCAAATCATTGGCCTCGTCTCTGTTCGGAACTTTCCATGCTCTGACAAGTACCCGCCATGTGCAAGCTACTTCCCTTCGGAAGGACCCAGTCTATAATGCCACACCCAACAACATTTGTACAGAGTCCGCTGTCTATTCATCGCTTAGAGTCACAGGGCCAAATCTATAGCCTGACCTCGTCGGACACGTAACCTCTATCAATCAGTCCTGCCCCAAAAATCCACAATCGTCCTGACCACTTGCTCGGCCTTCGTGACCGGAACCTCGTGCCCAGCCTCGAAACCCACAAACTCGACGTTCCCACCCAAAATGTCGTTCGCGTCCTCCTCTACCTCCTTCTGGATGATAATGGGATCATTCCTCCCCAATACAACCAACACCTTCTTGTTCGTCCCATTGACCTGATTCTGCCGCGCGAGGTGTTCGCCAAAGATCCGCCACCGATCATGCTGATACCGCACAGGCCCGTACCGGATGCTCGACATAAACGCGTGCACAAACCCGGAGTAATTGTCCAATTGGAACAACACGGCCTTTTCCACCGTGACATGGGGCCGCGATTTCGAGAGCACCGCGCGACTATTCGACTCGAGATTCACCTCTGCTTTGCCCACCTCGGCCGCCGCCGCTTCAGTGGCACCGACTGTCTTCTCGGACGCCTCCTCTTGCGGAGTGGTCGTCGTCCGCAGCGGCCGAGCCATCGGACTGCGCAGCCGGCGGCGGACGACCCGTTCCAGGATCCCCTCCGGGATAATCCCCTCCGAGTAGATGATGTGGCTGGTCTTGCTGATGTGGTAGGGCCGCAGGATCCCCGCCGGCGCAAACAGGACCAGACTATCGATCAGCTCGGGGAAGTAGCTGGCGAAGGTCATCGCGATGCCGCCTCCAAGACTATATCCCACGAGGCTGAACTTGTTGCCACCATGCCCCGTCCACGGCAACGGCGACGAAGCGAGCACCAGCAGAATCTGCGTCGTGAAGAGCCGTATATCGTGAGGCAGGTCACCCGGCGTGTCTGAGTATCCGCGCCCGAAGAGGTCGAAGAGCATCACCCGACAGCCGGCGTCGACTAGGCCGTGCGCCACGCCGCCCAGTGCGATGGCCGGCGTGCTGATCCCGTGGATGAGGAGAACCTTGCGCCCTGTTTCGGGGCCGAATTCGTAGACTCGGATCGAGCCGTAGGGCGTGTCGACGTCGCGGCCGCCGGGGAGGACGTCGGGCGGGTAGGCCAGGTCGGAGATCTCCTCTTTGGATAGCTTGGGGAGGAGTGTCGTTCGCGGGGAGCGTAGTGTTGATGCACGCTTCTTGTTCCATAGGCCGCCGGCCAGGACGCCGATGGAGAAGAGCGCGCTTCCTGTCAGGAGGAGTGGCCAGTGTATTGACATAGAGTTGAGAGAGGATGCTGGCGCCATGGTGAGGGTGGCGAGGGTGAGTCGATGTATGCACTGTGCTCTGGGTTGAGCCAAGGTAGTCGACAGCCCAACACCGCAGGTCACGGCCAGCAAGGTTCTATACGGTGTGCACAGTACGGCGTGGAAAGGCCTGACTAGGGTATTTATCTCGTGCTCTGGCACCAGCACTATCCGACATCGCGAGCTGTTCCGGAGATGACGAATCAGCGACTTGCCTCGGTTGCACGTTGAAGTGCCGCCTCTCGAGTCCAGACTAGCCGTTTTCGGGACGAGCTACAGCCTTGCTGCTAGAGACTACCTACTGGCGATGGGGAGGAGAGAGTGGGCCTCGGACCCGGTACTGTACACTGATTGCTGTGTGTCACCCGGATCGACTATCTGCCAGTTACAGGTATTTACCACTATACAGACGATCATAACGTTCCTAATCGAAGCCTCGATTGCCCTTCCCTTTTGGCTTGGAAATCATGGGTATCATGTACAGCCATCCCCCGACGCCCCTGCTTTTCGGAACAATTGTTCACATAGATCTCACAAGGAAAAGTCGAGCGCCTTTCCCCCAGATTTGTCCTTACCCTTGTTTCTCTTTCTCTTCTTGCGTTTCTGCTTCGCGCGATCCTCCTCGTCACTGCTTTCGTCAGCAGCGGAATCATCCATATCATCGTCTGACGACAAGTCGTGTTTGGTTGAAGCCCCTCTTCCACCGCCTGGCAGTCCCTTCGCTTCAGTCCATACCTTGACGGTCTGGCCTCCACTGGTGATCATTCGGCCCTCAATGTCGAATCCGACAGCAGCGACACCGTCGAGATCGTCATGTTTGGCATCCATGTCGAGGAGAACTCGGTTCCGACCAATCCTCATGAATCGTACTCTTCCATCTTCAAGACCAGCCGCGACAAGCTTTTCGTTCATCTTCAACTTGCCGCCTCCAAAGCCAAAGGGTACTTCAGCAAGGGTATCCACGCTGAGGCCACTGCGATCAAGCACAATTCGCTCGTCCAAGTCACCCCATACACCTCGCTCCCACAAGCTGACCACTCCGTCACTTTGGCCAACCAGGATCTTCTCGCCGACGCTCGTGCCGCCCTTCTTGAGACCCTGCACCATAGCAACACTCGTCAGCTCGATTTCCTGGTCTTCACTTGTCGCAATTGTGCCCTTGCGGAGATCTGTGACTGCAAGTGTAGTCCCTCCGACGCTGACCCATTGCTTGGGAAAGCCGCTTGTGCTGGTCTCGCTTGCTGGTAGAGGAACGAGCGAGTTGATATGTTCCGCCCCATGTGGTGTCCATGTCTGGCTTACACTTGCCTGCATCTCTTTGCCTCCATGTCGTAGATCGTGCAGGTAAAGATGCCCCGAGTCTGTGCCCAGTAGCAGAGCCTGCGGTGAAAGTGCATGCAGGACAGTCGGCCCATTGGTCACCCCTCCAGCACTAATCTTGTCTGGTATAGCGATCTTGCTCACGACCTTGCCAGTGTCTGTCAGAAATGCCTTTACGAGCCCATCCGTGCCTGCTGAGTAGCATATCTCTCCATCGTGACTGAATGCCAGACATCGACATGAGCCCTTGTGTCTTCTTGTTGTCCATATCGTATCGATTGAGCCCAGTCCACTCTCCGAGAGGCTTGTCGAGGAAGCTCTGCGCAGGGAAGGTATGATCGAGCCATTGTCTAGGTTGTCGTTCTTCGGAGGAGAGGCAGGGTCGTCCCCAGAGTCGTCCTCGATCACGTCCGCGTCGGAGGGGAGCTTGTAGGTGTACACATGTCCCGAAGACAAGCCGATCGTGAATAAAGGCTGAGTCGGATGGACCACTTGAGCGAAAACGTCCGAGGGAAGAGGGAGGGTGCAGATGGTGTCGAACATGACGAGGAATCAAGGCACTCGCATAATTTGAGCTGTCTTGATCCGGTTGCCAGCGATTCGCGAGGTACTGCACAAGGCTGATCGGAAGAACACTGCATCAAGAGGCACGAGTAAGCTGCACCTAAGGCGGCAACCCGAAGATCTGCGCCAGTAGTTCCGGAGCTTCTGCTTAACTCGGCCCTAAAGGAAAAGTTTCCGGGCTCGCTAGGGCTGCTTACCCCCTGCAGCCAGCATCCTGCTCCCGTTTGTGGGCATGCCAAAAAGCTCAACGGCGGAGGCTGCTTCTTTGAACAGCCAATTACTAATTCATCAGCACTTTCTCTCCAAGCACCAACCCATGTGGGTCCCGTTCACCTACATGGGTAGATATGTTGTCTTGTATGTTGGTGGACTGGCTTTGGAGCGACAGTTTTATCCATGTTTGAGTGACACCTGGAGATCGCATATTCTTGGGCGGATAGGTGTCTTCCCACGCTCTCTACAGCACAATACTTGGGTATATCCATCCCTCGTCACATCTGTTTGATGGTCGGCCATTTTCAAAGCCTCCTACACTACCACGATGACTTCGGCGGACGATATCGAAGGAGTTACGGCTGTTCTAGTCGATGAGACGACCGCTTTGCTTGCTCCCTCACCTAAGCAGCCGACATCTCGTGATACTGGCGACGAGCGTCAAACCTTCAGTGGTGGCATCGACACAGCCGAAGACAAGCCCCTGCCCAAGGACCAGATTCTATACCTCTGCTTTGCGCGCTTCGTCGAGCCAGTTGCGTTCTTCTGCATATTCCCCTTCGTCAATCAGATGATATGGGAGACTGGGGAGGTGGGCGAGACAGATGTCGGCTTCTACAGTGGGCTGATTGTAAGCATCCTTCCCTCGGGTTTTTCGAGTTGTACAGCTAATGGATGGCCTCCAGGAATCATTATTCTCGTTAACACAAATGTGCCTCATGATTCTCTGGGGTAAAGCGGCCGATCACTTTGGAAGAAAACCCGTCCTCGTCAGCTCACTGGCGGGCGTCGCAGTCGCAACTGCCACCTTCGGGCTCAGCAGAACAATATGGCAGATGATCGTGTTCCGATGTTTCGCTGGCATCTTTGCTGGAACGGTCCTGTCAGTTGCCCTCTTTCGGGAGTATTCAAGCATGGTGACCAGCGTCTGACGACCAGCATAGGACAATTCGCACAATGATCACCGAGAATAGCACACCGCAGACGCAAGCCAGGGCTTTCAGTTTCTTTGCCTTTACGGGCAATCTAGGTATCTTCCTGGGTCCGGCTATTGGTACGTGATCTACGGCCCCAGTTTCCATCAACGATGACTGACAGGTCATCAGGAGGCGCATTGTCCAAACCTGCAACCGTATACCCGTCTGTTTTTGGGAAGATCAAGTTCTTTCGCGATTATCCGTACGCGCTGCCCACATTTGTGACGGGCTCTATAGGCGCGATCGCAGCAATCACGAGTGCGTTTGGACTCAAGGAGGCATGTCTGTCCACACTCTGATCGGGAATACTCTGGCTGATCATGTCCTTCCGGACAGACACTTGTGAAAAAGGGCAACACGACAGAGTCCGATCCGCCTAAGAAGATGTCCATGATTGAACTCCTGCGATCACCGAACGTCACAATAACCCTGTTTCTCTACGCCTATATCATGATGCTCGCCTTCAGCTATACAGCAATTGTAAGTTCAACTGACCCTCGGCCCACATGGTGGCTGCCATGGGGAGGAAGTCCGTGCACCACGCGCGTTCCACCAGCACTAATACGGAATTTCAGGTCCCCGTGTTCTTCTTCACGCCCGTCCACCTCGGCGGATTCGGGTTTTCGCCGCTCTTGATCTCCATTTTTATGGGACTTGGCGGCCTTTCGCAATCGCTCTGGCTCCTCATCGCATTTCCGTGGCTTCAAGCGAGATATGGCACGAAATGGATCATGAGATTATGCGCTTTGGCTTACCCTTTCTTCTTCGCATTCTATCCGATGTGCAATTTGTTGTTGAGGTGGCATCTGACGGCCACTTTCTGGGCAATTGCACCTGTTGCTTCAGTCCTGGGTAGCGGAGTCGCCATGTCTTTCACAGGCATTCAGCTTGTTCTTAACGATGTGTCTCCCGGTCCGGAAGTCCTGGGAACATTAAATGCAGTTGCGCTCACGTTAGTGAGCGGCTTGAGAGCCTTTTCACCTGCGTTGTTCGCAAGTCTGTTTGCGACCAGTGTAAGAAGCGGGGTATTGGGAGGCCATGTCATTTGGATCTTGATGGTTTGTCTAGCGGTAGGGTTTCCGTTCCTAAGCCGATGGGTGCCGGAGCCGAGCAAGCAAGGGGGCAACAAGTCATGTTCCCACATGCATAATGGCAGGACAGAAGATGGAAACGAACAGTAGAAGAACATGAAGGGCGGTCACGATCTGCCGCCACGAGAACTCATTTGGTATGACACAAAGTTGGTGCTGGAATCTTGCCGATAGACATGACCGCGTACCTAAGCTGCAGGGCAGAGCTAGGAGTTCGGGAAGCACCACATGAGCCGGACATGACATGGGGACTTGGATAGACATCTGGACTCGCCATTGGCTGCTGATTCTTTCCTTAAACCATCGAGTGCTGTAGAATCGCAAAACCAGATATCCATCCTATGGGTGCCATGAGCCTCACAGACACAATTCGCTTCTACTAAAGAGTCTCTTCAAGACAATGTGGGGAGGAGCGATGCACAGCCTCGTGTGAAGCTTTCCTCAATGGCAGCCTTGTTTCGGAGAAACTTTCCGTTTTCTCTCCAAACCTAAAGTGGGTTAGCGTAAACGCACCCCCCGCGACGCGTCGGAGTCAGGGCGAGTCTCACCTCTTCATTCTGCTTTGTCCTTTGTCCCACCACTCATCCGTGGACCTCCGTCAGCCACAATCAACAAGGATCGGTCGATAAACCACGGCTTCTCGGACCATCTTCTGGTTCGTGATCGCATCCATGAACTCCATCAGAGGGCCAACTCTGTTGCGCTCGTTGTCGAAGCGCCCGAGATCTTCTTGTCTGAACTTCGTCGCGTGCGTCCCAACCACCGCTGGAACTTGAGATCCGCGTTCCAGCAAGATGAAGTCACACACAGTCGTTCCTCCGTGAAGGAACGCGTCGACTCTGGGACTCCCTCGAGTATTCTCCAAAGTCATGTTGTCAAGTCTGGCGTGGGCCAGCTCCAAGTTACTCAAAATGCCTGAGTGGGATGTTGTTGCTTGAGCTATGATACTCCGAGGATTACGAGGATCTTGACGAGGGCAATGGTAACGGAAGCACAGAATACTTCCACTGGATTCGTGTTAGTCACGAGATAACAATCGAGCGGACAACAGTCAACACAACTCGGGAACAAGCTACTTATACGTATTGGTGGCAGGCAGGCTGGGTCACAGACGTGCGAATTGCAAGCTACCGTCTCTTGTTCAGGCCCATGTTTCCTACCCTACAACGAACCGGTTACGGGAGTCCTTCCTAGGTCTTTACGAAAGCGACTCCTGAGTGTCACCCTTCATTGCCACCCCACTGAACGTGGACAACGGCCTGATCCAGGCAATGGCTGGCAACTCACTCCATTAGCCTTCCTTTTGCCTGGTCCCTGAACTCATGAAGATGGCAGTGCCACAATTTCTAAGCAGGCTAAGCATTGGTGAGGTGCGGCAGGTCAGAGATGTCCATTATACCGAAAGACGATGTATGTCGGCAAATATGGTACGAATTTCACGGGACTCATCCCACGAAATCTGTTCGACCATCCAGTGGCTTTTCCGCACCAATTCTTCTTGAACGCCGAACCACACAGGTCACATCCACGAGTTCTGAAACCGCGTGGAAGCAATCTTCTAGTCATCACATCACAGCTCTTGACGAACTTCCCGAGGGAAGTATTCCGTCGGTGAAAATTAGATCGGGCTGTGCAATTCTCAATTGAAGAATTCGGGTGTCGATCGATCGATCGACGTCAATTTCCCATGTGGCATCACAGATGGATAGGCCTAATTGGGAGCTGCATGCAGGGATTATTGCATTTACTGTAGCCCCGGATTCCCCAGATACACTAGTCGGGGCGCTACAAGTCGGGCGTCTCTCCAACCCGACTTATTCCGATATAGCCAATGAGGACCGTGGGTTTTGAGTTTATGCGCATGTGAGGCTTGATCGGTTAGGGCTAGATACAAAGTACCTTGCACCGGAAGCGGATTTCTCAAACAACAGGCGACGGAGCCACCACAGTGTATGAGGCAGTGAGAGCCCTTACTGAGCGCATTGGCCGAAATCCAAGGAGGAGGCAGGAGCACGAGAACAACAACTACCACGGGCGCCAAAATTGGACCCCACGCCAGGGTCAAGTGTATGAGGCAGCCAACACTTCCTTGGGGGACATGACATAACGATCCTCGTCCCTGTCCAAGCACTCACCACGGTCCCAGATGGAAAAATTCATCGAGCAAACGGTGCTCTTCACCGGCCCTCTGCTCTGGTGGCAAATCGGCCACGCTTCCCAAAGGTCGAAAGTCTAATTTGTCAAGCGTTGATCATTTTGCGCCGCTCAACGCATGTGAGCAAGCAAGTGCTGGTAAGAATCCCCCTATCCCGGACGTTGCACCCACGCGCAAGTTGTCATGGGATGAACATACGAGAATCACTGCCTCTCCCCTTGGACTTGGCATGATCATTATCAAGGCACAGGAGGTTAAATTAAGCTGCAGGTATGGAGTAAGTATTGCTCCGTTATATGCACCACACCAGTCGTGCCTACAATCGGAGAAACGAAGGTCCGTTGTCAACGCTATCACTAATAAAGGCACGTGCCGCACTCGTCGTCCGAGACGCGGGGCTTCCATCTCGCCCAGACCTGCATTTCCCCGCGTTGTCGAACATTGATAAAGCCAAATCAATGGTTGGATTTCCCTCTCTTGGGACTTGCCGATGTCTGCGACACATGAAAGGCGAGGGCAGCAGTCAGAAGGTTCAGTTGCGGCGTGGAACACCGCTGTGATCTCCACCGACTGACCAGCAGTTGTGATGCTCGCGCCACTCTGCCCGATGATGTACCCTCTGTTAGTATGAGCACGTCGTCGTGATGATCAGTGTACAGTTCAGTCAGTACAGGAAGCAGTCTGTGCCTCTTTTCAGGCCTGGCGGCGATTAGCTCTTTCCACCCAGATTGTTGCATGCGCTGGATCTCTCACCTTCCTGGTATGTTTTTGCGTCGTGCCAAAGCACTGGGTCTGTCAGACTATCCATCACCTCTTCAAGCTTTTGCACAGCCGATGTGCTTGACCTGTCCTTATTTTTAGCGCTTTTCGCGCCCTCCTGGCTTTTCTTCCGGCCTGTATGACTTCTCAACACTCTTCCAGGTGCTTGCAGCAAGCGGTCGGCAGGATTGTCGGTCGAATGAAGATGGGCTACGAGAGTGGACTGGTCGAAAGGCTCTCGAGGCCCCATGAGCACTAAGTTCTGTCCAGGTATGGCGCAAACAGACTTCGCCTATCACTGGGCAAGGCTGAGCAACGATGATACGAATTCACAACAGCGAGCGTCAACCCGCAGGTGACTGGCTTTTCTCAACAGTCAGCAGTTTCTTGCCGTGCCTCCGGAGCGATAGGCTTACATTACGCGGCAATGTTGACGGCTTATGGATAACGACTGCCTGTCGTTGTATCAACTCAGCAGGTTGTTGTAACGGTTCAGGCAGAAGATGATGATAATGATGCTGCTGCTGCTTGTTGTCGTCCAGCGAAGCGGGAAGTGTTCGGGTGAGCGAAATGCCAGACAGTCATCTGCAGAAGAAGCAAGAGAGATTTATACCGACCCTGGGGCTCAATCTCCTCCATTCCCTTGGTCACCGGTCGTCACTTGACCAGGCACCTGACACCACCAACTCTACATTGCCCCAAGGAATTGAGCAGATGTATCCAATCGCCGAGGCACGCCTGCATCATGATGAGATGGTCACTGGGTTTTCTTGCGATGTCATTCAATCCAGAGGCAAAGTGTTTCGAACTGAATGTGGCCCTGGATCAATACGGATGGAAAGGATTACTTCTTCGGTCCTACGTCAAGATCACCTGACGAGGCTAACACCCCTTCGGAATCTGTTACCTAAGGACAGCTGGCTGCTGTCCAATCTGCAAGAGGCTGTGGTGAAGTGGAAGAAAGGGCGTCAGGTACCCGTGGATATCCGCAGTACGTCGAACTGATAAGCATTCTCCCCGCCATTGGTCGACTGTCTACGACACAGAGATTCCCCAGGATTATTCAGATATCGGTCCGGCTGCTTACGAGCGTGGCTGTTGAGCGCCCTCAGCCGGCCACATGTGTCAATCCGGGGTACATGATGCTAGCCAAAGAGGCCAAAGTTGTCTTATCTCTGGTTACTATTGGTATTCAGCCCTACCAGCCACCGTCTGGGGTATTACTCTCGCCAAGACCGAGATCTTTGTGGTTTGCGACTTACCCTTATCGCGAGGCTGTGCCACGTCATGCCTGACATTCAATCATTGAACTGGATCCGATGCCGGTTGTCGCCTACACTACGGTGTTGACCGAGACGTTCGAAAATGATGGCAGGCTATGAACAGATAAGCAGCAGGACTGTCCTGGCAACGAGATATGCAGTGCGGCCAAGCTCAAATCACGTCTGGGCATTCAGCTGTCTCACGAGTTCTTATCCTCGAGTGCATGCTGAGTGCCGGTGTGGCGTAACATCTTGCGCGTCGTGAATGTGATATCGTGGAAGATGGATGCGTCGTGCCTCGGCTTGGCTTCCCCCGTCTTCACGGTCAGCAAAAGTTGTGAGCAATCTGCACACTCGGATCCAGCGCTTTCTGGGCTGCGACGTCCAGGAATCGAATGGCTGGAACATGCTTGCGGCCAGTTGCGTGGTGGGGCTGATGGCGCGCTGAAAAGAACATGCTCAACTTAGCGCCATCTACCCCAGCACGTTTCCAAAGCCCTAAGCGTGGCGGAGCATGACGTGCTACTCAGCACACACTAAGCCTTGGAACGGGCACGGACCTGCTTCAATAGTGTTCAATGCGGCACTATCGAGTCGAAGAAAGTCAGATTGATTATTGGAGATCATCATCGCGCAACATCAACAGCAAGACCCTGGACGACTTTCAAAAATATCGAATCGAGCCAGAGATGTCCAGCAGCAGCAGCAATTTTCTTAGGTATCCAGTACAAGACAAGCTCGGCAATGTCTCCTCTCCGACACCGCTTGAGCCTCGCTCAGTCCAACGACAATCAACCGGGCAGTTGGCTGTCCGAGCTCAGCTTGTTGCATACTGCTCCGGCGTTGGAAATGTCGGATACCAGCGACAACTGTTATGAAATAGTCCGCTTCAGGGAAACACATCCTATTCTCCGCCAGAGCGACGACCTTCCTCAACCGATGCACCCGAGATCATTGGAAGTTCAGCATGTTCTTCCAACTCTCGTAGTGCGACATCCCGTGAATACGAGTGAGTCCCCTCCTGGAGTCCTGAGTAACATCAGCTTGATTAAATTCAGATTGGTGGTGCCAGTGTTTCTCTTACCCTTTTGGTCTTCTCTTGCAACCCGAAGAAGCTCCGGGTCAGTGTGTCTGTCCATCTCCTTCTTGAGGCTGCGCATAGCCTTTTTATCTTTCTTCTTGCTATCCTTTCCTCCTTCCGCGGCATTGGGATACCCTGCTGCCTTGTTGCCGCTTTGGAGGGCATGTCCACTGCCATTGCCTAGACGGTCGATGAGGTTGACGGGGTAGTATAGGTAAGAATCAAGCAAGCCTCTGCAGACATCCTTGTTGGAGTCCATGGCGACGTGGTGTCGACGGATTGACGGTGAGTGTGGCGGCTGTGGTTCGCAGATGAGATCCCACAGGAAGGAAGATGGTCGTTCTCTGTCAAGATATGACGAGGCTGACCCTCCAAGGATGACCAAAAGGTAAGTGATTCACTGACCAAGGACCAAAGGAGATGGACGAAACTGTTTGTCACAAGGGGAAGGGCGGAAAGATTGGAAGTCGTTCAAGAGGGAACACATTGCATTCTTATACCTTGAGGAAGGAGAGTGTTCCCATCCTTGGTCGGGGCGCATCTGATGAGCCCTCAGTCATTGCTCGCCGGAAGGAGTTATAGACCAATAGATGCTGGTTATGGCACAGTTGATAACCTTTCGAGTCGTGGCTTGGGGGAGAATCCTGCAAGGATACATACACGTAACGAATGGGCATTCGCGGCTGGGAGGATACGCCACGCTCATCCACTCGACTCGGTCACGACTCTGCTCAATCTATGCAGCAAGAAATATGGAACTGTAAGCGGGACACGCGGTGGTCATGGACTTGGGTATTGTCGCTGAGGCGAGGCGGTCGGACCGCCTCGCCAAGACGGCTGTTGCCGACCTTGCATTAGTGACACTGGTTCGCATCTTGGGTTCGCATTTTTTCGTGTTCCCCCTGGCTGGTTGCCTGCCCGCAACAGCTAGTGTCCGTCAAACAGAAGGCCAATACCCCCGAACCCCTCTCTAACTAGGTAGCTTACCGTCCTCGCCACATATCTTACCGTCCTCGCCACAGCCCTCGCCACATATCTTACCGTCCTCGCCACAGCCCTCGCCACATATCTTACCGTCCTTGCCACCTACCTTACCGTCCTCGCCACAGGCCTTACCGCCCTCGCCACCTAACTCGCACCACTCGTACCGTGTATCTCACCACCTACCTCACTATTACCCGCCTTTGATTACCTTGATAGGGTTTAGTAGGATCTCGATTCTCTGTGACTCGCTTCCGTCTCTGGCGGATCCAGAACTGTCATTGTACAGCGGCTCCTTCACCCTCCGGTATGCAGACTCTGCGGAGGCCGTGAATGGTAGACAGAGAAAAGGCGTCCAGTCCTCTGTACGAGTATTCCGTGCTCGGTAGGTCTACCGATTCACGCTAACCAAAAACATCAGGCTCTTAGCTCGCGCATGTTGCCTCATGAGTCGATTCTAAAGCAGAACACGTCGTGTCATAAAAGACTCTGGCATTCATTGAACTTCATCCTAAGTCATCACTCCTAACTTTGCAAACACTTCTCCACCGATATTTGGACACATCTGATATGGTAATCCTTTACTTCTGGCTCGCTGCCTCGAGCAGACTTTTCTCGTTATTTCCACCTGCTGAGCAACCGACAAGTGCTCTTTTTTATACCTGCTCATTTGCACAAGCTAGGCATACGACAGAGTTCCGTCCTGGAGTCCTGAATCTAGTGAGCATCTTGTTCCTCAAGGGCTTGGGTTCTGCACACCTCGTTGATATGCTTGGGCGTCGCTGAGGAGCACCCGGTCCGTTATCTTGTCCATCTCCTTCTCGAGTCTAGTCACGGCGAAATCATCGCCCTTCTCATTCTCTTGACCACCTTGCGTTATTGCCGTGGGTCGGTTCACCGAAGCTTTGTTCTTGTCGCTTCGGAGGACGCGTCGGGTACCGTCGACGAGCCGGTCAGCGACACTCCTAGTGGCGTACAAGTAGGTGGAGAGCATGTCTTCTCCTGCGGAGCTACGAGGGCTCATGACCAAATTCAAGGGCAGATGCCGACGTTAGAGTCGATGATTCGGCAGAGGCGTGAGGTCGCCGGGTTGAGCATTCAAGATTGCTATTCGCGAGGGTCAGTTGGTTGCTCGGCTGTACTCCGGCATACTTGGTGGAGGGCTGATGAGATCGAGGAGGAACACATACCAGGTGTTGGTGTTGTGAAGGCGCACGGGGTTCTGCACGGGAGACGATGGGTTCTCGATGAAGGAAATGAAAGGGGAGCAGGGGCGATGTTTGTCGACACGGCCTAGCTGGCAAGTGAAGGCAACACACAGGAAGACACACGAAGAAGGCATAGGTGAGTAGAGGAGAGACGGAGGAAGCGCAAAGTCCTAGAATCAGCCATGGGATTATATACCAGGCTATGCACCTCCTGTTTGCCCTGTTTCTGTGTACGCGAGGTCGGAGCCACATATGCTGGTCGAACTCCTGGGATGATGCCCATGCGTGGCATCAAGACGGCCAATTAATCCATCGAGCGTAAGCAGGAGTGATAAGACGGCGACCGTGGAGAAGAAACTTGGATCCCAAATTATTCACATCCTGGGTCGATTTCGGGTTGGACACGAGGCATGGCGCATTGGGCGTGCCGGCTCAGCCAATCACATGCCGAGCGCAGCGCCATGCGGGTGAGTAGCCCTACGAGTTTATGCGCTAGAGCATTCAAAAGCTCTGACTGCACGTACTCCACAGTTCCGTGTCACTTGTGGGCTTTATACGAGACGCTAGCCCATACACAGTAAGCGTGTCCGTCACAACGCGGGCAAAAGCCCCTCCACTCCGACCCGCGACCCAATTAAACCCACCACAATCGCTGCCTTAACAACGAGGCTTCCACTCACCACGTCTAATAGAGGCGATCTTCTCAGTGTAGAGAAACGTATATCGCTTTGTCTCAAGGCTATCCGCTTTTCGAGGCATCCCCCATGAGGCCTCGTCCTCGAAAGCACGAATCTATGCAGCACTTCATGACACCGTACTTCTCAGACCGCGGCAGCAGTACCGAGTCCCGCTCCTCGAGCCTTGAACGTCAGCCACGTCCCTGGGTATGCGTGGCCACTGCGCATACGAAGTACCAATTGTTCGAGTCCAGTCTACGCTAGCCCAACCCGGCAGTGAGGAATTCTCTGAGCAACTCATCTTCACACATTGCATGCATACACAGCCGGCGATGACCATTGTCAACAGTCGAGCTAATTACTTGTGCGAGTCACGACTCACGAGCCCTGTACTATGACGAGCCGGATCCTTTACTCCTATCCTACGACATCCCGTTCGTATACAATGGCGGCCGCCACAATCGTCAGGTCGGTGATCTTGTCCATTTCCTTTTCCAGCATCCTCATGGTGGCGTCGATCATCTTCTCCTTGTCCTCGGCATTGGTCGTGCTAGCGGTACGGTCAAGGACGTTGCGTCTTCTGGGGTTATGGCTTTGCGCCAGAATGAGACGGTCGGCGAGGTTATGCGTTGAGTAGAGGTAGGTGTTGAGCATGCTTTCGGGAGACGCCATGTTCGTTCTGCTGATGGCGGCGTGGATGACACACGCAGGGAGAGAGAGATAGTGGGGATCAATATCTGGAAGGCTATGGATATGGTACGTCCCAGGCGTACTGGCTGCTTCTAGTAGTCCTATAGGGCGCCCTTCTATGCTGTGGATAGGCAGCACTCCCGGGGCCCTGGCTTGGATGAAGTCTGAGAGCGGGCACGACAATGACAGTGACGGTGGACTCCTGGTAATTTGATGTTAGGGTATGGAGGGATGAAGCGAACGCGTGGGTGACGAAGGACTGACTGGTTGAAAGTACAGCGGGTGCGCAAGCGGCGAGGCTGCCAATTTAATGAGAGGACGTGGAAAGGTGTCGTGCAGAAGCCAGCAAGGTGTCGAGCAGGCACAGAGCTAGGAACACGAGTCCCGCATGCTATGTTGCGAAGAGGATAGAAAGCAGAGAGACGAGCAAGGCCGGCTGTCTCGAGCATCGATATATATACCATACTGGCACAGGAAATGCCGAACCTCGTATTGCCTCCGCAGGTGGCAGATGCGACTGACTGCGCCCTGAACTTATCCTGTCATCGGGGTACTCTTTCAAGCTCGACGAATGCAAAGACATTGCTGTCTGGTGGTAAGTAAGATGTGTAGCGGAGTTCTAAACAGACTGGGCTGAGGCCGGATCGACTCCGCTCAGGGAAGTGGACAAATAGAAAGGCGGCCTGCCTGCTCATTGGTGGATCGGATTTGCTTCCGGCCCTTACTCCGACTCTATATTCCGTCTGGACCAACGGGGCAACGCCCAGCATGGACAAGACCGACCGGCAAGGATGATCCAACGTTATCAACAACAAACGAATCTTACCCAGTGTAAAAGAAACCCCACCCAGGGAGACTTGACTTGCTACCGGCCCATGTTTGGGTCGGCCCACCTAACCACATCATTCGCTATTGGAGGATGGCTCAACGACGCATGCGCATGCAGTGTTGTGGTGCGGCGGTGTTCTAGGGATGGGAAGACACTGTGATGCTGCATTGGCACCACCTCAAGGCGCTGGGTCGGGCGTAAGGTCTCGCAGTGGTGGTACTCGTACAGTTGATGCGGCCCTCGTCAACCCCCTGTCATGTCTACCCAAGAATACGATCATGCCAGACACGCGCCCGCCGATACGGAGGATGTTCTGCCTCGCGCTGACATGTCCGACCCAAGATGTGGACACAAAGACATGGTGAATCTAGTGTCGTCTCAGCTGAAGATTAGCTTCTGGACCGTTGCATGCTTCGCGGTCTGTAAGTCTCAGCCTCATTCCGCAGACACTTCGGCGAAGTCCTGCCGCCATGGTAAGTTCTTGCGGTCGAGCAAAAATCGTAGTTGTCATGTGTCGTAACTCAGTGGCCACAAACAAGGAAGCACTCATGACCAGGACGGCATGTACATGGGTGCGCCATGCTCAATGTTGACCGCGAAAGGTTGACCAGCTTGAATGGTGGGATGGACAAGCAGAACGTGCGTTCATCCCACGTAGCAAGGGGAGCGCATCGCATGCACGAGCGACTTTCATCAGACACGAGGAGCGGATGAGCGTATCAAGGGAGGGTCCGTGCGCAAGCCCCAGCACGCACAATCTCTGACCGCCATGGTGCGTGGGACTTGTTTGGTGTGACGTAGGAAACGTGGGTTGCGTGGAGGGTGCGGGATGGGAAGTGCAGGTCTCATGTTCTGGGGAGTGTCGTACTGCGTGGAAGGTTGACACTATGCGTGCTGAGTGGAGGAGGAAGGTAAGGAGTGTTAGTCAGCCATGCTGCAAGTACTGTACCCTGTCTCGTAAGGCCAGATGGAATCATCCAATGGGCCTTTTTTTTGGGAGGAAATTGGGCGTTTTTCCCCAGTTTAATCATGATTGGTTCACAATGGTTGTACCTTGCTTGTTATGCTCCTGCGTAGTGATTCGGCGATGTAAAGCGTGTGAAGCGCTACATTCTTTCGCCGTCCGCCGCGAGCGTTCGTCCCTGTGTGCTCCGTCGTGGAAAGCTTGAATATGAAGCGCCGACACGGTATTCTAGTCTGGCATCCATACAAGCAGATTCGAAGTGGCGCCATGTGCAAGCCGAAGCTCGTCGCAGCCGTCTTAGTAGATCGAGATTGCGGGATGTCGGAACACGAAGAAAACACGCCAAGCACCATGCTATAGCAAGGAGGACGACATGAGCGTACGTGGGGTCAAGGTTCGAAATGGACTACGGAATACAGGTGACACCACGGAAGAGAATTGCAGAGATGGAAGAGTCGAGCTGAAAACGAAGTGCGGCTCGGCGGAAATCGAACTTGTGGAGATCACATAATCAAGCCGCCAAAGCTTCCATTTTCGGCACGCCTGTCCAGGTATTTCGTCACAGCTGCAATCACCAAGACGACATTCTCGTTTCATCATGCAATGAATCATTTCGTACCGCTGCCAACGAATAACTCCATCTGAGAAGTCTTGGTTTCCCACAATCTATCCTTCGCGAGCTCATCGCAGCGACAGGCTCTCAGTGCACCCAAGAGCCCAGCTCGTGCTCGGCTTGGATTGCCGACCCTTCAATCACTGGATGACCACGTCGGTGTACGAGCGTATTCCTTGCCTGAACTCTGTGCTCTGTCAGTGTCTCTATCATTGAGATGGACAACGCTGCAGGGGCTCACCTTCTTGAAGTACTCTGGCAGAATGCAGAAGTGCCCTATCAGTCATCATGTTCAACTCCTTATCCAGCTCGCCCACTGCAGCCGTATCCTTCTCGTCTTCCTCCCTCTGGCTGGTCGCGTTTGCAGACAGATCTTCCGTGTTTGTATTCCTGAGGTCTCTCCGCATGCCGTGGAGCAACCGGACGGCGATACTGTCCGTTGGACGCAGGTCCCACTCTAGCATGAGTTTGGACGAGGACTTGTGGTGTCCCATGTTGTCGAAGAGGAGGGGCGGAGTGTCCTGTGGCTGAAGACGAAAGACGCAAGGCTGGGAGTATCCGAACCTTTTGTCACGTGACCTGAGGTGAAGAGAACTGCCAGAGAACTTGAGCCATGAGTAGGTGACTGACAAACTGAACAAGATGTGTGTGGACTTAGACTCACCGGTGCTGTAGAGGTTCTGCGGTCTGCAAAGTATGTGAGAGGGGAAGTGAAGGGTGGAAGTACTACGAGTACGCAAGGAGCAGTCACCAACGGGAGCTTCACAAGATGCACTTCCGCGTCTCGCTACCAATGGGAAAGATGTGCGGGTTGTCTTCAATGTTCGAGTCACCTGCGGAAAGGAAAGGAGGAGATGACCAACTTCAGAACTCAGTCACTGGGGCTTTTATATTCTCCTTACCCGCCTTTGCCTTGTTTCTCTCAGGAGAGCATGAATGACTTCTTGATTAGGTCGGAGATCGTTAGGTCATATGGTCCGCCAAGGGATGTATGCCTATGTGTGAGGGTCAGTAGTTGGGCGAGGATTCCGTTGCTCGAAGTGTAATGGCGTCTTCGCAAACCATGCTCCGTTCACCGGCAGGGGCTCGGTGGCGAGACCCATTGTCCAAGCAGCAAAAAGGTAAAAGCTGTGTTGAAGGTGATAAACATGATAGTTGCAACGTCAAGTGACGCCTTGCCAGGCCACACGGCCCTTGCAACAAATGGTGGGGCATCAGCACTTTTGCTAGTACGCACGAGGTTTCGTGTGAGTAGAGTAGTCGAGTCCGATATGTTGATGCTTCGTCAGAACACAGTTTCACCGAAATGGATTAGTGGCATAAACCCACGGATGCCAAGCCCAACCATATGGGGGCTGATGGCTACTTTGGACCCACTTGACTAAGCCCAATTTAATGCCCGCGGAAACCTCTTGCTGCCCGCGACAGGATTCGTCCGTCCTGCTTGTCAGTACACTACCTCGTACCCGCGTCCAGCACCCTTCCCTCCGGCTCTGTGTGGTAGCACACTGCGAGGTATGCATACTGCCTTCAATAAGCCCATTCTTCTGCCCCTATCGGCTTTCGAGCATACTGAGCGCATTCCCTGAAGCATGCTCCTTCTTACATCGCATCGAGAAAATGCATCTGCTCCACAATGTGAGGCTACAAATCGTCAACGCTGTATGATTCGACAAGTGACAAGAACTAAGCGGCAGCATATCGTCCCTCTCACACGGCGGAATCGGGCAGGGTATTCCGGCCGATACTGTCTCCTGAAACCGTGTTGCGCAGAGATGCAAGATGACCGCAGCAGCCTCCCATCTTCGCCTATGCAGAACAACAGCGACGGAAAAGCCCAGTGAAATTCACGCCTCGATGCAGAGGCTGGGAGGGGTCATTCGATTCAGAATACGCATGGATCAGGCTTGCGTCGGGAGTGAAACAGCCTGAGCAGCCAGAGCAGGCCGATCAGCCTGAAGCCTCCGACTAGCCGGATCAAGGAAAGCCTTCGGGTGGCGACCCAGGGTTCTGAGTCCAGCTTGCTTCGACAAATGCATCTCGTGGGCCAGTCCAGCTGGGACCATCTCCAACGGTTAACCCGTTATGGCAGTGACCACTTGCAGGGGGCTTCTCGCGTGCACTTGCTCCTCGTCTAGCCCTACGGCCCTGCCCACCTGCCTGACTGGCTGTTCAGTTGAAGGCTTCAGCGATCTTGCTCCGTACGAGCTTGTCTTGATGCTTGCTTTTGGGGGTTATCGCGCACATAGCATTGCGCGGTCTGCGGGTCTGCGGCATTTGGTGTTGGAGCTCGTGCCCTGCTCACAGCGCCCGACTTGCGCACGACTGTGCCGCATACACGAACAGATGTGACAGTATCTTAATTCACTGACTGCATAATCTCAGGGCACAGATCGCATCCCTTCCTTGCTGAGCACGGCTGGACCCACAATGGCGGCAGCATGCACGAGTTTCTTCCAGTCCCTCACGCCCCGATCATCTGAAGCTACACCAATAGTAGCAATACCGCTCCATTGTTCAGGCACCATCCTCGACTGCGTCACTTCACGTTACGCTAGGCTGGGCTGGCTTCGTCCCTTACCCGATGGACCCGACGCCTCTACAGCGTACGCCGAGCCTCTTTACGACCACGCCTACAGCTCCGGGGGTCTGCATTATCCGTGCTGCTTCACCCATACCTCGGATTGATATGAGCAGACTACATATATAGCAGTTATTCGCATCCGTCGGTCTTCACTTGCCTTTGTTGTGTACTGTCCAAGCTACGGGACAAGACTTGAGAATCCTCGTTCACGCAGCCTGGGGAGCCGAGTCTCAGCGCTACAACTACAGATGCTGAGCAGGTACTGTACTTCCCATTGGCATGCTCTCACTGTCCCTGGAGGGCTCTACTGAATGCGTGCAGTAGGATTCTGAGTTGCGAGGGAAAAGTCGTGATGCTCGTGGAGCAAGGTCCGATGCAGAGCGATGAATGCCTGCCACTGCTCATGGAGTGATATCCGATGCAGGGCTTTAAGCGCCCGCCACTACTCACTCGAAAATTTGACGACTTGACATTGCGTTGTTATCGATGACTGACATCGACATATCTCCGCGCATTTCTTCTCCACCACTCGCAAGGAGAAAAGGTCGTGATTCTCAGGGAGTAACATTCGACGGAGAGGCATGAGTACCTGCCACTGCTCAATATACAGCTTGTCACTGTCAGTGCGATGTGATTGAAGTCGACATATCTCCACGCATTTCTTCCCAACCACTCGCGAGGACAAAGTCATGATGCTCGTGATGCTCGTGGAGTAACATTCGACGGAGATGTATAAGTACCTGCCACTGCTCGGTCAACAACACTTTATCGATACTTTGGTCATCAATGTCGATATATCTCCACGCATTTTTTCTCTACCACTCGCGAGGACAAAGTCGTGATGCTCGTGGAGTAACGTTCGATGCAGAGCCATGAGTACCTGCCACTGCTCAATGGACACCTTGACAACTTTGACACCGTAAATAGGCATTTTCGTTGACATATCTCCATGAAAAGCCCGGTGAGCGCCTGCCACTGCTCATTGGCCAACATGACAGCTTGACGGTGCATTGTGATTGTTGTCGACATATCTCCATGCATTCCTCCTAAACCATGCCGAGCCCAGCGTGAATACTGTACCCTTCGACTTCATTCACTACTGTACTGTAGTACTTAGCTGCCCGTAAGAGATGAGTCTTATCAGTGTCGCCTTCGGGTTAAGTTGCACGCACGGGAGCATCGATGGCTCATATCCTCGCATGGCACGTCGTGCTCGGGCCGAAGGGGTACACCGATGCGGGTTCGGAGTGTCCAGAAAATGGCCCACATGTTTGGACGCCACGTACAGTATTGGCAACATTCCATGATTCACATTCCAGGCCACGCTCGGTGTCAAAACTCTTCTGTTAGCAGCCCTGCCACGCATCGATGGTCAGCGAGCGCAGTCATTACGGGATAAGACTGGCGAAAGGGAAGCTGCGAACGGCACAGCACAACGCGGTCCGAGGAAGGGACTGGACCTGAAGGGGACGTTCGAGGCTGAGTCCCGCACCCACTGGGAACAAACAGATGATTTCAACTTTTTTTCTCTGATTGTGTTGGGCGTTGCTCAAGAACAGCTCCCCTTTCGGAAACTTCGATCTGTCCACTGGTGTTCAGCCAGGATGCTTCTGCTCCTTACGCATTCCGCCGTCTGGTCATAATGTTGATGTTCGCCTCCTTCGCTACGTGTGCACCATACGTGAGCTTGCTTCCTTCTTCATCACGGGTCAGTCACTTGAGCGGGTCGATCTGCTGCAGGGGTAACCGGGTGGCCGTCGCAGTTGACGCATCGTTCTTCCTCTCGTCGTGCTGCGTGTCTACCCGTCCCTACACAGTAGTCTCCTCCTGCCGCTCGTGCTCATCCTCATCAAGTCGTTCCAGCTGGTTCATTCCACTACCTTTAGACCACGTAACTGGGGCCAGACATGTTGTATCATTCAGTCCTTTCCCTCCCGCCTCACCAGCCCCCGGGTCCAACGATGCGGAAGCCGAAAGTCGATGCGGATCTATGATCGGCGATAGGAGATTCGTCAAAAAATGTATAGTAAAAAAAGGGGAGATCTCATAATCTCCAAGCATGGGTATCAATATTCAAAGCCACTTTCTGTCCCAGCTCTTCGCGTCGAGCCAGGGACGAGCCCGAGGAAGATGTGGTGGTTCCCAAGTCGTGTATAAAAAGACCGTGATGTCCTGTGTCGGTTGATGCCGCTGCCGCAAAGGCAGTTCTCGCCCTCCTTGCCCCAGACAACAGAGGTAGGTAGTCGTGTAATTGCGCCTGCGCCGTCGCTTATGCCGAAGCCGAAGCCGAAGCCGAAGTTGAAGCCGAAAATCCAAGGGGTAATTTCCCCCCTTCTCCAAACGCCAGGTCTCATGCCCAAGGTAATATCCAAAACACTTTTGTGGTATTCCAGACCAGGATGCAGAGGGTAAGTAAACACTAATCTTCTGCCAGAAAAGATTAGAATGGGAGTATAAATGTCGCTGTAATGAGCGTAAGAAATTAGTTGTCGCTTGATAAAGGACGATTAGCGTCGGGCGTTATTGACTTTGTTGGTGAAAGAGTGTTGTCGTCCTTGATATTGAACCGGTGTGCTTCTGTCCTCGGCAGGAGGCGCGAGTCATCGAGACCACGCTCCTGCACCTCAAGAGGTGAGGCTGACACCGTCCTAGATCAGGAGGAAATCCCATCCGTTCTGTTGCATCACGTCCCGCCAGTGGACGTTCTGGTTCCTGGGCATTGTCGTCGTGGAGGAGGGGGCGCCTGTCGAGGTTCCGGCTGTGGCGAGGATACTAGCTGAGGCAATTGGCGTCGAGATCGATCCTGATGGGCTTCCGGCAGTCACTGGTGTGGCTTCGCATACTCCTGCAGAGATGACCATATCGTCATTACGTCTCCACACCTCATGAAGCAAGCGTATCATCCTTCCAAAAGACCCATGATCGGCAGAATCACCGAGCGCGTCACATCGTTCGGAGAGAACCCGGCGAAGTGGAGATGCTGGAATCGAATTCGCACCGCAGATGAGCATGGGCCACACGAGGCAGCGGTCGAAACCATTCGGACCGGAGGGCACGTATTGAAGCATTTCAGCCATTTGAGCGATCAGGTTGACTGTGGCTGGTTGATAGCGGTTGTACTCGGGCACGAGAGAACAGAGGTAGACACGAGTGGCTTTGCGGAAGACGGCGCTGATGTTCTTGGTGAGCTGTTTGGGGCGGAGGATACCGGCCTTGTTGAATGGGAACTGCAAAAGTTCTTGCGGTTCGACCGAATCGAGGGTGGTCGCGAGGGAGGTAATGTGGTTGCACACGCCGATGTCATCGAGCTTCCCTTCCACCTTGAGTGAGTCGAGGCAAGCAACTTCGGACAACAGGTACATGACGTAGTCGTTGCAACCCATTAGTTTCTCCAACCCAGTCGACGCTTGCGCGAAAAACATGTTCCTGTAAGTGTTGGAGAATCGCGGAGCCTTGCCAAGCATCGTCGAACCGAGAATGTCAATCCAGGCCGTTAGGCTCATGTTAAACGTCGGTGGTGCACCAGTGCCAGCATTGCTTTCCAACGTCTGGGGAAGGTTCAGTCTCTGCACAATATCGCCAGCGGTCTGGAAGTGTTGGTGCCAAGGGATCAACTCCTTCTCCAGGTCGATGGCGGAGCCGACACAGCCTTGCAGCGAGATCATGCCTAGTAGAGCATCAAGCATCTCGGTGTGGCAGCTATCATTGTTGAGGGCATCGACGACGATTGTGACGAAAGCAAGTTTGTGGCGCATGGCATCGTCCTCGGCGGTGGGGCTGAAGAACAACTTATTGCCTTTCATGTGGGTTGCGGCTGCCAGGAGACAGGAATGTAGATACGCCTTGTTGTTTTCCAACGCCGGGAGCATCACATTCGCACGCACTGAACCGTGTTGATAAGCCTCCTGCACTGGGAACAACATGGGGAGCACATTCTGGAGCAAGTGCTCGAACAACGGTCTGTCGCAGTCTTCCAGTTGGACCATCGAGCATTGAGGCTCAAAGTGATGGGCAACGTGTGGAACGTCAAGCGCATTGAAGTCAAAATCGCCCTCAGTCCAAGAGTTCTGTCGGCTTTCTAAGACGTCATGCTGGACCCAGTCATCACCGGTGTATGAGGGGAGAGTGACGTGAGCTGGAGGAGGATAGAAGGTGCTGAAGGTTGATATGGAGGAGTCCCGGCGGGTGAGTTCGTCGTTCACGTAGGTGTGGCGTTCGGTTTTGACGTCGACTTCCCAAGGGACGCCTGCACCATATGGGTCAGGAGGCATGTAGATGTTAGGAGCGTAAGGATCAAAGAGGCCTGGAGTGGTTGCAAAGGATGGGTCAAACGTAGGATCGTATTCGTCTGCCGAGTCGTCCGAGTAGCCTTGTGCGGCATGATTCATTCCATCTACACATGGGTCAGTAGAGGTCCTGCAAGAGTGTTCGGTGTGACGCCTTACATTGGCTTTGGGCACTGGCATTCTTCTCATTCGTCTTTGTCTTCTTGATGATGGTCTTGATGTGCTCCTTCTGCTTCCTTCGCGTCTCGTTGTTGCTCCACCACTGAGGTCGCTTGTACTCGCAGTCAAGTCCCAAGTGCCGGCAAGCCTTGCACTTTGGCTTTCCCTCATCGCACTTCTTGCGTCTTAAACGACACGTGAAGCAACCTGTTCCACGGGTTAATGCCTTTCCCAGAAGGTTAATTTGCGACAGGCCTTACCTGATCTCGACCTTCGATGCATCTTGGATGACTTCGTCGACGGCGAATCCTTCGTCACTGGTGGCGCGACCTTCTTCTCGTTGGCGGAAGCCATGCTGCTAGCGCTGGTGGCCGAGTACTGGATGTCCAGAGTCGAGTGACGGATGAGATGTCAAAGTCGGCAAGGACAGGACGACAACCTGGAACCGCGCTGTTGGGGATTATTACTAGGGAGTGGTCGTGAACACTGTCCAGCAGTATTCACAGATCTATCGAGGGTTCGGCGGTGAGGTGAAAGGACAACAGCGAGGCCAACGGTCTGCCTTGAAGGAACTCACGTCGACATTGGTCCAAGACGGTGTATATGAGAGTCTTCGAAGCCTTCGGAAAGGTGGAGAGAGCTATATTTGGGTCGAGGAGGGGGAAGAATATGCAAGCACGATGAGGCTCCGAAGAGGTCGTGTAGAGGACCCGGTGGTAAGAAACAATTGTCTGCATGAAGGACGAATGAGAGGGAGGGGCGGCACATGTTGGAGAAGATGTATGCTATGAATATCGCGTCTGCGTCTGAAGGCGCTCGTCAAGCATTGGTGGTTGGGGCGGTGGAGGAGGGGAAATGCATCCATTGATTGAGCAATGAGGCCGTTGGTCGAATGGCATGGGTCATTGTCGAGGCAGGTCGAGGTCAACAATAATGCTCGCTTGATTCGGTGCCTCGATGGTGTGCAGCAAGCATGAGGAATCAGCTTGGAGTGTGGAAGCTTCCGCCGCCCATTGGCCGATCGGGGGTGGGTCCGGCGCTTCCTTCCTCTGGAGGGCTAAGATTAGAGCTTGAGAGCTTCGACGAGTGCCAGGGCCAAGTCAGTTAGCGCTGCACTGACCCCCCCAGTCCGTCATCCACCCCTGGAGGGCCACTGCAAACCACGCGAGCAACAACGGCCGCGGCCTGATGTCTTGCTAATCGAAGAAGCAGCACATACGTGCTGGAGCCCAAAGAATGCGTGAAAGACTTAGGCAATCACATGCGTTCTCTGGCATGGACCTAAAATCAACGGATCATGCGGCACTAGATCAGTGCGATGCCACTTGCCATGTACTTTCCGTCTTGCTTGAGATCAGGTGCACAGCATCTGTACCTCAGAAGGTACCGGGCTTCGGGGCCAGCCACCCAGCAGTGATACCAAGACCATGACTCTGACGGCACGCGCTGACAACCATGCGGCTTGCCATGCAGTTGTCCGGTGGCTTCTTGGGTACCGCATGTTCTTGTTCGTTCCGGATAACTAGACCTGGGAATTCTACGTGCACCTACAGGAGGCATGCAGTGCTACACTCTCGACATCTTCATCGTCATCCAGAATGTATCTCAGCATAGAAGGTCATTGCTTCGTGCTCGTGTCTCCAAAGAGCGTGAAGCGAGGTCTCCTCCCAACGGCGCTGAGCACCCCGCCACTTTTCCGCAACCACAGCGCCGTATGACAGGCTCGAAAGAAGTCCCTTTCTTCTTTGAATTGTCCCACCGCACCCAGTCTCTTCCGTAGCACGCCGTGGTCGGCTCGATATTCAGGACGCTCGTGATCAAGTCCTTCCGCAGAGGGCCAGCCAGGAAGGGAAAGAGTAGTCTGGCCTAATCAGGTGAGTCGAGGACATCAGAAATGGCTGATGGTGTGCAGAAAAAGCAGGAAAGAGCATGCTGATTGGCGGATGCTGGTCGAATGAAGGTCGACTCAGCTCGCTAGTGCTAGAGCTATGAAGGGAGACTCCCTGCGCAGGTTGATGTTCGATCAGGATGTCGACAGTTTGCGGGAGCGACGGCAGCCAACCGTGACGCCAAGACGAATCTTCTGCATTAGCTTTGCTAGCCTGCACGGTTAGTGGAGTGGGGAACGATTGACAGGAACTGCTCGATGCCCCTCATGCAGCAGTGGTCCGTGCGCCATGCAAGCTCTTTCGAGCATTCAACGCTCAAGCTCCTTCCCCTCAGTGCGCCGCTGGCTCGCTCGCTCGCTTATTTGGCTCGCATAACGCACTCTTATTTTTAGAAGTTCGCTGCATTCACTTTCTGCAACTTGCACCATCGAATTTTCCATGCCGTGCTGGCGATCGATAGAGCTGTTCGTAGGCCAGTTTTGGAACGACAATGATGAGCATATCGCCAGATCAGATATATTGCTTCTATTTTGAGGATGCTGCAAGGCTGAAGTCGAGTCTTGAGGAGTTCGGTGGCGTGTTTTCGAGTTTGACCGTGCGTGTTGCGCAGGGCTCGTCTCACAATCGAGAAAGGAGATAAGCGTCGAATGCCCCGCTACGCGATGGCGATGCCATCGACTGTCCCACGACTTCTACTTCTCCGCACTGCATGTATGGCAGAAGTCTGGCTGTACGACGGTCAAAGCTTGGGTGTAGTACTCAACGGCTGGCCGTGGCTTCTGGACGACGTCGACTCGAACAGCCAGATGGGCTTCTGCTCCACTGTCTGCGCACGCGATATGAGAGCTCGAACTCACGCAAAGGGACTGTTCCCTGTCACCATCACCCGCAACCTTCTTGGCCTGTTCTCGAAGCTTGTTCAACAATGAGGCACTCTATGCATCCCTTCATCCCTTGTGGCGTGCACACATGGGCAGCCTTGGTCACTCTACTCGGGGTGTAGTGTGGTGATATGATTTCACCACACAGTCACCCGTGTCTCGACCCACCCTCATGCACCGAGAACTCTTCCGTCCCGAGGACAAGCAGTTGGTCCATGCTGCCATGCGACAAGCCGTTGACTAGAAGGTGGCCTGGGTCTAAGCACGATGTGTTCTTGCGGTACGTATCCCTTGTCCATTGTAGGACCATAACACTCTGGCGAGCTAAGCTCTTGGCAGGATTCGGCAACTTCGGGCCTCTGCTCTGCAAGCATTGTGCACCACCATTCATGCCGAGTACCGACGACCCAAGCAGCATCTCCCATGGGGCCTGGTTCAAAGTTGTACTCCATGTATCTTTGGACCCTTTTCTGCTTGGGAAAGTACCACCACCGATGCCTCGTGTCATCATCTCCGGTCTCCGCCCAAATGCGCAAGTGGCGGTGGACTCACCGCTGCAGATTGTGGCTGCCATGTGTAGGACAACACTCCGCCATGACGAAGAACAGGATCACCAAAGCGGAAACTACACAACCACCATTTTCGTCTGTGCTTTCCCCATGTTCATCTTGTTAGCCGAAACTCTGTCGAAGATGAACTCATGTAACAATGTCTATCTAAACGAGACATGCTCGCGTATGCGCCTAATGTGTTAGTAAAGTAATATCACCTCACCTCACAGCGATCAACATGTAGCGAGAGACGGTGCGTCTTGGACACAGTGGGATGCAGAGACATGGCGGAAGAAGCTCCTTAAGATGGCTGGCGATGGAGACCCGTCCCCGCACTAATCATCACTAGGCACTCGCTACTCAGCCAATCCCTGGACGATTCGATGCAAAGAATTCCTTATCGCGGGTAGGGCCGCTCTTTCAGCACCACATTCTAACCGTGTTGGGGGGAAAATCCGCCATGGCTTGCTGCTCGAATGCTCCTCTCTTCGAGCAGCAAGCCCATGTTGCACCTCTGGTCTTCCAACTCAACGGCCGGTCCAGATCCCGAGGGCCCAGCATCCAGATTCGAAGTCCTTAGGATCTGCTTCCACTCAACGGTTTCGAACAGTACCATGGAAGGATTTGATGGACTACATATGTTGATGCTGTGACCGTCACGATGCCACCAGTAAAACACGCACCGCCAATGACTTGCATTATGTCGCTGACTCGTAGAGCGGAGTATTGTGTAGTCTGTCTTGTGATCCGTGGTGGAGATCGCGTGGATATGTACATTCAACCGGACAAAGTTGCATGGAAATCACCAGGGTAGATGGATTTGCCATAGAGTCATGACCTCAGACAAGATCATTGGTGGGCCAGGAATGGGACGGCATATTTTAGGTCATGGCCCAATCAGAAAATGGCATTCGGGAAGGGCCAGCACGACGAGTGAGGGAGGTTGGGAATCGCATGCCAGAAGGTGCGAAATATGGTGAAGAGGGGTTTAGCGGTACGGCGCGCACAGAGAAAAGGCACGAAAAGGGAAGGGCCTTCGAGGGAGCTCGGGAGGAGGGTAACGGCTCGAGCCAGAGAAGGGAGAGCAGATGGGAGAGAGCGAGTGAAAAGCGCCAGATGCTATTCCAGGTGACTCGACTTTACCAGAGACGGCAAGGCGCGTCTTGTTCTGATGGAACTGAAGTGGGAGGATATTTTTGGGCGAAGAGTCTGATGGCACTGATTCGTCGAGATGCGGGGGATCAGGAGCCAGCAGCGTGTGCTTGGCCCCGCGTCGTCACTACTCCTACAGGTCTCATTGGGCGCACGCCTCTGCACCATCGTGGGGGCGGCCATGCCCGACCGGGACAGCTCCAGCGCGTACTTTTCATAGCTGCCCCTCCATTGGCGAGTGTCGCCTTTTCCTCCTCTTCCTCTCACTTAACCGCCAGCCTATACCAGCCCGCAGCTGCGTCCGTCGCACTGAGTGGCTGCGTCGCCTCGTTTCACATCCATCGCACGCATATCCACTGCAGTAGCGATTCAATATTCTGCATCCCATCTGTTCAATGATTCCAACCTACATCTCCACTCGTCACATCGTCGAGCCCTCTAACCGCCCACACCTTCCTCCGCAATCGTGTATACATACCTCAACTCCTCTCGACTTCACAACTCCACCATGAGCAGATCCTCAGAGAAATCCCCGGACAGTAAACATTATACCACACAGTAGCGAACATGGAGTGGTCAACACACTACTCCCCTCTGCAACTGCAACCAATTGAGATGTTTCAGAAGACCTCAGACCTGTCATTCCTGGCTCGGCGGACACTCGCTCCTCGGCCTGTGTCGGAAGCGACCGAGATCTTCGACACAGACAATGAGGACGACTCGGACTCATTACCTCAACCATGGGACTCACAGGACGATGATAGCCAGTCTACACTGTCGTCAAGCCAGGATGAGCTACTGACGCCCCCTAATACTGGTGGCCTCGGCGGCTTCGAGTTTCATTTTGATGACACGGCGGTCGTTGGTCCTCAAGGCCCTCACCTCTTCAGCAGCACGCCTGAGATCCTCACCAATCCTGAAGACGGTGTCTTTCTCAATATGTCTCCTGTTCCCGGACCCAAGACCCCCTCCAAGCCTATCAACGCTCTCAACACAGCCGTCGCCGAACTCGATGAATCTCAGGTCCGCAACTGGACGCCCCGCCAAGTTGCTGACTGGATGGCCGAGGCCGGCTTTGAGTCCACCGTGGTTGAAAAGTTCCTCATCCACGACATCTCCGGCAGCGTCTTGATCGACCTCCAATTCGAGGATCTCAAGGAACTCGACATCAGCTCCTTCGGCAAGCGCCACAGGGTCATGAGCTCCATCCAGCAACTCCGAAACAGCAGCATGATCTCCGTCGACTCACCACTTTCCAGGACTCCTTCCCGAAACACCAGAAGTCCCAGAGCGGTCCAGCGCGCTGCCCGCCCTGAGGAGTCCCATGTGGTTGTTGATCGATCTCGCTCCCGGAGACGAGCTCGAAACGTCGATGTCGTCACTCCTGCCGAGTCCATCTCCATTGTCGGGATCGAACAGGTTCTTCCCAAGGAGCACAGGTGCGCCAAAGGTGAGGACTGCCCCAAGTGGCAGAAGCAGCAACGGAGAATCCTCCGCATGAAGCAAACGTGGGAAGAAGAGACCCGCCGACCTATGTCCGAAGCCCGGTCCGAAGCTTTGCCTTCGGTCGTCGGCTCTTCCGATGCCCTTGGCCCGTCATCGTTGAAGATCACTGCCGAGACCCTGAGCGTTGTTCAGCCTCGCGATCCTCAAGACAATGTGCGACAGTTCCTCAGCTTCCAACACCTTCACGCCCCTTCAACATCATCCAACCCCTCGCCACCCGCTGCCAAGTCCGCTCACCTCGCCGAGCACCTTCGTGGTCTTCCCAAGCTCACCATCCCTGTTGGCCAAAGCCAGGACGAGCTCCCCTCCAGGACTCCCATCTCGGCCCTTCAACAGCCCACCCAGATCCAGGCTCAGCTCAAGGCCCAGCTTCAGCGTGACCCCTACCACTATGGTGGCGTCGCTTCTCCGGCTGACATCTACCGCATCGACACGCCTCTGTCGGCGACGGATCTTCCCGTCACTGCCATGGCCGTTGACCCTTGCCAACGGGATGTCTCCCAGTCCGTTCCTCCGGAGATGCGCTATGGTGCTGTTCCCCAGACCATCAGTCCAGAACCCGTCCAGCGATGCATGTCAACTCAGCCTACTCCCGCTCGCCGCCATCTGCGCCAGCAGTCCTTCACCCCATCAGTGGCTCCCGTCAGGGAGAACGAGACGGTCTGCTCCGCAGCGAGACTGACTGAAACCACCCTCGCCAACCACCATGGCTGGATGAGAAAACGCAAGACCACCCGTATGCTCCGACACGAGTGGCAGGACAACTACTGCACTCTGTTCGAAGGCAAGCTGACCATGCATGACACACACTACGCCAATGCCAACACCCTCGAGGACATCGAGATCGATGAGTACACCTTGCATGCCTACAGCCAAGCATCGAGCTCGAAGCTCAGTGCGGCATTCAAGAAGAACTTGCTCGGCCAAGGCAAGACTTTCACTGGCGAACATGCCTTCGCCTTCTCCCTCATCCCTGACAACGAGAAGGCCAACAAGAAGCTCTTCGAGAAAGGTCAAAAGGCTCATCACTTTGCCGTCGACAGCTCCAAGGAGCGTGTCGAGTGGATGAGGAAGCTGATGCTGGCCAAGGCTATGAAGAAGAACGATGCCCTCCAGATCTGAACCACCAGATCATTGTTTTCAATCTCACGTTTACTGAACGACGCCCTCCAGATATGAGACCACCAGATCATTTTTTTCCCATCTCACGACTACTGAACGACTCTCCTACCAAGATGTTGCCTCGCGGCAAGTCCTTTTTATCATCATATCATCACACTATTGCATCATCATCAAGCGGAAAGAGCAAGGGAGTCCCTGCATTTAGCGACCGGAGCATATTGTATTGACTTGTGATCTTGTGTCCAGAAGGACGATCACTTTGGGATTTGTTTGACCGAGATACCCCCCACCATCTACTTGTGCCCTACTGAGGCTGCCTCTCAGTCTCCTTTGTCGCCTCACCTCACTGCCATTGAGCAGTCGTCCCACCTTCCACATGAAGGATGGGCTCTTGAGCCGTGGACAAGAGTCCTCGTGCATTCCACGTAGCTAGCTACCTAGATAGATAGCCAGAGGCTCATCGCCTCGAAGACAATCAAACATGATGAGCCGAAACATGCTGTCTCTTCTCCACTTATTCTTTGAGCTCCGTCATTGGCTTTGGAAAGTAAGCCTTGAGCTCTCTTTGAAGTCTTGTCAGTAGCCCGAAACACCCTTTTTGGTTTGCACCCCGAAAGAACAATCCATTCTCTTCACGAGTTCAACATCCTCACTTCTCCAACAGTGGCGTCCCTGGAAACCAGTGGATCCCTGCAAACTGCCATACTCGGCACACCCCAGTAATCACGATTCCATTTCAGACGACATTGACCCCGCCTGCCTTACGAAATGGGAATCTAAACCTGATGTCTATGATCAAGGAAGGAAATCGAAAGTAGTGCCGCACTAAGCAAGACAAGACACATCTAATCGCTACCGTGAGCTTAGTGGTTGTTGGATCAACTACGCAGCACGCTCAGTCTTGAGTTCTCGACTCTTCAATCTTACACGACCTGGCAATCAAGGTAAGGTAAGGTGCAAAGTGTAAAGTTGGCGTGCATCTGTCCACTGTCGGCACAAGCATAACTCTGAGCGCACTTTTTTACCCAAGAAAAAAAAATTGTATAGAAGGGCCCCTTTGCTTGATTACTGCTTTCTTAGACTTATGTCAATCGGCCCCTCCTTGCTTAATTACTGCTTTCTTAGACTTACCTGTAGTCAATCGCCTCGAGACCAAGATAGGCCAATCAAATTACCCACGGGATACATATTGTGCGGCGGGCACGAAGATGGAGATAAGTAAGAAGTAGAACACAAGGCTGAGCTACACGTACGGCGGCTGTGGAACGGTGGAACCTTCCTAGACATTGGACAGAGATAATTACTTCTGATGACTAAGTAGCTGGAGGAGGTGAAGGGAAGAAGTCTGAAGGGGGGGTACGTGACGTGCAGGTAAAAGACATGGCTACGTAGATTGACATAAGAGCGCTCAGGCAAGCGAGCAAGCAGACCGATAGGGCAGACAGACAGACAGACAGACAGACAGACAGACAGACAGACAGACAGACAGACAGACAGACAGACAGACAGACAGACAGACAGACAGACAGACAGACAGACAGACAGACAGACAGACAGACAGACAGACAGACAGACAGACAGACAGACAGACAGACAATTCAGCTTTCCACGAGCGTCCGCGACACTTGAGGTCCCGTTCGTCGATTGCAGCGCATAGAGGGCATACCCTGCGACCTCGTCTGGGTGGTTGTGTTTGTGGTGGTGGTTGTGTTGTTACTATCGAATGTTGCTACCAGGCTCTCCTAATTACATACCTATCTGGCCGAAACGAAGGGAGACCCTCGCACGACCCGCATCACCCATCTACAATACACATCTCCTGATCCTCCAAGCTCATTACTGCCATACAGGTTTCAGCAAACCTACAAGCTACGAGCCCCAAGCTGAAAGCTCTCAGCCCAGTCCCTCCCACAAATCAATCGCTCACCCTCTCGCTGTCCGCTCCGCCGCTGAGCCTCCGCCTCCTCATCTCCCAGCACACCCCGAAAATCGCTTGCATACTCCCGGCGCAGCCCCCGCGCCTGGATCTTCGTCTCGAGGTGTGCGTCCCCGGCCCCGATCTCCGCCGCTAAAAGACAAACGCCTAGCGCGTTCACGCCGAGGGGCCTATACTCCGCAGCTTGGGCCGCGAGGTCCAGAATTTCGAGCGCGAAGGCGTGGGATTCGCGGAGGACGGAGGACACAGCGTTCGGCTCAGTCGCCGCACACACGGCCAGCCTCACCTCGTTGATGATGATCGCGACGGCCAGGCCAAGGGCGTACGAGCGGAGGAAGTGGCAGTGGAGGAGCCTTTGGAGGCGCGTGGTTCTCCGTGGGTTAGATACGGTGGCGTCCACATCTGCCTCCGCGTCTGGTCTCGGAAGATGCATGTTGTCGTGCCATCGCTGGCGGAGCTTGAGTAGGGGTGTTTCGAAGTCGTTGCGGAGGGTGTTGGCCTCGGTTTGGAGGGCCAGGAGCGTCGAAGTCGAACGGGAGTCTTGGTACCGCAGCTGCTGTGTTCCGCCCGCGACAGTCAGCGTTGCTGTAAGTGCCGCTCTGGCCCTCCGCATGAGGTTCGGCACCCGTGTCAGGAGTTGGACGGCTTGGCCTTCGGGACTGAGTTTGTAGAGCTTATTGTCGAACATGGCGATCCACTCGTCGTCGGTGAAGTGAACTTTGCCATTGAAGAGGGAGTCGAAGAGCTGGGCGGGCACAGAACGTAAGTGGTTTGCTCGGGCTAGGGGGCCGAATAGGACGAGAGAATCTGGAGCAGACAAAGCACAGGTAGGAACAAGCATAAGAGCAGAACAGTAAAGTAAAGGTCCGCGCCGGCCAGGATCAACAGCTATCGACTACGATATGATTGTGCTGCGATTGGCTTGACTTGACTTGACCTGACTCACCACAACGGCACGCAGAGATAGCAGGAGATTGGCCTCAAACGGGTCCCGTGAAGTCTCGGCACAGCCTCTCAGTCTGATGATCTGGGCGACGCCATCCGCGTGGCGGCTGGATCCTTCGGGCATCCAAAGATATTGCTAATTAGCGGGTCGATGAACGTTAGCGCTGGCATCTTGAGGGAGTGACAAGCAATTCCGCGCGTGGCCTCACCTGACAATTCCACAAGAACAGGATCGCGCACAACGTCTCCGGAGCCCGCGCCTTGACCGGATCATCTAGACACTTTCTCAAGCTGGCCAGGGTGCGTCCATACTTTTCAAGCGCGAGAACAGTGCTCCCGCTCCCGTCCGAGAGCGTCCCCACGGCGGTCACGAACGCGTCTGTCGCGTTGTCGAGCGCGTCATTCACACCCAGTCGAGCGGGCACGTGGTTGAGGTAGTCCCCGTACGTCCAGGCCAGGTTGTACTTGATGCTGACGGTGGGTTTGATCATGTGTGTGAACGCGGAGGCCAGGCGCGTCGTGCCGTTCCATGGGTTGGCGTAAATGGTGATTGCGGCTCCCTCGAGGGCGCGGATGAAGGAGGCGTAGTGCTCGGTTTCGGTCCCTGGTTCCTTACTTTGAAGTCCGGCGGTGGTGGTGGTGGTGGTGGTGTTGTGGTTGACAAACGTCGAGGTTTTGTCGTCATGCACGAACTTGTATCGCCGTTGGCCGAATCCCACGCAGGGGATGTTCAGACGCCTGCATCGTTGACATGGGTGTTCTGAGAGTTCGCACTATAGCGTACAATATGCGTTGGTACTCGGGGGACCTGCGTAGCAGGAGGCGAGATATCCAGTGCCGTACATACCTTTTTCTTCTGCTGCCGACATGCATCGCAACCTCGTCCTGATGGAACGCCCGGCATGCCGCATTGCGTGTGTCTTTGGCTTTTGTGTGACGGCACAAGAAGACAGAGGGAGTACTTTGGGGGAGATGAAGGGTACGAGGAGAGGGTACAGGAGGCTAGGTTGGAAATACCACGGTCGATTCAGCCTTAGGATCCCCGCCGGCAAAGATGAGTGGTCATTAGTCAGTCACAGCAGGCTGAGCGATTCAGGCCCTCCTTCTCACGTCGGATCCGCGGCACAGCCTAAGAGAAAACACTTGGCAAAGGCGTGATCATCTTTGCGGCTCTTCCGGTTCATGTTGCTTTGAAATCTTGTTCTTGGTGGTATTTGATCGAGAGGGCCAGGTGGGTGCGAAATGATAATCTGCTACGTAGCAGACAGGTAGGAACTGATGTGGCATGACATTGATTTCTGCCTGCTCCGTGTTGGGTCCATTTGATGCCGGTGCCACTGAGAATGACTGTAATTCGTGGGGGCAGGAAGACCCGCTCCATGCTATCCGATGCTAGAGGCACACCAGTTGGTGTCTATCTAGTATGGTGAATGATTCCTTGATTACCAAGTCTAGAACGTAGCTATTAGCCAGCTATGGGAGACAGCACCGGTGCCAAGCACCTGCCGCCCGGCAACCTCAAGTGGTAGGCACACGGGGTGCCTCCCGCCACCACCTCTGGATGTTACATATTGGCGGCATTGTCCCAAGATTCTCATTTGGGAGTCGGCGTCACCGTGGAGTTTGCGGCTTTGAAGAGCAGCGAGTTGCCATTGACACAAAGAATCAAGTAGATGCAGAGTGCATAGGATGTTATGATCACAGACAATACGAGCATAATTTGTCATATCGTATGATGAACAAGCAATGTATTATATGAAGCGCTGTAACTTATGGCTAGGAGGGGTTGGTCAGTTGTCGAGGCACGTCGCCTCCCCCAATGCCGCCAGGACCCGGCCCAAGGTGCCCATTGTTCAAGACTTGACAAGCTTGACTCTCCAAGCTTCAGGGCTGACGGCAGTGGCATTGCCGTTCGAGTCAACGTCAAACACGAAAAGGCCCAACCCAATGCCACCATATGTCGGTGAGTCACCAGCGAGCCAGTCATAATTTGCATTGAGTCCTCGTGAAAACAATCCTCCTGAAGGCGTTGCCGTATGAGTGGCCCTGAATGCTATCCGTCCATTCGGTCGGTCGGTTATCGAATGCAGGAGCCTGACGGGGCCAGTATCTATGGCTCCGCTTTGTAAGACGTCCGTGCCGTTACTTATGAATTGAGTCATCACCAAACCTGGTTTGCCCGTCGGAAGGATGGCTAGAGTCAGCGTGCTGTTGAGGTTGTCGTCCTGTGAGGTATACGTGCCCACGAAGTTTTCGCTCGCTTCGGCCTCTGCCTGGGAGGTCAGCCCGGGCAGGACTGCCTCAGTCACAATGTCCGCAAGCAGAGAGACCAGGGCAGTCCGCTGGGGCAGTGAGCTTGCCATAATGATGCTGAAACCAGCGTCGTAGTCCGGAATTAGCACTAGGTAGCCGCTGTAGTAGCCAGAGTCGCCGAGCTTGGTGTAGAGGTCGGTGACGAGCCCGGACCTGGGGTGTGTGTAGCGGTAGATTTCCCATGGCTTCCCCACCGAGTATTCGAACATGGCTGTGTGCGAGACCGGCTTCATCCATTGGCGGGTTTGGTCGGCATTCAGGAGTGTCGAGTTGAGAATGGCAGTGCCTAATTTTGCAAGGTCGTTTGTTGTGGACAAGATGCCACCAGAAGGTATGGTCACCTCAGGAGCGCCCTCCGGCGTCAACCCTGCCGTTGAGACGTTGCCAGGAATGACGTAACGGCCATACTGACTTGGATCGGGGATATTGGAATATGTTGACCTCATTCCCAGGGGCTCGAAGATGCTTTCTCTGTAAACGTCGTGGAAAGATCTGCTGGTGATGTTTGCTATTGCCGCACCGAGCAGCATGAACCCGTAGTCCGTATATGCTGGACTTGTCCATGGTAGGAATAGAGGAGGTCGAGCCTCCGCGCCGATGGCAAATTGGTCGCTAGGACATGACGTGTTTCCTTCCAGTAGAGAGATGAGACATGGAGGGACCGCCACTGGGTCGCTCGGGTCCACAGGGGGCAAACCGAATGATGCCGCAAGAGCACCCGTGGGATCCAAAAGTAGGTAGTCACTCGGATCGTACGGTGAAACGTCGCGTGGAGTCCCCGCTATCTGGCTGGCAAGCGCAGCAAGTGTCACCTTGCTCCAGTCGACAGTACCCGTACGATCGTCTGCCGCTGGATGCGCCGCAGCGTATGCTGCGAGTGTGGGAACAAACTCGGTGATAGGACGGTCCCAGTCGCTAGTTTTGAGGTTAAGCATGCCCGCCAATGTAGTGATAAGCTTCGTGATACTGGCAACACGGTAGATGCTGTCTCCATCGACCTTTCTCAGACCAGAGGTCGAATTGGAGATTTCGGCAGAGGTATGATGAAATTGTAGCGCTGCAGCAGAAGGGTCGTTGATCGAGAACATGCCCACGGAAAACGTAACGTTCTTCAGACCAGCAGGACTTGTCAAATTCGCGCTTGGGTCTGCAATGTATCCGTCGAGAGTCGAACTAAGATTCCTCCAAGCGGCGGAGACATGGCTGCCATTGGTGGCCAGGTCGGTAGGAGCTGGATAAGTTGGTCCGAGGTAGTCGCATAGGACAGTCGTCGCAAAAGCAAAAGCTAAGGCGATAGTAGCTGTCGTGGAAGGCATCTTGGTATGCTGTGATAGAGATAACTTTTGAAGATGATTGTTTCTGTAGCCATGGCTGGGTCCAAGAAGGCATATATACCCTCGACCGTCGTGACTGATGTGCTGATAAATTGCCCTCGTGCAAATCCGTTGTGGTCGAAGCCAGGTACGGCGCTTTCAGGCCGGCAGGTCCACTGCGAACACTAGGTAGAAGAGTGGCAGTAAACAAGAACTGGTTTAAGTCCCCCATCGTGTCGCGAAGACAACGAGCACGTCTTCCATGAGCTCGAGACGGTTGCGGCACGGAGAACCTAGCATCTTGGCGTACATCACCCTTGGCAGGCCTTGATATCGCCAGGGGCACTAGACCGAATTAGGTTGCACGCAGCGCTCCGGCTGTAACGTAGTGCATTGTACGTGCTGAGCCTCAACTGGTGACAGTGAGCATGCTGCAAATGTCAAAAGGCCGACATGACGTGGCGGTAAACGAGAACGTTAGGCTACCCTTCCAGCCACCAAGATGACAACGAGTAGTGACCAGATGGGGTGCATACTCCGCATCGTGGAAAGGCCAAGAGCCATGGATGTCCATGGGACTACCATCAAGAGTGGCATGATGCGCCGACAACGGGGGCCTCGTATTTTGTAGACCGAGAATACGCGGCTTTGGCAGTGCCGACATTGACTTCTCAACCTATTTTGACATGATGACCGACAGGTTCCGGTGATCGCTGATGCAATGGGCAAGGTCGCCCGAGGCAGAAGCCTGTATGAGCCGCCCTGTAACGGGGAAGACGACGACGCTGCTTCGACACTTGTGCAAAAGCTCAGGTAAGGCAGAATCAAGTGGGGTAAGTCAACGCGAACACAGGCGAGCACGGCAGAGGCTTACAGCATCCCCGTGGTCATGGCTAGTTAGGCCACTTGTCTTGGGCTCACTGATATCAGTACGGGTGGATCCGTCTTCTTGAACTCTCGAAACCAGTGCTAGGGTCCTCTTCCAGCCAGCACCTTGTCAGGGACCCATCGCAACACTCGCTCGCTTTGGACTGTACGCGCTGAGATGCTGATGTTCGACGGTCTCGATCTCAAGTATAACAGAAGTCTTGTAACGGCCTTGCTCATACACACGAGGCGTGGTCGAAGCGGGTTGATTTGAAGCATGCAGCGCCGTGGTGCCTTAGAGTAGGTGGAAGAAGCGAGACAAGGACAACGTGACGAAGGGCATCGTACATAAATGAGAGAACGTCACAGGACTAATTCTCGCAAGAAAAGTAACTTGAATAGCACACAGCGGTTGCGGCGATAAAGCAATATCCCACACAGGTGACTGATAGGATATTGTATTGAGGAGCTTCCAAAGCAAACATTACAGCTGAGGCACCTCTGAGGTTGGTGTGAGGCCACATTGAGGACAGCAAGACAGCTAATTAGAGGACACCCCACGCCGAGGGTGTGGGACTTCCGGCTTAGTCATCTTTCAGGCACTTCCCTTTTCTTTCCCGCTTAGCTTCCCAGCAAGAACGAGCTGAACCGTCTATTTTGTGATTTTCCACGAGCGACTCGGTTGGGCTGCAGCATGTGATCTTGAAAGCAGGTCAGAGAGGATATTTCAAGAGAATTCGAGGCGACTGCTACAACACTCTAACCGCTGTGAAATCTGCGACCTTACACTCCATTGTTCCAGCTCGACCACTTCAGACACCCCCGAGACACTTCCACATCATCTAAGACACAAGGTCTTCTGCACCTCCACTGCCCGAAGCACGCCACCGATAATAGCCCATATCCAGACAATGTCATACAGTACTATATGTCCCGAAATACACAAGACTCATCAATTTGACGCGCAGAAATGCCCATACCACATGCCTTTAGCTCGACATCCCCAGAAAGGCTCTCTTCTCGTGTCAACCACCAAGGCTAAACCCCGAACCGTAGCATGCAAACTCAACTCACGGAACAAAAGAAATCACAGCATAAACGCTAGGCAGCCCACAGCGACAGCCAGCACGCCGGAAACAGCAAAGCCGGCTTTGTCCGCAGAGCCCGTGAACTGGCTTTGCGAGGCACCTCCGGGAGCCACAGGAGTGATTGGCGGCGAGATGGTACTGTTACCACTTGTAGTGCCATTGTCGTACCGATTGCCGCGGTTGGCTCCGGCACCGGCGGCAGCGTTAGCCGAGGCATTAGCACCTGCGTTTGCTGCGGCGTTGCTGCCACCGCCGGCTGACTTGGTACCGCCAGCAGAGTTGCCGCTTGAAGCTGAGTTTGCGCCTGCGGCACCTGTGGTGTCGGTTGATCCAGCTTGAGCGTTCGCAGCGGCATTGGCGTCGGCAGCAGCTTTAGCATCGCTACCGGACGACCCAGAACTGGAAGTACCAGAGCCAGATGAGCCTGAGCCACCCGCCTGAGCAGCAGCACTAGCGCCAGCACTTGCAGCGGCTTCGGCATAGGCATTGGCGCCAGCACCAGCAGCAGCTGTAGGCCCAATCTCTGGAGTGACAGTGGCGTAAGGACCGGTGGTGCATGGCACGGTCATGGTCATGGTGGTAGGTCCGCCTTGATGACAGACGTCGCAAGACGTAACAGTGGTGGTGAAGCCTGCAGGAACAGATGCCGGGTTTCTGGTCGCTTCACATGGACATGCTTTAGTGATGGTGTACGTGGCTTGTCCAATAGATGATCCGCCGCTACAGATGGCGGGATACATGGTGATGTATTCGTGGATTTCCTGGACAGATCCATCGGGAAGGGTTGTGGTGAAGGCGAGGATCTCAGTGGTCCTTGGGCCGCCCAGATTGGGTGGAGCAGTGATAACTGGACCGCCGGGGCATTGGCCGCCAGGGCAGGTGAAGGTGATGGTGCTCGACAATGTGGTGGTGGTCGTCAAGGCGGTTGGGCAGACAGAGTAGAAGACGGTGGTGGCGTCGGTGTCGGCGGGGTCGTTGACAACAGTCGTAGTCTGCGCGTTGGCCGCAGCAAGGAGGAGTGCCGCTACGGGCATGGCTCTTGTCGATCGCTTCATTTTTGTAAAGGTGCTGGATGGATTTTGATGATTGTATGGCTGTCACGCTCGCGCGAAAGGTCGGAAAAGCAAAAGGTATAAAGGAGCGACTGGGATCTGCGACAAATGATGCACTTGCAAACGAGTGTACCGAGTCTCGAAGGAAACACGAGCTGATCAAAAGACAAGAGGCCAAGGGGACACTTTGTACCGCCGCGCATGATATTTACCTTTAGCATAGTAACCGTGTGGCGAGGGCAACGCGATCCGCATACCGTTGTCGTTGGAATGCAAAACAAAAAGCCTCGACGACAGAGGATACCATTGATTAACAAAAAGGAATGCAGCGCACGATCCATGACATACCTGAGAGCAGGTCTTCGAGATTGCGGAATTCAGCAGCTGCGGCAGGTGATTCGTGATTTCTTGACGCCATGAGCAGAAGGCCCAAGGAGGCTGGAACGTAAAAAGCTCGGTGTCACCCAGCTCGAGCACTCCGCTGTGACCTGACGGTTCATTCTCGAACCGAATGATCATGATGTCGCCACATCCTCCCAGTCAGAAGGTGCAGAACTCGAGAAGAAGTGCATGTACCCTATAAATCGACATTTCAAACTCATCGCCCTCACTGAAGAGGACTCAACGAGAAGGAAACTTCCTACAAGGAATGAAATTACTCTCCAGAGCCATCGAGCTAGTGCAGCTCATGGCAACACGTCGCTGTAGAAAGGACGGAACGACGGTCGTGGCTGGCTCTGTTGCTTTTTTTGATCTGAAGAGAAGAAAAGAGGAAGGGATGAAGGTGCAGGACCAGAGAAAGAATTTGTAAAGTGGCTTCTGCCAAGCCACGTCACGTGTTGCAGCCTTACTGGGAGTCATCAGGCTGCATTCAGCCGCAGTGTTGGCACCCGGTGCAGGTACGAGTATCATGCTCGCTATTTAACGCTGATACTTTGAGGGTGCCTCATCGATTACTATGCTGACTGAGTCTTCAGAGGCACTTCAAACACCATCGCACCGTTCTTGCCACGGGGTATCTTCTCCCACCTGCCCAGCCTCATCTCTTTGCCCGTTCCTGCCACGATACACAGGCCTTGACATTCTCCTTCCTTTTTGCCGCCAAACTCATTTGTGATCTGTTTTCTTCGCTCGAACACAGCCAAAGAGTTGACATAGCCGCGGACTGGACCTAATAATCTTTCTGCTAAAGCGCAGGGCGTCCTAGAGCCTCTCGGTGATGCAGAGTCGCCATTTACATCGCCGTTGGGTTGTTTTATGTCCCCGTTGATGTGCCCATTCATTTGATTGCCTTCAGGTTCGCCTTTGCCAACGGTGCCAAGTGCGATCAACGATCTCTTGTCATCGCTCAGTTTCCATACCCGAATCCAGCCATCACAGCTGCCACTTAGGACAACATCCGTGCCGGGCAGGGCAGCCAGGGCGGTGATAGCTCGTGGTATGGGTCTCCGTCGATCGTCTTTTTTCAGATCTTCGATAATCTTCGGATCTGCCTCGGAAGTGACCTCTTCGAGCGGAAGTGGCTTTTCCACACCATGTGCTGTATGAATTGTGAACAGGGCCTTCTTCTTGTGGATGCTCCATAGACTGATAGCACCCGAATCGGACCCGGTCACGAAATTCTGTGGCGGCAGCGCAGCAACACAATCCAGACTCCCCGTCTGATACTCGTCCTTAGCCGAGCTATCACCCAAGAACCTTGTGAGCGATTCGTCCACAACTTTCCACCACATGGCTTTTCTATCTCTGGCACCTACAGTGACGCACTGGTCGACCGATACTGCTGAGACATCCACAATGTGATCTTGGTGGCCAAATAGTGTTTCCACGTACGCAAGGCTGTCCTCACCGGATAGGCTGTAGGTTTTTAAAGATCGATCCATGCTTGCGCTGAAAAGTTGCTGCCCGAAACCAGTCTGATTCGACGAATTCGGTGCAAATGCAAGTCCAGTCACTCCATCTCTATGAGTCGTAAATGTCTTCAATGGCCGCAGCTCATCCGCTGACCAAATGATCAGTTTCCTGTCTGCACCGCCGGTAGCCACGAACTTGCCATCCGGCGATGCTGCTACAGCGAGTATAGGGCCCGCATGACCATGTTGCTGCTGCGCTGATGCCTTGATTTTGATACCTCGGACATACGCAAGCTGCTTGGGCCGGGTTCTTCGACCTCTGTCAGGCGGTTGAAGCTGCCACTTGATCAAAGTCCTGTCCTTGCTCACGGTGTACGCATATGGCTGACATACAGCGACCCCAGTCGACGCCCCTGTGTTCATCATGAACGGCGCATGGCTCGCATTCGTGAAGTCTAGATTCTCGGCAATGAGGCGGTATTGTCGACCCTTCGCTTCGTCCACATCCTCTTTTAGTCTCTGTGCAATCAAGTCTCGGTCAAGGTCTTCCGCATCGAAACCGGTATCGTCTATCTCTTGTTTGATGTTGTCCAGGTATCGTTGTGCGAGTCGGACTCTTCTCTCCGCACCAGTCTCGCCTTCTTCAGAGGTAGCTTCTGATTCTTCGATGTCGTTCTCAGGTTGAGCTTGATCGTCGGATTCGCTGCCGGAGATTGACTCGTCATCTTGGTCTCGTGCTTGCCGTCCTCTTCGTCGGGCTTGACCGTCGGCTTCCTCTCGCGCGTCACTTCTGTCCGTCTCTCGTCTCTTCCTTGCCTTGCCCGGAGCATTATTGTCCCTCTTTCGCTTTCGCTGAGACGCTGGGACGGTGAAGAAGGAGGACATAATCGAATGCGAAGTGGTGGCCGCTCAGTCTGGACCGTAGCAACGGCAAGACAAATTTCTCCAAAAGCCCGAAACTTTTTTGAAGCCTTAGCGCAGCTTCGTCGGAGAAATCGTCACGGCTCGCCGCACCTTCCTTCTACTCCCGCGCCAGCCAGCGCAAGGCACCGCTTCGCGTTGCGTGTCAAGCTGTCGAATTCAGTGCCTCTAATGCGGTATATCTCCTGGCACAACATCGAGTCCCAGTGCTGTCCGACGCAACATCACTCCCCTGTCCGTGTCCACCGCTGGACGTCCACTTGACGCTTGCTCGCTCCTCAAACGCACCCGAATCTCACAATGTACGTCCCCAGCCTGCCCAAGAACCCAATCCATAGCACAAACCACTAACTGAACCCCAGGGAAGTCCTCCTCGGTCTCACCGGCCGGGACTTCACCATCATCGCCGCCTCCAAGGCCGCCATGCGCGGAGCGACCATCCTCAAGACATCCGACGACAAAACCCGCCAACTAAACAAGCACACACTGCTCGCCTTCTCTGGCGAAGCAGGTGACACGGTGCAATTCGCAGAATTCATCCAGGCCAACGTCGCGCTCTACAGCATGCGCAATGAATCGGACCTCGGACCCAGCGCGGTAGCAAGCTTCGTGCGTGGGGAGCTGGCACGATCTCTCCGCTCGCGGAAGCCGTATAACGTCAACTTGTTACTCGGCGGCGTGGATCCCATCACCAGGGAGCCGAGTCTATATTGGTTGGATTATCTGGCCAGTAGTGCGAAGGTCCCATACGCCGCGCACGGCTATGCTCAGTGAGTGACCCTGCTCTGCGCTCTTCCGTCGTCCCATTCCATGAGGTGGCTTCAACTGCCGAGCTAACGACGGCCATAAAGATACTACTGCCTCTCCATCCTGGACAAGCACCACCACCCGGACATTTCGTTCGAGCAAGGCATGAAGATTCTGCGCATGTGCACGGACGAGCTGCAGCGGCGCCTGCCCATTGATTTCAAAGGCATGACGGTCAAGGTGGTCAAGAAGGATGGAGTCATTGACATCGAGTATGATACGAGCAAGCAGGTTTTGGCGGCTTGAGAGGGGGCCGCTGAGCATGTGCGTGGGCGAGATCAAGCGGCGTGTAGAATATGCATAGCGATGGCGCAGACAGGAACAGGACCGTAGGGCAGATGCAAGAAAAATGGGTATCTATTCATTTCGGGTTGCTTGGAGATCCACCACAGTCCAGCAATATCAGCAATGTCACCGTGGCGATGGACACACATACGCGCGAGCGTTTTCCCGTAAGAGCACCGTCCTATGCCATGCCATATAACGGGTTGAGAGGGCGGACTGGTCCCTTAAGTCTATCGAATATTTTCATCAGATCTTGTCCCTCCCAACGCCGTGCTAGACTCTTTTCCTTCGTTCAACCACGCCATTGTCGCTCTCAATAGATTGCGCATATCGGATTGGATGTACTCGGATGACTAAGTTGGCAATCTACTATTTCCTCCACCAACCGGTATTCGTCGCCCAAATGGTCTCTGATAAGGTTGATAACGATTAGAGTTGCCTCGTCCTCGGTGACTCTGCTGACGATGGGGATATAGTTGTCTAGGTGGATTGATTGGTGCGTGCCCGCCGACAACCATGTGGTCTCCTCTTCGAGCGCGTTGTTTGTTGAGATGTTGTCTTCGTTGACTTGAGGACTGAGGGGGACGGATACTGTCATCTGAGTCTTCTGAATCAGAGTTGGGCCTTTCCTCGTCGTCGTCGTCGTCATCATCTGAGTTCGAATTCGCAACGTTACGGGCGCGTCGTCCTATCCTGGACCGCACCGATGCTAGAGAGTCGACTTCGTTTTCCAAGTCATGTTCATCTTCATGGTCCTCCTGCCTATCTTCTGCACTATGGTCGGCTGTTCCACTTCCATCTCCTCGCGGCTCGTCCTCGTCTTCATCATCGCTACTCAGGACGACACGGCGTGCCCCTAGTCTTCGCGCAGGCTGCGCGGGCTGCGCAGGGGTCGTCTCAACATCAGATGCCTCGGTCATCTCGTCATAGTTCGTTGCGGCATCCGATTGATCCCCGTTGGTCGACTGGGAAGTATGGACTGTCGAATGTGCATCGCTTTCGAGGTACGGGTAGTAGTATGGATCATAAGGGGAAGGTCGCACGGGATCTCCCTCATGAGATACCCCACTTGAAACCGAAGGATGGTCGTTGTCTTGCTGGTTTCTGAGTTGTCTGTTGTAGATGGTCATTGTGGACTCAGTATCTGCATCACTATCGCTGTCACCCTCTTCGACCTCGTTGTCAATGAACCCGTCCATATCATCGTCTTCATCCGAGTACTCCTCCTCCTCCTCGTCGACCGGATGTCTCCGAATCGATGTGTCGGGGAAGTGAATGTGGAAGGCATGCTCTCCCATAGTTGTACCAAACTCGTGGTCAATTTCAGAGCCTTCGTCGTCCATTTCAGACTCGTCCAAATCTATTGATTCATCCACGTCGGAATCGGAGTCGCTCCCAGCCACGTCGAATTGGTGAAAACCGCATCTGCTGCAGCCGCCATCTTCCAACTCCCAGTGACATTCAGGACAGCGCCACACGTTGTCTTCTGGATCCAGAATGCCGGACCGCCAATTTCGTGGCCCACGTGCGGACCCTAATCCCAAGAAAACACCCTTGAATAGGCCTGGACCAGCTCGATCTGCGGCTAGCAGGACGGCCTCTTCTTCTTTAGCAGTCTGATGTTCTTGCACAGTCTCGTCTTCCGGCAGGAGCTCCGCGCGGCCAATGAACATGTGAACCAGATCTCGAAGCAGGTAATTCGGCGACGGTTCTACTCTGACATTGGCTCTGCAATCAGGACAGGTACTCTTGCTTCTTCGACCGGTGGCGCCTCCAAACCAGCTTGCGAGACACGAGTAGCAGTATGTGTGGCCGCAGGGTAGGATGAAGGGTTCGTAGAAGGGCTTAATGCAAATCTTGCATAGGGAGAGGTTGCGCATGTCTTCGATGTGTTTTTGAAAAGTGGCGAGGAGGTCGGGTGCCGCCATGATGGGAGAGAGAGATCCGTTCGCGCACTCAGAGGCGGTGATGAGCGGCGAGGGCCTAGAGGATAGATATGGCGCCAGGAATCGCAGACAGCCGGCGTTGAAGGCTGCCGGCGCGTGAAGCGATCGAGAAGTGAGGGACAAGTGAAATCCAGCCTGATCAGGGCCACGCCGCATGAGGAAACTCAGCCGAGCAATTTTGATACATGGCACCGGGCCTTGTCAGTCCAAGTCCCGTTTCCTATGCCACCAGCCTAGACATTCGCCGGCCATGTCGAAGCCTATATCTTTTGGCTTCGGGAAGTCAAAGACGGCCAGTGCTGGCACCAGCACTCTCCCGTCCCGCAAGCCTGCCTCTTCGAAGGCCCCTTCACGAACCGCCCTCCACCAAGATTCGGACAATGAAGACGAGGAAGAGCCAAGACACGAGTCAGTCACTGGCTTCTCGTCTAGTGGTGCTATTCTAAGTCGTCCCGTACAGGAATCGAGAGAGAAAGTCATACAGAATGCCGGCAATGGCGACTGGCGCAGACGAGGACGAAATAATCTGCTGCCTGCAGAAGTCCAAGCGGCGCAACGTGGAGATGGCCCCATCATGGTGGAGCGAGACGAAGTGAGCAAGGCTACCGGCCTACAATTTGCAGACGAAACCGAGAAAGAGCCGGAGCGACGGCCGAATGGCGATCAAAAGCCGCAGGACCACAGAGATAGTCCGCTCAAACAGCTGACGGCTGATGACGAAGCCCTGCAAGCGCTTTTGGACGATGGCACGGGCAAGCCCAAGTCGAACGCTGTTATACAACTTCAAGGCAACAGGATGTTGTCACCGCGAGACGAAGAGGAAGACTTCCGCCAAGACATAGCCTCCAGACCAGACTCGAGTACGCTTGAAGAGTATGCAGCAATGCCCGTCGAGGAGTTTGGGCTTGCGATGCTGCGGGGAATGGGCCAGAAGCGACGCGCCAACGGAGAAGTCATTGATTTAAACCCAAAGACGGACGACAACACCAGAAAGCAACGCAAGCAAGAGGGGTTTCTGGGCATTGGAGCAAGAGCAGCTCCTGGGACGGATGGAGTCGAGCTTGGCGCGTGGGGCAAAGCCGACATGCGCAAGAACACCAAGGGCCAGGGATTCTTTACACCGTTGATGCGCGAGAACAAAGCCACAGGAGAGCGCATATCAGAGGATGAATTTCAGAAAAGGCTAAAAGAGTCCAAAGGAGCAAAGGACGAGGAGGACTGGAGACAGCGTCGAGATCGCAATCTGGAAAAGAACAGCAGAGACCGCGATCGAAATGGTCATACCAGTGGCAATGATGATTACCGGGATCAGATGAACTCTTTCTCACGCTCAGGTTCATCAAGGCGCGACAGGGAGGACGACCGGGAGTACTCTCGATCAAGGAGAGACCGGGACGACGCTGACCACGAGTCCTCAAGGTCGCGGAAAGACAGGTCAAAGGACAGAAGCCGGAGAGGTCGAGACGAGGACGAGAACCACGATAGCCGGCACCGCGATAGATACCGAGACCGCCACCGTGATGACGACAGATACGATTCGAGTTCGTCTCATCGAAGCCATCGTGATCGTGATCGAGATCGTAATCGAGACAGGGACAAGTACAGAGAGCGCGATGGTGACCATCGGCACCGGGACAGATGATCTACTCTGGCCTCAGAATATTGGGTTGACGCTTGCTTGGAGGCAGAACCATGCATGCTTCGTATGTAGGATACAAAGCGCGAATGAGAGAGCCACAAGGCCCAAGCGAACCACGCTTGAACTACACCATAATAACGTCTGCATCCCTGTCTGTGTCGACGCCATTTCCGCTTGCCTGTCCATTCGTCAACTCCATCGCGCCGCCAAACCCCTCATCCATCTCCCTCAACGTATACTCTATCAAGTAACTCTCGTCAATCAGCTCCTCCATTCTCTTGAAGTGCCGCTCCGTGTAGACTTCCAACGCCCTTAGCAGCTCTTGCATGTCTCCTGCACTCCCTTTGGCCCTGCCTCCTCGTCTAGCAGTAACGGTGACCACGCCATCTCCCCCACTACCCGCAGTACCCACGAGTCTCTTATCCCGCGCCATCTCCACGAACGTGGCCTTCGGGTACGATTTGAGGATACAATGCAAGACGCGTTGCGCGACGGGCGCGGTCCGCGCATTGGTGTTCCAATCGCGCACGTGCTCGAGCATCTGGAACAGTTGCGTCCTGTCCAGACTGGCTAGGACGGCGTCGGCCTCTCGCGCGCCGGTGATGCTTTTGCTGTTAAGATCCTCACTGGCACTGGCTTTGTTGTCATTCTGCTGCTCTACGACGTCCTGGAAGACGCGCAATAGCCGGCCAGGGTGGTTCAGGGCCAGGGACAAGGTGATGGCTTCGCGGTAGTTTTTGGAGAAGATGTGGTTCTGGAGCAGTTGGTCTTGTTCGATGCGTTGGGTGGCGCGGTGGGAGAGCGCGGAGGCCGTGGCGAGCGTGGTGTCGCGCCAGAACGTTAGGGTTGCGTCGGCGGCGCCTGAGATGAGTGGGTAGGGGTACGTCTGTGTCGTTGGTGCCGAGGAGCTTTCGGTGGATTTGTGAGAGGCGGAAGGAGAGGGTGCTAGATATGAGTTCGGGGCGACGAGAGCCCATACCCGATCGGTGTGGTTGTCTAGCGTGGTGAGGAGGTGATCAGAGTCGGCGGCCGAGTAGGGCGACCAGAGTTTCACGAGGGTGTCGGATGAGGCGGAGGCGATCACCGGCGCTTCAATCTGCTGGGAAGGTCGTGGCGCCTCTTCTCCTGACTCTTCACCTCGGGAGGGTGGCCTGCTTGGCGAGATCCAAATGACCTTTAAGACTGAGTTGCTGTGTCCCTCAAACGTCTGGAGACACGTGTATGTCGAGAGGGACCAGACTTTGACTGTCCGGTCACCGGAGCCGCTGACCAGCAGGCCGCGAGAGCCGCTTGAGCCGCCATCGGGTAGAGAGATCGGAGGAGTTCCTGCGGGCGAGAAGCGGATTGACCAGACGCCGCGCTTGTGGCCACGGAGGATTCCTGTCACGGAACCGTCCTCAAGTGACCAGACTTTGATGGTGCGGTCTTGAGAGGCCGAGGCAAAGAGTGCTGACGTTGGTGAGACGTCGATTGCGTTGATGTCCTTGTCGTGCGCGACTCGTGTGAACAAGGCTTTTATGCTAGTTTGCGGTTCCGTTGCCGAGGGGTCATACTTGAGTTTCGCTGTATCCCATCGCTTGATCGTCTTGTCTTGCGACCCGGTTAGAAGAAAAGCAGGGGCATGTCCTGATGGATTCCGCAAAACAGGTCCGTCACTGGGTGGACTTCGTGGTAGAGCTATCGCGCCTAGGGACTCTGCATGTCCGGCCAGAACGGCAAAGCATGTGTATGATGACGAGGCTGGATCTAGTCTCCATACTCGTGCTGTGTTGTCCTTCGCGCCCGTCGCTAGCCAATGACCAGACCAGTCGACGTCCAGGCATATTATTATGTCATCGTGGCCCTCGAGAAGCGCAACATCGTTTCCGAACGAGCTCGGCGAGGAGTGTGTAGCGTCCTTCTGTGTGCTCTCCTGGGCGATTGACACCAATCTAACACTTTCTGTGTTCGTAGCAAGAGCTAATAATCTTCTCTCTGGACCGACGCATGCCATATCAATGACTTCATCGTAATTGCCGGAAATCGTCCGAATGAGGGGGAGTCTTCCTATTGTCTCTGATACCTGAAGCTCTTGCAATATGGTAACATCGTAGACTCTCATTGTCTGATCTTGATGGATGGAGGTAACAGTGTTGTCTTCGAGAACAGGGACAATGGTCACAATGGCGTCGTTTTCAAGCCCGGGTTTTTGCTTTGCCGTGAGCTCGCGGCCAGTGCTGACATCCCAGATCCTGACTGCTCCGTGCTCTCCTCCAGCATAGCAAAACTTCCCAGCGACCAGGAACCCTGCAGTCTCGACGACTTCCAGTGCGGGAATGACTCTGGTCTGCTTCCACATCCGGGTATCCCAAAGTATGATTGTTCGATCACGACTGGCCGAGAGGAGGAGTTGTTGATCCTCCGTGAAGTCGATGCTTCGGACAACGCTGACATGGGCATCCAGCGTGGTGATAGCTTTTCGGGTAGCCAGATTCCACACCCGAATCTTGCCGTCTTCCCCACCTGATGCGAGACATATTTGTTGCACTGGTGATGACTCGTCGACATCCATCTGTTCTCCATCTCGACTCTTTCGTTTTCGGCTTGTTTGGCTGTTTGAGGAGCTGGTTGATTTGGACTGAAAGAATTTCAAAGCGGAGACAACACCACCGTGACCGTGAAATGTATGCGATACATAGCCTCCTCTGATGTCCCAAACCTTGACTTGTCCTTCCGCGCCGCCGGTGGCCAGGACTGACCCGGAGCCATCAATTGCCGCTGACACGACAGGGGTGGTGTGCGGTTTTAGCGTGCGGGCTAGATCGGCGACCAGTTTTGTCGATCCCTCAACTGGTGTTAGAGAATATATGCGGAGTGAGAGCGATCTGGAAGCGATGGCCAGATGGGAGACGTTGGGAGCCAGGCAAAGACTTGTCACGGGCTCTCCATCGCCCTCTATCCGACACAGAACTTTGCCAGACCTGATGTCAACAACCAAAACATCTTCTTCGACGCAAGTTGCTAGCAGGTTCCCGTCTGCATTATGTGAAATGTCGCCTCCAGTGAAAATCGGTTCAATGGTCTTGGCCGCCTCGAAGGTGGTCTTGAAAGTGACTTTGGTCGCCATTTCTACAGTCGCTAAAGGATCAATATCATGACCGAAGATTACTCATGGCAGCACACTGAGTGAAAAAGACGTCCATGGGAATCGATTCTGCTGAGCTGCTTAATGTCTCGTAGAAAAAGTCCAGCCGCTAATTGAAACTTTTGGCCAATCGCATGACGAGTATCCAAGGTTTGAACGCTAGTAGCTTCGTGCCACAGCCTTGCGACGCATCTTTCAGCCTCGTGCCTCCGCATCAGAAATATCTTGGCATTATTGGCACGTTTGGTATCATGGCCGCTGCCTTTTTCTCAGTGCTGGGGACACTAGCTGGGAGCAAGCGGACAACTAGACATATTCCTGCTCCATCTTCTTACCTTCCCACCAAATGTTCCACCACTCGAGTTCTACGGAGCGCCATCTTTGAAAACCAGCACATGAGGTTCTAGATGAGGTACCTCACAGGCCATTGTTGCCCGTATCAAAAATGATGAAAGTGGAAGATTGCCATTCTTGCTGAAGCAAACGCAATCGACGTCAACAACATTTCTTACCACGCGTCGAGGCCGCACCAGACGAGTCACGACTTCGAATATTGTCACGCTCGGTTCAACGCATCACAAAGTTTTTACCAGTGTAGCAACATCGCCGACACCCTTCAAACTCCAAGCAATGTCACTCGCCTTCTTCGCACCGTCCCCAAGCACCAGACTCACTTGGTCGAGGAACTTCTCCTGCAGTTGCTCGTCCGTCATTGGGACCTCGAGACTCCCAATCGCATGCTTGACGTGCTTCTTCAGCTCCTTGCCGTCCTGAAATTCGACCACAATCTCCGTCTCGTCAGCACCCAACTTCTCGCCAGCCGTCGCGTCGATTCTATCCCTGATCGAGACAATCTCGTTACTCCTCACAACTTCGTCCGCGTACTGGGCCGGTCCAGCTTTCCCCAGCACCAGCCCCACCGCGCCACCATGATATACACTGAACTTGGCTTGTAAGCCGTCCTGTGGAGTTTTCTTGCCGGTCAATTCCAACACCAGAGGATGGACTCTACATTTCACGCTCTTAATCCCTTGCATATCCAATTCCTTCTCTTCCATCTCCTTGTGCAGCTGGATACACCCATCAATGACCGGATGCACCACAATCCCGCACGGAAACGGCTTAAATGCGTTCTTCTCGATTTCCCATACCTTCCCTAGACTTCCCACAAATTCGTCTAACCGATTGATCCCCTGTCCAACGACGTTGACCCAACCCCTCTTAGCCTCCAAGGCTGACGTCGAGGACGTAAATCGCTGAGAGGCCAATATGGCTGCTAACAACCCATTCTGAGCCGACCGTCCTACATGAAAGGATTTCGTGTCCGATCCAAACATTTCGCGCAGGCCGGTGACTTGGGTCGACGCTATCCCGATGGCGTGTGCTGTCTGCTCTGCAGATAGGGAGAGGAGTTTACTGGCCGCGACGGCAGCGCCAATAGCACCGGTTGTTGACGTGATGTGCCTGTAAGGTGGATGGCATTAGAGCGGCGTCTCTCCCGAGAAAGATTCGTCCAGTGCACGCTCCCCACATTCCCTGCAACGCGCCCAGAAGGCGGTTAGGGCCTTGGGGAGGGAAGCAAACACTCACCATCCCACATCGTAGTGCTTCGGCCATACCGCCAACCCGAGTTTACACTCAGCCTCAATGCCCACCACCAGCGCGAGCAAGAAGTCGTCTCCCAACACCGTCATCCCTTGTGCTGTCAGTGCCTCGGCCTGCGCAAGCAACGCACTCGCCACCGGCCCCGTCGGGTGGATGATCGTCTCTAGATGCGTATCATCATAGTCGTGCACATGGCTCGCGATGCCATTAATCAATGCCGAGTGACTGGCGTCTGCTTTCCCTGCACCACTCCCCGTCGACTGACCGCCCAATAAGCTGGACGTCTCCTTCCCAAAGAACGGGGATAGAGCTTTCACCGCAGTCGTCGTGGTAGGGTGATTTGATCCGCCCAACGCACAGCCAAGCCAGTTGTAGAAGGAGCGGACGGCCGCATCCACCACCGAGCTGGGGAGGTCGCTGTATGAGAGGGCGACAGACCATTCTGCAATGCGCAGGGTTGCCATTGTGGTGGACGCCTGGACGAGTGGTGGGCCGTAGTGTGGACGGTATCGCATTCCAGAGTTCAAAGATTTAGAGCCACTCGCATCGTATATCGCGAGCCAAGCTTCCAGCGTCGCGTTCTTAGCGAAGGCTTGATTTTGATACGTCTCGTCCACGCTCGAAAGCCTTCCTTTCATCAATATCGGCGAGTGAGTTGGAATATTGTTGAGATTTATTGAATGGCTTCCCCACGGGGATTTTCCGACTGGTCAGCGGTTCATGATGATGTCGACCGTCTCCTCATCGTACGAGTCGCGAACCTGCGAGTGATGGAGAGCGAACTCCGACATCGGCTTACTTGGGACCGCGTTACATCGGCCTTCCATGGACCGCAAACTCGAAGCAAACCATCCTTAGGCATCGTGTGGTCGAGTCTTCCATGTGCTGGTCACTGTCGACCGGGAGCTGTCCGGGGTCCTCCGTCCCGAAAGCCGAACGCTTCGGCCGAGTGCACGGCTCCCATTCCTGGTCTTACGGTACTATGCAGCTCGACGCGTCACACGCTCTTGTCGCTTGATACTACGCAGTACACCTGGATGGAGTATCATGATAATGCATGTTCCGCCCTCATGGTCACCACTATTTCAGGTGTCAACTTTACGAAGTGAACCGTTCTTTGTCCACAGTATGCGCGCTATCAGGGCTGAGTCCTGAGCTGGGAGCAAGTCCTCAGGTGTCCCACACGGAGTCGATCATCTTGTTGATAACCCCTGCCAATCAACCCAGCCATGAGATAGGCCTCCGCCTCATAGCCACAAGGAGGCTAAGACCGTATGATCTTGTTCGTACCCCAATTTCTGCAGCTCACGAATGAGATCAAATACAAAGCAAGATACCGAGTAACATTCCCATGACTCCTTTTCCAACGCTTACAGACTCAACAGTGGTCGGTCGTGGCGGTCGAAGCAGAGCCTGCTTCACGTGCCGCCAGCGACGTCTCCAACGCGGTGAGTGGTTAATCAGCTTGTTATCTACCAACAAGGCATGCAGCCACGAGCGAAGTTCCTTTGCGGTCCAGACGAAACGAAGCCAGCCTGCCGTCGGTGCGCGGCCGCCGGGCTCGAATGCAGGGGATACCCCGACACGATGCCCTTCACTGACGACAACCCTGCGCTACGGCTGCAGAGGAGGAACAAGAGCACTGGAGCGGGACTCAGACTTGCGGGACGGCTGGGAACCCAGACCTTGCTACCGCTCGGCTTCGCTTCAATCCCGCTCCCGCTCCCCCACGCAATGTTTTCGGCGGAGACGTCTACTTCGCATACTTTAGACATGCCCTCCGCGGCGGCAATTCCCTGCTCGACGGCCCGTGGCCTGGGTTCTCCGCCCTCAAGGACCCGGAGGGCCTGTCGCAACGGTGCATTACGTGCTTTGCGGTCTCGTTCTTCAGGAGGCGAAACCGTGACCCCCGCGCCGCGAGCAGGGGGGGCGTCTGTACGCCCGTGCGCTGGGCGAGCTGAATGCCCGGCTGTCACTACCTCAGGTTGGGGCGCCAGGGCAGACCGTGCTCGTGATTACGATTCTTACGGCTTGCGAGGTACGCATATATGTGTCTGTATGTGTAATGTATGTTTTGCGTGTGTGGGATGTACAGGGCGCCCATTAGCAATGGCACGGGGTGCAGCGTGGTGCAGTGTAGTGCGACGTTGGTAGCGAGCATATCACCTTCCCTTTAACCCCCTTTCCTTAGGTCTGGTCTGTCTGCCAGCTACTACTGACTCATATCGCGCGCGCCCTTGCTTGGTTCCCGTTTGATACGACTGTCTCATATCGGCCAGCCAACACAAGCGCACGCCTTTCTCTAAATTAACTGACGTGACATAGTACCTCTGCGCAACGACCCTAACCGCCTGGCTCAACCACATGCTCGGCCCAGCGACCTATTTCCAGCACCACGGCATCGACATCTTCGTCTCCGAAGACCGCCACACCCTCACACAATTCGAGGGCGACCGCTTCGCAATGCTCCTCGCAGCCATAGCAGCCCGCCGGCCCTTTTTGTTACAATCCAACTAGTGGATGACCCAGTCATGGAGGCGTGCGCAGGCCCACAAACCACAACACCAATACCTCCCCGATCTCGCCTCGCGGCTGCCGGACATGTATTTGGCCTCTACGCAACACCGTTACCACCGGTCAAAGAAGGCCGCCGAGATATGCCATTGCCATTGCCATGCGTTGGAATCCAGCATGCACGATCTCCTTCGGGACTTGCGCGCGTGGGAACAGGCGTGGCGGCGTGGAGACAACGTCCACGTCGAGGAGCGCGTCTTATCTGAGGCCGAAAGGCGGGCGTGCGGGTTCGCGACATGCCTGCATTTCGCGGATATCGATATCGACAGCGCGGCGTACACTTTCGTCATGTATAATGTCGTGGTGATCATCTTGTTGGAACTGTGGGAGAAGGCCAGAAGGAGGGTGGCGCAGGGGCTGGTGTCGTTGTCGTTGCTCGCGGGGGCTGACCAGGGGCATCACGAGCACAACCACGGCGACTGTGGGGGCGGTAGAAGCCATTCCCGTGACGATCCCGTTGTAGTGTCGTCGCCATCGTCAACCCCCCCCCCCCCCCCCCCCCCCCCCTCCAACACAATCCTTGACAGCCCAAGCCCCCCCTCGACGCGCGGCGCTTGATATCTGTCGAACACTCCCGCTTTACCGATCACCGTCGGGCTCCTGGGCGAATACCATCCACGTGGTCGTGGCTGTTCGTATGGCGCTTGTGGTTTTTCGACAGGAGAGAGAGACAGTCCACAGGCCGTCTGGCTGGAGGAGATTCTGCGGCAGATAACGGGCGAGTCGGGCCAGGGGTGGGAAGTTGGGAAGTACGCTATGCAGGAGTTTGGGTAATTAGCCGATTAAAGATTCTGAGTTTGAATACAGTATGAGGAGACGTGGTGTGCGCGAGTGATGATCGTGGTCCCGTCCAAGAAAGGGGTGTACGGATGTGCTGACTGACTACCTACGGAGTACAGTGACATAGGACTCCGGATGGCAGGTGAAATGGCAATCACGCAGGGTCCTAGCCGTTTCTTCGATAGGACGAAATTACATTATATTAACTCCGGTGAACAGATCCACCGAAATGGCGCTATTCATTCGGACTACTCGTACTCACCTACACACTACAGCTCGTCCTCCCTCCTACGGTCCTACAGGCCTACAGTACCCCTCACATGGAAAGCCATCCCGCGTCCCACACCCGCTCCTGTACGAGTATCAGACTGTAAGCTCCGTGTCCTATCTCCATGAGCGAGCATCTAGTGCCACCACTTTCGCCTTGAATGTTCTGGGCATGCGGCATGCCATGGCGTGCCAACCGTCTAACGTCCAATTGATGCAAAGTACGGCTGGATTAAGAGTTGCCGAGTCCGCGAGCATGACTCAGAGCTCTGCCCACTAAGGGTAGGGTTCGGCACAACCCCATGGCCCCTCAGGCCTCGTTCAGCAGGCACGATAACAAGCCGATCTCCCAGCTAGCCGTTGAAATGTGCCCCCCTCACTTATCCTCAATCCTCTGTGCCACCCTCTTCCATCTCACTCTGAACAAAGTCGACACATATATACCTCGTCATGGCTCTCGCGACTTGCTGCCTCAAATCATTCGCCTGGGAAGACACGCCCACAGGCCAAACTTCCACTCTAGGCCCCCTCAACACGTACATTGCCGGCACAAACACTGAGCGCGCCATCCTCTTCGTCCACGACGCCTTAGGCTGGACATTTCCCAACGCGCGCCTGCTGGCCGACCATTATGCCCGCGAAGTCGACGCCACTGTGTATCTGCCGGACTTCTTCGGCGGCGAAACCCTGCCCTTCGAACCTATCCTAGCGGGCCGCTTCCACGAGGTCGATTTCACCGGTTTCCTGGAGAGGAACGCCCGGCCCATCCGCGAACCTGAGATCTTCGACGCCGCGCGTGCGTTGAGGCAACAATACAAGAAAGTCGGCGCCATAGGGTTCTGCTACGGCGGGTGGGCTTGTCTCCGCCTTGGTTCCAAGGACCATGACCCCGCGCTTGTTGATGCCGTCAGCATCGGCCATCCTAGTCTCTTGACCAAGGAAGATATCGACGAGGCTGCGGTCCCTGTGCAGATGCTCGCACCCGAGCATGATGTCCCGTATCCACACGACATGAAGGTTCATACGTTCGAGGCTGTGATGAAGAACGGGCTCCCCTTGGATTACGTCCATTTCCCGGGCGTGGAGCACGGCTCTCTTGTGCGTGGGGATGCGAGGGTCAAGGGCGAGAGGGAGGCAATGGCCAGGGCGAAGGATGCTGCTGTGAATTGGTTCAGGCAGTGGCTATACGAGTGATTGTGCCTGGTTGCATCCTGATCGTCGAAGACGCTAAAGTGGAACAGACGAGCCATTGTTTGATATGTATTGTGGCGGTCCGAATGCCTTTGTGAAGCGTGGTAGATGGGTAGTTAAGATGCCGGCGTAGATGTGTCCTTTTGATCAAGTCGACGACTACCTTCTGGTGGAAATCGAGCAAACAGCAGAACCACAAAGCCTATCAAGGCGACGGCGGCGTTGCAGGCGAACACGAGCTCTGTCCTGCCAATGCTCGCAAATGCTGCAAAGATGATGCCAAAAATAGACGTGGTAGAAAGTCGGGCGATGTTCTCAACCAGAGAAACTCCTGCTAGCGCGTCTGTCCTCTCACTGCTGGTTGCGTGGCTGCCGACCATCTGCAGAACAGTCCCTTTTGCCGCCGAACCAGTGCCGGCCGCAAAGGGCAGAACCGCAGCAACAAGATACATCTGCCAGCCTTGACGGACGAAGGAGCAGAGCAGAGTCAGGAGCCCGTCGGCGATGAGCGAGAACTTCGTGTATGTAAGATCGAAGGCAAATGTCCGCTCTTGTGGGGGCCCCTCGTCTTTGTTATTGCTGCTAAGGGAGCTGTTTTCAGACGCCGAGAGTAGGGGTTCGCGTTCTGGCGGTGTTGGGGCCTCGCGCTTCTCCCGCTTGCTGGTCACCCTCCTTCCAATGGCGATCAGCTTGGGGAAGGCAAAAGTCAAGAAGACGCCCCTCAGCATCGAGTACATGAAAATCAGTGCGCCGTTTTGCTTGGTCCCGAACTCGAAGACGTTCGTCGCATAGAGCTGTAGCAAGGTCACCAGGTATCCCGTGGCCAAGATCCCGAGATACACTCCCCATGCAAGTAAAAAGGCCCCGTATTCTCTCCTGACGACACCGTCTCTGGTGATGAATTTGCGCGGAGCAAATACAGTCAATGGGCCGAAGAACTTGCCGATGGCCGAAGTGCCCTTCTTTGCCTTCATCGAGTCTGCGTCATCCTCGATTTTCTCGGCAGGTGGGATATGCGGCAAGAAGATGAAGACGTAGACACACACCAGTAAGAATAGCACGAGTGTCAAGCGGAAGGGAGCTTTGATCCCGAAGCTCTCACCCGCGATACCGCCCAAGAGAAACCCCATAGCAGATCCAAAGAACATGCTTCCAGTGAGTCTACCTAGAGCTGCCGTACGCTCCTCGTAGTCGACGACCTCGGTGATGAAGGTGTTGAGTGCCAGCAAGTAGCCGCTCGGACCGCCGATGACAGTGAAGATCTGCGAGAGCTGAATGATGATGATGCCCGTGCTGCCCCAAACCTCGACGCCCACATTCTGAACCACAAGTCTTACGGCAGGGAACAGAATCTGCGTCATCAACGTTGGCTTCACCCCAATGCGTTTGATCAGAGTGCCGGTCAGGAAGAGGTTGGCCGTGCCAAAGACTGTGGTGCTTGCGCCGAGGAGAGACACGGACATGGCGGTCGAGCTTTCAATCGGACGTATGGAACATCGGTCAGGCGTGCCTGGAGCTTCGAACGTTGATACCGGAGACAACGCCACGAGCGCCCGCCAAAAGATTGACGTTATCGTCTTTGACTCGGAATATTGTGCATCTTCCAACACACGGGAAGGATGGTCTTTGTAGTAAGCGTCGCAAGTCATCAGCCTGAAGACGTAGAGTAGCGGCACTTGTGTTACACCGAAGCTCAGGCTGGTCAGGAAGGCACAGAGCAGTAAGAGATACGGCACTGAACGAGGCCAACGGCCCGCTGGTGCTTCTGGTCCGTCATCATCTTCAGGTGCGATTTCTTGCACAGCGACGCTTTCGGCCACACTGATGTCCTCTAATGATCTCGTGCGACTGAGCAGAAGCGGCGCTGTCCCATCCTCGTCTCCGTGTCGCTGGTGGGTGGACGATCTCCGCCGACCACCGGTGTGGCGACCTGCCATGATTTGTGAATGCGTGACAAGCTTTGGTCCGTTACACAGCGTCAGCCTCGACTGCCCTCCCAGCTGTCATTGCCAGATGAAGGTTTAATGTGTAAGTCGTCGGTAGGCAGAGTATCTGTTTGTTAACATAAGATCAATTACACCAGTCATTGGGAGAGCATCGCGTGCAGATTTGTTGATGTAACCATAACCATAACGGCTCTGACCGCCCAACAGATACGCCAGAGAGGCGATGCCGGCCGCAATCCCGCATTCTTTATCTCCAACGCGTCTGAAGGTGGAAAGAATCGGCGGCGGCACGGAGCCCAAACCGCGAACTGCCGCCGCCGACTGAGCGACCTCGGGAGGCACGCGATTTTATCTCAGTCTGGCCTCACTTGCCTCCCGAGCCCCCCAAGTGCATGAGTGATGAGTGGTGCGGGGGACCCAGAGTTTGGGGAATAAAGCCTGTCAGACGAAGTCTCTTGCTGACATTTGCCATGTCATTCTGTTATTTGTGACTTCTGCTTGCCGGTGCTTGAACTCTTCCCTTCTTTACTCGTCGGTCACTTGTCCCTTGCTTTGGGGGTACTGCACGCCTTTATCGATATCCTCTCGAGCTGTAAGTTTTCTGATCAGAAGGTCGTCAGCAGTTGATCATCAATTCCCTCACTTCACCTTCTCTGTCCCTGTGACGGTGTGCCCTGCAGTCCCGCTTACCCTCGGGCAATAGAGAGAAAATGAGATTGTGGTGGGAATATCGGATCCGCTGACCATCCATTCAGCCCTACATCGTCGACCAAAGAGTACTTCGACCCTTCCGCGATGCATCTGATGCTATTACAGCGGGCAACAACCGCTTCAGCCTGCTGGTGTTGTCACTGAGCTCTCCACTCGGCTCCTTGAGGCCAGATCTTGATGACCCGAGGATCAGCGATTAGGTCATATCTTACTTGAGCAGCCCTGGTTGGAGTACGAGTGTGGCTTCGCATTATGAGTATCTGGGGTACGTGTGTTAAGCTTACAGCACCACTTCGGACCCGCAGCCGCAGCACAATAAGTCTCAGCGACTGAAAAGGTAGGTTCAGGACGTCATATTCCACAGTACTCGTTGCGAGCGCCTGAATCCCGGACCATCCGTGGCTTTGTGCAGCAAGCAGCAGGCCCAACAGCATGGAGAGACACAGCTGTATGTATATCTACCGGGCCACACTCCTGGGAAATGCCTAAGTGTCGTCCATTCCCTTCGGCCTGTCTCCTAAAAGTCGGCGTTTTGTTATAAAGCCTTGGCCACTCCGACTTCACAATTATGGCTATTAGAGACTCGATCTTCGTGGACGGGACATCAGCCCACGTCGTCTCAACCACCCTGCACTACTGGCTCGACCCGGCACACGGAGGATGCAAAGAGTTCTATGCCGGGACAGCAGGGGCATACCGCAGGAAACATGACGAACAACCCGCTCAAATCACGGACGTCAGAGGACACGAGAAAGACTTCACCCTCGACAAGCAGGGCTTCGCATACGTGCAGCATGAGAGCAAGGAAAAAGAGTTCGCAAACGAAGAAGGCATCAAGGAACGTCTCTACCCCGAAGTAAGCGAGCTGTTGAAGGACGTGTAAGTACAACTATGATGCCAACGTCAAGCGCGCTCCCACGGTGGGGACGCCTCCGATACGGAACAACACGATACTCACGCACCACCAGCACAGGAGCGACCCACGTCCGGCCCTTCTCCCACCTAGTCCGCTCGGAGAGGTGGGAAGACGTCCAAGCAGCATGGCAAGGCAAGAAAGACGACGACATCATCCGCAAGAAAGTGCCCGCCCGGTTCGCGCACGTCGACCACTCGTACACGGGCGCCATGCAGGTCCTGAACGACAACCTCACCGACGAAGCCGAGCGCGCCAGACTGACCACCAACACGAGGTGGGCGATAATCAACGTGTGGCGTCCGTAAGTCGCTCACTGCGTGCGCGTTTGCTCCATCATATGGTTGTGTACATCCTATGTGATGGATACCGACCCAGGCTCATCAGCCGGCTAACTCGGTATAACCTATATAGCATCCACCATCCCGCCACGCGAGACGCGCTCGCAGTATGCGACGCCCGCACCGTCGCCGAGTCGGACCTCGAGGGCGTGACCGCGCACCTGCCCCCACCAGGCAGCGAGAGCGGCAGCAACACGTACGAGAACGTCAGCCTAGGAAGGCACTTCGAGACGTGGGCCGTCAAAGCCAGCCCCGCGCACAAGTGGTATTACAAGAGCGGGATGACGCCTAACGAGGCGTTGTTGCTCAAGATCTTCGACTCGAAAATGGACGGCCGCGCGAGGAGGGTGCCGCATACTTCGTTCGCGTGCGATGAGGACTACGGGCCGTCGCGACACAGCGTCGAGGTTCGGTGTTTTGTGTTTTGGGAGGATCAGAGCTTGGAGTGAGAATGAGTATGAAATCACGGGAGAAGCAGCTGAGGTGAGTAAGAGGTACAGTACAAGTAGCGACTGATACGTAGGAATGATTGGGGATAGTAATTATGGAGGCTGCAGAGTCAAGGCGAAGGTTGGGGAGGGGTGAACATGGGACTTGAGTGAATAGGGAGTCGAGTCGACAAATGAGGAGACATAGGTATGTACCTCGCATTGCTTGCGCTCATGGGGGTCGGCACCTCCTCATCTGGGGTACTTGTGCTGAGTTGCCTACTGCTGTGTGTACTGAGCCAGGGAGCTCACTGCCCTTAAACGCGCATAACGTGTAATGTGAAAAGGCATGGCGAATCAAGAAAAGATGCCAGGAATGTGAATGTACTCACACCACTTTACGCTTATGGTCTTTCCCTGGTACATACCCTCGTCCAGAGTACACTCGTACTTTCATAGACTTGCCTACCACTGTATGTACCAAGCCACGGGAGCACGGTGCCCCTAATGCCTCAATGCCGTAGAATGTATGGAGAGAGGAGAAGAATACATCGAGTGATGAGTATGTGTGGAAGCTGTAATTGTCTACGGAGCACGGAGTTCGGTACGGAGTCCCTCATACAATTCTACATGGTCATAGTCATTCGTATCTCCTCGAAGTCTGGCCCGTTTAGCGACGACTACGGCACAATTGACTAGCATGTATCTGAGAATTCGTACAGCACTCCGCAAGTCAGGACGGAGGCGCGATCATGAATCTAGCACTTCATACCTGGACAAGGCTAGTGTGATCATGAGTCCACGTCGCAGCGAAGCGCACACTATGAGAACACGATAAGATGTCACGTCTCATAGAAAAAGCGAAAGCCAAGGCACTCCGTAGCTATCGGGAAAACTCCTAGCTGACAAACGCGAAGATTGCTCAACCAGGTCCATTGATGAATTATGTATCACTATCGAAGAGAAACAGACTCAATACATTGCATCGGTCGTGAGCATCCCGCCGCTCTCGATGAATGGTATTGTCATGGAAGCCATCTCCGTGTCATGATAGACGCCCCGGGCCCAAACCCCAACCCCGCCCAGAGCTTGGTCATCAGGCAACGGACGGTAAGGTGAAATCAGCGCAGGAGACGACAGCCATTTACAACGCGGCGGCGAGACCCATGAGGGCCAGGACACCGAGCTCGACCTTGGGCAGAGCAGCAGCGCCGGTGAAGGTGGCAGGAGCGACGGGGGCGCCGGTGTAGTCGGCAACACCCCAGCCGGAGCTGGAGGCCGAGGCGGCAGCGACGGGGGTTCCCCAGCTGCTGGAAGCAGGGGCCACGGGGGTGGCGGAAGTGCTCGTGGTCCAGTCACCCCAAGTGTAGCTAGTGGAGGTGGTGACGGCGGCGGCAGGGGTGCTGCTGGTCGACGACTTGGACGCCTCCCAGTCGGCCCAGTTGATGCTGGAGGTCGTAGTAGCGGCGGCAGCCTTGCTGGAGGTGGAGGTCTTGGAGGCTTCCCAGTCGGCCCAGTTGATGGAGCTGGTCGACGAGGTGGTGGCGGCCTTCACGGGCTTGCTGCTGGTGGTAGAGGCGGTGCTGCTCTTGGACGCTTCCCAGTCAGCCCAGTCGATGCTGGTGGTGGTGGCCTTGGCGGGGGTGGTGGTGGTGGTCGTGGTAGTGAGCTTGGACGGGTCCCAGTCAGCCCAGGTGGAGGAGACGGCGGCGCCATATGCCGAGGCGGCGAGAGCGGCAATGAGAACAGTCTTCATTTTTGAGGTTGGGGGTTGGTTCTGCTGAACGAGTGACTTAAGTTGGTTTTGGTTCGACGAGGAACGTTTGGTAAAGAGTGACTGAAGTGAATTGCGCTTGGAGGAGAGAAAAGGAAGACCGAGAAGAGTGTCGAGGACGCATTCTGATATATAGCATGTCGCAACTCGGCGGACTCCCAGACGCAGACACAACAATAGCATCCAATAGGGGTCAGATATCCACCCTCAATTCATGCCTAAGATCTCGCGTCCACATTGTTCATTTCTCTCGTGGCTGTGATGCGCCGAACTTGTGAGTCAAAGTTTGCTGTTCATTCGTCCTAAAGTGGGATTGGGTGCCTCTAGGCAGAGGATTAGCCGACTCCAACTTCCCCTGTTAAATTGCTTCGAGCAGCGAGTGCTGGAAGGCGAAAATAAACGGCGCTATGGTACGGCGTAGCTACGCGCCGCTCCACCGCCATATGGTTGCTTGGGGCCAGGCTCATAGCAATCCAGCGGGCCATTGGAAAGCAGGAGAGATGGCGTGATTGGTTGGCCTTCAGGGGTTTGTATATTTTGGATGGTTAAAGTCGTATCTCCCAACGCGAAAGCAGTAGCTGCTCAATTAAGCTCTGGCAGCTCATTGCTTGTTCAGAAACGACGTGGTTCCACGCCATCCCGTCATAGCCGTTGAAAGCCTCGTGTGCGAACCACTCACAGCGCATATGGAACAGCAGAGCAATCTCTGCACAGGATGGTGGTCCCGATCCCATGGCGAAAGGCCCCAGGGTTACAGTCCTTTCGTGCTCGCTAGGCAGTCCCTAGCGAAAGGTCAAGAGCACCGGGCTGTTTGGAAGCAAAACAGCGCGAGAAGAAATGAAGTCGAGAAGGGCAAGGTTAGGAAGAGGACATCCACTGGCCTCCGTTGGTCGCAAGCTCGTTGCATTGCCAAGGCCGCTACCCCCTGTCGCATTTCCGTGTCCGGCCAATGCGCTTAATTCCCGAAATGAGATTGATCTCCCAAGCGTATCGATAGTGGAGATAAGCTTGCGACACAACAACCACTGAAAGGGCTATACTCCGGCCATAGGGGAGCGAATCGGAGTCTGTTCTCACTGTCGGGTGGGTAATTAGTCATTCTGCTCGCAAGACCACCCATCCCAGAGATGCTCATCAAACCGCGGCACAGGGAGTATTTCTGTTTTTGGCAGATGCGATCGCCCAGCTGCGGATCGCATGTTGCTTCTGGATCCGTAATCCGTAGTAACTGTGCTCCATCATGTTTTGAATAGGCACGACGTTGCTCACCGCTATTATGGGCCCAAATCCAGGGGAAAGGCCTCTGATCGGATACAGGGTGCGAAAGGTAGCGCCTTTGCGATTCTGAGCTGAATTCTTCCACAACGAAGTCGGTGTCGTTTATGAGGTACGGACGGCCTATCTTGATCGATACTCCACGGTCAATGATATAGACCATCCACCAGAGCATACGACGGTATTCTCTCTGGCGGTACGTCAGCTGATCCCATAAGGCCTCATTGTTCAACTCCAAGGCGAATGACAGCTCTACAGCAATAGCCTTGGACATCGACATCGCTTCGCTTTTTTCCAGCATTGTATAGTAGAGGACCTCGAGAATGTGGACTCGCAGCACGTCGAGGCAGGGTTCGTCACTCCACGAATATTCTGCCAGGAGCTTGCGACTCTCCTGATGCCATTCGGCGGCAGTAATAGCGCAGTCTTCCTCATCATGGGATTCACCTGATGCTGACCGACCGCCTAGGTATGTGGCGAGCGCCAGGATGGTGCAAGTAAGCGCCGCGAGGGCCAGCAACTCTGGTCTCCTAGGAATCCAGGTCGTACGGCCTTGATAGGTGCAGTACCGGTCGAAGAGCAGGAGCAGACGCTGATAAAAGTCCGCACGGTCAATGCAGGGATAATAGATCTCCAGTTCGTCGAAACAGTATTTAATTAGGAAGCCGAGGCTCTGGTTTGGCTGCAGCCTGGAAGGAATGAAGTTGCAGTTGGCATTGCTGCCCGTCGAGGGACACGTTCTGGCCGTGCCTGCATTTGGGAACTGCGGAGGCTCGGTTGCCTCTGGGAAATTGATTGTTCGACCGGGTGAGTGAGCCAGTCTCCATGAGTTGATTCTCAAGGCCTGAACTATCTCGCGCCTTGCGCTGCAGTGCACTTGTCAATATGGAGTACCCAGACTCCAAAGCGTCAAGATGGCATACCGTGTGAGGGCTTCCAGATCTGGCTTTCGCAGCGTCACCTGGCTGATTTCGCATTAGCTGCGGTCTACGTCGTTGAGATGTTGCGAATCTGCATACGCGACCTCTGCTCGAAGTGCAGTTCCGGCAAGGCACTTCGCCGCTGCACTATATCACAGCGTCAACGAGCATTCTCTTCCTCTGAGTACTAATGAGTTACTCGAACTTTCCGCCTTTTGCATTCGGTGCTAATCATTGATGCGTCGTATCAGCACGGCGTGAGAGGTGTAAAGTGAACGCTATCTTTGCTCACCAAGCCTGACTTGCATATTTCATTCTTTGACCTTGGTGTGGCAGCTCCGCAGTGGTGGACGACGCGGAATGTTGGTTTGAATAGGATGAAGTTGGACTCTCCATGGCTGAGCAATAGCTGGCCTGGGCGAAGTATACGGATTCGTCAAACGGTAACCTCAACTTCTCGTGGACGCCGTTGGACTGATACAAGAGGTACCAAAGTCAAGCGGCGCACCCGCCACTCCTGGCCTTGCGGTTCGGCTGAGTGCCTGGGCGAATATCCTCCCACGCTGCCGACCCCGCGCAACTTTCACCTTGGCTTCATCTCGGCCTCACTCTACATTGTACGTTTCATTCCGGAATACACTCACATTCAACTGCGTTCAATAACTCCAGCTTAAAGTTTCTTGAGCGACTGTGTCGCGACAGGGTTCGATGTTCGTTCTGCAGAGCAGTGGCACTGATGTCAACAAACCGTCCAGTGTCACACATTCCTCACGACTAATTGTGGCGTTGTTACAGTCCACCGGTGGGTGAACTGTGCACCTCACGAGATCGAGTCCGCAGCCACTCCAACTATGTATCATGTTCAATGACCTCTTGCTGGGACTCAATCACTTTCGTACACAGCGGAAACGATCGCAAGGGACTGCTCTACCGACGCACGCGATGGTACATAGTATGAATGAATCACCCTCCTCATGCTGACTACGCCCTCTCCCTCTGAACGACATTAACCACCACTTCACCTTTCTTCACTTCTCCAACACGTTCAAACTGTTCCGAATCATGTCAGTAGTCTGTCTTGCATTGTAACAATCAAGACTTCTTCCGAAATGGTTGGTACTGGCTGACTGACCTTGAATTGAGCCATCAGAGTGGCCACAGCCTTGAAGAACTCGAGAAAGGCGACATTCTTCCCAATGCAAACCCTCGATCCCTGCCCGAAAGTCATGTCGGTTCTTTCCATGAGTTTCCTTCTTTCGAGGTACGCCTCACTCGTTTCGTTCTCGTGCTGCATCCACCGCTCGGGGTTGTACTGCTGCATCGGCGCCAAAGACACGCACATCCTGATTAATCGCGCCGGCGGGACAGCCGATGTTGGTGTTGGGGGGAATCTGCACACCATTAGGAAGCTCTAATCCAGCCGTACCTGTTACTCTCTGCAGGTTGAAAGACGTCGAAGAGTGCAGGCGATAGGCCTCCCGGATCGTTCCTTCAAGATAAGGCAGGTTTTTGACATGATCATACGAGGCTGGCAGACGGCATTGAGCTTGCTGCAGTTCAGCGTACAGCTTGTCCTGAGAGCCTGGATGCGTTGCGAGATAACGACACAGTTCATCGAAAGAGGCAGACGGGCTGAGGCCGCCGGCAATCAGATTTCCGGAGGTCATGATGAGGACTTGCTTCTCGTCCATGAGACTTGGATAACCTGCATGGGTGGCGACGAAGTGTGAAAGCAGGTCTGGTCGCGGCTGGTCTTCAGGGTCTGGGGCTCGCAGCCGGGCTTGGACGGTCCCGCCAACGACTTTCATGAATGGTGATGGACGTGTCTTCCTCATGAGTGCGTTGTCCTGGAGGACCTTGTGCAGCCACGGCATTTGCGAGACCAAGCCGGAGTAGAATCCAAATGCACGAACCCTTTGAACGAGGCCATACGCATCATGGCCTTCTCCCTGCATCGACCCGAGTGGCTTACCCATTGTGATCTTGGAAACGACGTCGAAGCAATCTTTGAGGAAACGTCAGCAGAGCACTTCTATAATCGAGTGCCCGATGGATTGGTCGCGCACAGTATTGGCACCATAAGCTCAAATTCATCGGTTTACGTGCAAAGGCATGCTGGTTGCAAACCTCGACAAACCGATTGACCATGTCATCGACGTACGGCTCATAGCCTTTCAGCGAAGTCATCGAATAGGCGTTCGACACGAGCTTGCGGTATTGCGAGTGCGTCTTCTCATCTGGAATGCTCAACAGACTAGTCGTCATCCCGGCCTGTCGGAATGGAACATAGGCATTGCCCTAAGCATCACCACTTGTGTCAGCACTCGTTGTTGTGACGAGACAGTGCCCCTACCTTGTCCAACTTCGACCGCACTCCGTAGATCACCGGCACGGCCGCTGGATCGAAAACAGTGACGGAGCGAGGCCCTGTCCTGACAACATCTCCATAACGTGCCTGCAGGCCACGCTGCACGTGGACTTTGTTGTGGAAATGTATGCCTCTCCAGGCAGTATACAAGGCCCAGCCATCGGTATATCGGGCTAAGAAAGGCCCCGGAATGTGGGAAAGACCTGCCTGCCTGCTGTTCAGCACGAGGAAAGAAAGCAGTAGGACGATGCCAATCGAAGTGACCACTAAGGCCCACTGTGCAACACCGACAGGGTGAAAACCCGGAAGAAAGTCCATGGCTTGGTCTTGAGAGTCGACTCTGGCCATGACTACCTAGGTGTTCAGTGTTCATCCAAGGCCTTCTGCTTATGTATAATCAAGTCTGCCATCCCTCCCCCGTCATGACAACTTGCGTTGGGTGGAGTCGACCGATTCAACGTGGTAAGGCACACCAAGTATTACCGATGTCTCGTACTAATGATTGGAGATAGTCGGCCTCACATCTGCAGAGACATGGAATATGCATGGAGACGGAATTCGGTGAGCAGCAAGCCTCGGCCACCAGTCGCGCCAACCTCTCAAGTAGGCAATTTTTGAACAACTCGCTCTTTGGGTTCTTCTCCGCTCTCCGCACGCTGTCGTGTCCTCAGCATCTCTTCCTGACGCAAATGCCACACCATCATTCGCAGAGCAAGAATCGTATGGCCGGGACGCCTGGGACGGCAACATCTTCCTCACGTCCTCGAACCCGATTTGTTCGCACAACCTCGCTATGGTCATGCCACCAGGCCGGAACATGCACATGGCAGTTCACGGCCCTGGATGCCCCATGCTGTCTTGTTCCAGCCATCAGAAAGGATGTGGTCTTTGCATTTCCGGCTGCATGTCGATTCTTGACCAATAAGCCTGATACCATCCCTCGCATCGAAGACATGCACGTCCTCCAGGAAAAAGCTGAAGTTCAGCACCAAATGCTCGAGATGCGGCGGATCCGACCACAAATCACTACGTTGATGCCAACGCCAGGGACTGGGAGGACATTCACTCGTCGTCTCTGCTGCACTTGACTCAATCGCCCCATTTTGTCTTGCATAATAGCTCCAAAGGTATGAAGAGCCTTGACGCGTCTTTCGCGCTCGCAACTGGGAGTGAGCCTCCCGATCTGCACAGTGCGCTCGGTGATTGAGCCTGTTGACCACGGACCAGGACCACCAAGACATTCGAAGGCGTTCCACTCTGAGCCCTTTCCGTGTGGACGGGCACCAAGCAACGGCGCGCCCTGGCCGCCCTCGGTAGAGGCTACCACTCTCGAACCCGACCTGGACAATCTCGACCACAAGCCCAGAAGGTGAGCTCTGGTTACGGAATGCGAAAATGGTCAATGGCTCGGAATCCGCCTGGGTCATTCGTATACAGAGCAGGTTGGAGTTCTTGAGCTCAAGCCTGGAACCCAGACTCAGACCTGAGACGAAGATTCACCGTTAAGATGGCACCGTCCCCGTCGCGCTCGTCCAGTACAGACCATAGGTCGACCAGGAGTCAAGGACACGACGTAGATCACGACACCAGACTCGTTCTGCACCACGCGTCCAAATCGATAGCTATGCTGCCGTGCAAGGGACTTCAAAGTCAGGGTGAACGCAGACGGGAGACCTTGCTGCATTCGAACTCGCCCTTCCGCCTTGCCGCAGGTATGATCCAGTCGCGTCCGTTGCGCGACATCCTGCTCGGCTAGAGAACCGCTTCGAAGTATCCTTTCTCGCTGTCATGGCGTCCAGCGCTTGGAGGCAGCCTCGCCAGCTTCATGATGTACGTGCATACGACAACACTAGCGCACGCGAACACATTCGACACGAACTCAATACTCCTGCGCGCTCAGGGTCGGGGCGAGCGGTGACGACCGATCTGTGCCTTCACGGAGCGAATCGGGGACAAAGCCCTTTTTCATCGTCTCCGATTTCGCGAGCAAGGAGGAAGAAGTCTCGATGAGCATAGGCGATAACACGTGCGAGGTGGAATATGTACGACCACTCACAGCAACAGGTCATGCAACCCGAGGTAAGAGTTCAACACGCCTCACGACATTTACAGGCTAGGAATCAGTCTCCGCGGCGTCGCCCGGGGAAATCGTTCGTCCTTGGGCAAGCCGATCGACAACCAGGTGAAAGGCAATTCGTAGTCAATCGTGATGCCGTGATGATTCGCGAAGGGAAGACCGAGACGGTGAGATGTCCAGCGTGGAACAAGCAGGTGCTTTGTCGACAAAGCCGCCGGTTATCTTCCAACAGGTCTTTGGCGGCAAGTATCGACACACTGTGGTGATGTGTTTGAATTGCTTGGCTGAGTCCGGCCAGATGGTACACAGTAGGTACATTACATAGGTAGGTCCTGTAGGGAGCTGCTTTGCTAGCGCCTGGCAATTCGACGCCTACACGTCCTTGATCTTGATGCTCATTTTACTCATACCTTCTCCTCATAGTCTTCCTCCCTGTTGCAGTCCCTACCTCCTCTTCACAAGTCGTCATCCTTGTTGCGACTGTGGAACCATTCATACAGGAGCTCGGGGTGCCGAACAGCATTTCGAGAGCGTCATGCCGGGAATGAGACGGTGAAGCGGACCAGTAGATGGTCCCCCAGGAAGCCATCTTGAGCCTGGGTAGATATGTAGATCCCAGAAAGACATCGAGAGCCTCAGTAGACACATCTCGGAGAAGACATTGTAACCCTTCCTACCAAGGAGATCAAGCTGAATACACCGTCCGGCGCGCCCTCCATCGACACCTCTAATCACAGCATGTACATATGTAGCTCCCTGCCCGATCCACTGCTTCCCTTCCATACCAATTCGAACTGAACTGGACCGATCAAAACCGACGAGGACCAATCTAACCTACTCTACTCTATTCTATCTCATAACACTTCTGAAGCCACCCTCCACGCTTCCCATCGTGGACACGCCATGGCATGCATGATCAGCGCCTTGATCCTTTGACCCCGTTCCGCTTAAGTCCCAATATCCCAATATCACAATGCCACAAACACCACAATGCACCACACCGCGCTCACTCGTCCAAATGGATCACCTCATAAAGATCTGATCCAACCCTTTCGTGTCCGCGAGTATCATTTTCTTAGCCTGGATGTTCCGCCCCCGGAGCAGATGTCGCCCGTTCTTCAGGGCCAGCACAGGTACTCTTGGGGAACTCTGCCCGGACGTCAAGGTCTCGGATTCGACGACCACGCCATTCCCAGTCATATTGACTTGCTGCTCTGGCTTGAGTTTCCGCTTCTTCTTGTGCACCTTCGACGTGATCGCGACCTCATCTTCTGAGGCAGCAGATGAGACGGGCTCATCCGGCGATATCGGAGACTTATGCACAGACAACGCTGCGTTGTCACGGCCTTTGGCTTCTCGCCTCGCTGCCTTCCTTTGGGCCTTCTCTTCCTTCCGTCTCCGCTTGTCTTCTTTCCGTTGCTTCTTCGCGGCCTTGAGTCGTCGTCGTTCCTCGCGATCGTGATCGCGGTCCTGGCTCGGCGTAGAGACCTCCCCATCAACCTCGTCTTGTGAAGTCGATTGCGGTTTGGGTCCATCCACGCCTTGCGCATCCTGTGCGGCGTCCTGGCCTCTCTTTTCTAGCTCTTCAGTTCCTTTATTCTCAGGCTCATTCTCACTCTGATTCTGATCCTGATCCTGACTCCCAACCAAAACCCCACCATTTACAAAAACCATCCCGCCCCACCGTCCCCGAAAGAACATCTCCAACCTCTTCTCCTCTCTTTTCTTGCCCTCCTCTTTCTGCACTGCCTCCGCCTTGCCATTCAACCTCCCCAACAACCCCTGGAAGGCGTCAAACCCCGTCCTCTGCGCCTCGACATTATGACTCGAATTCCTCGTGGCGCCAAGGCCGAGATTATCGTCCTTGAAGAGAACCCCGACCCTTGCAGCCGCGAGACGTTCCGTATCGGTGGCCAGGCCGGAACGGGGCCCCGAGCGCGAGGACGAGGACGTGGTTGAGGCATTGCGCGCCCCAAGCGCCTGGCCCTCCGACCAGCCCTGCTGCGTCATGAGGCGGTGGCCGTAGGACGCGGCTGCGGACTGGTCTGACCAGGCGAGGTTGCGGGGGTCGTGGCCGATTTTGCGGCGTCTAGTGGCAGAAAGAAGGACGGCGTTAGCGAACGTGGCATGACCTGGTGTGGGGAGGGGTGGAGCGACGGTAATACAGCGAGGCAGCGAGGCAACACTCTTGTCTGGCTCATCTCATCTCATGTCTTCTCTTCCCCACGACTTGCCTTGCCTTGCACTGCGCTGCGCTGCGCTGCTTGTAGACTTGTGCTCGGGGAATCAGTGGGTTAGAGGTACTTACTTTCTAGGTTCGGCGAGGCCCATGTTGACTCACGATCCTCCTGGTCGACCTCCCTGCTGAAAAGCAGGATCGCCGGCCACGGTGGGTGTCTGGGTGGGCGCTGATATCGCTATTCGTGGGGTATTTCTTGAGAAAGTCGAAATCCAGAAAAATTACAAGTTTGCACCTTAAAGGACAGATGGCCCACCGTAGTGCCTTCTACGGCCAGTCGTGCTGCTCCAACATGCCGAGGTGTCGTTACCCGTGCTTCTCCAAGAGTGACAGGGTAACCTATTATTGAGCCTATTCTTGATAGTCCGTGTCCCCGACTGGCGCTCTATCTGGCCTTTCCAGCAAGTTGGATAGCACGTCCTTGAAAAGGGGTATTATACAAAGTCTGAAAGAACATTCATGGCGTCGCTCCCAGACTCGACAATGATTAGAAGTCTACTGGCAATGCGCATTGCTTTGCTCCTTGGGGAGCAGTAGCATCCTCATTCACAAATAATAAACCTTGACCCGAATGTCCTGTGTGCCAATGTACGCTTTGTTGTGCCTAGGACCTCGGCGGCACCACCGTGTTTGCGGCTACTGAGCTTCTGCCGTACTCCGTACTCCATGCTTATATACTTCAAAGAATCAACCACTACCTAAGTACATATTCAACCGATCTCTGCGGTCGTGTTGTTGCTCTTGTACACTCCTCCGCCAACCTTGATACTGACACCGATAGCAATTGCCACTGCTGCACCAAGAATAAGAAGCCCAATCAAGATCTTAACCACGATTCTCTGACGAGGAGAAAGTCGCGAGAACCAAGCACAGCCTCTCTGTTTGGGCTTCGTCATGCACTGCTTTTGTCTCTTCCAGAACCTGAATCTGGTCGTGGTCGCTGCATTCTGGGCATCTCTTTTCTCTTGTGAGATCGAAGGAGAGAGGTTGCACGAGCCGGCTTCGAGGTCTTTGAGGTCGTTAACCGACACGTGGACGGGGTCTTGTGATTTAGAGACGTCAAAGGACGGGCGAGGAGAGTCGTGCTTGTAGAGGTAGAAGGGTGACGTGAATTTGGCATTGCTGCAGGGGTCGAACTCCGACGTAGGCGGTTCGAGTAGTGTTGCGGCAGGCTTTTGCTCGGTGAGCTCGGTGGCCTCGGTTATGGTGGTCATCTTGATGTACTGGGCGTGCAGATCGAGAATTGAACAGTTACTGGTGGTAGCGATGTGGCCGCTGAAGCATATGCCTCTGCAGGAGGATAACGAGTAACGCTGCCAAAGGGCAAAAGTGAGGGTTTTAAGAGTCCATGTTGACCAAGAAGAGTCAAAACTGGTGAGGATATCTCCGCCGAAGTGGAAGTTTCCTGGATTCAGAAGAGTACGCCCGTTGGGTGTAGAGTGAGTCGTGCTTGCTCGTGAGATATTGATTGACTCAGGGTCTCCAAGCAAGCGAAGAAGATCTTCCCTCAAGCTGCGGCAGGCACGTTGTCTATCACTGCTCCGTAGGAGACTGCGGTTCCGAAGGGCGGTTGGAGGCAGGCGCTTGCAATGTGACGTTTGACGTTCGTGTAACGCGTGGCAGATGTCTCGGAAGTCGAAGCTGCTCTTGAGCTCAACCTCACTTCGAGTGCTCTTGTGGCAAGAACTCTAAGACATATGTATACCTACTGGGCGACGTTCAGGGCTCCGTGCCTGTCATTCCCTGATGAGCTCACTCTTCAGCCACGCCAGGTGTTGCCGAATCCCATTGGAGCTGACTTGAAGGTGCAATCAAACAGACACCCAACAGGCCTGGCCGCACCAACCTTGGATTTCCAGGCTGGATGTGGGCATTGGACTGGGGAAGCCTGGTCTTTGCATCCACAGGCCGAGCCACCGTTGGCCTTAGCGCTCCTGCTAGCACTCGCTAGGCCCGGGTACCTGCCGCCTAATCACGCTTAACCGTGAAATCTGCGGCTGTTATCTGGGTTCCTTACCTTAGTACCGTCTGCTGGTGCAAGACGGAGACGACTTGAATCTTGAGATGACTTCGACGACCACCGAGCTGTCATGGAGTCACAGTTGTGAGTATCTATGGCTCGCTGCAATACTTAGTTGAAGGAGTATTAAATGTCAAAATCCAAGGTCAAAATCCACCTCGGCGTGGTTGAGAAACAACAACACGCAGCCAAGATTCAATGATCGCCCATTAATGGGCAGACACGGCTCGTGGCGTCCCCGAAAGTGGCCACTGTTCCTGGACGATGCCCACATCTGGAATTCTCCCGCCAACTCCCCTGTCCCACAGCATCTCCGTCGGCGTCATAGTTCCACCTCTGAGAATCAGTGTGAAACAGTATTCATGTGATAAAGGGCTTTCATTTTCAGCTGGGATGCACCGGAATCTAAAGGCATCTCGCGGACCACTCCCATCTATTTGGCCATACCAGACAGACGACTTGGGTGAGATTGCTATGACTCTCTGAAGAAATCCTCCTTCACGATATGGCTCTTATCACACATACCTCGGAAGATGCCACCCGCCTCAAATAGATTGATAGGAGTGTCCAATTCCGCAATCCTGCCCTTGTCCATCACGCAGATGCGATCGTAGTTGATGATGGTCTTCAGTCGATGGGCGATGCATAGCAATGTTTTCCCAGCAAAGCCCGTTCGCATCGTGCGTTGAATCTTTTCATCGGTCTCAAAGTCGACGGATGAGGTTGCTTCATCACAGACAATGATCTGCGAATTGCGGACAAGGGCTCTCGCCAACGCCATCAATTGTCTCTGTCCGAGTGAAAAGTTCAGACCTTCTTCCTCGACTGGGCTATCGAGGTGTATACGACTGGGGCCAGGCGGCTGGTTGACGTGCGATGTTGACGTTGCGGCAGTCTGAGCGGTATCAGGGCGATCAGCCTTCACGTCGGCCTTTTCTGTGGTCATCTCTTCCCCTACGAGATCTGCTTTTCGAAGCGCAGCCCAGAGTTCCAAATCGGAATGCTCGTGGAAAGGATCGAGGTTCGATCGAATGGTACCCCGGAACAAGGTGGGATCCTGTGGGATGATGGCCAATCGAGACCGCAAGTCATACAAGCCGACGGTTGAGATATCAATATCGTCGATCTTGATCTGGCCCGAGGACAGTTCGGTCAACCGGAAAAGGGCCGACATGATGGATGACTTGCCAGCTCCAGTCCGACCAACAATGCCAATCCGCTCGCCGCCTGTGATGTGGAAATCCAGACCTTGTAGGACCAGCGGTAGTCCTGCCCGATATCTCATCTCCACCTTACTGAATGTGATGGCTCCCGTTTGCGGCCAATTATCCGGCACTTCTCTGGCCTTCAATGGTGCCTCTTCCTCCAGCTGAGTACCATAATAATGGATTCTTTCCGTGGCGTTCATGTTATTTTCCACCTCAGCCAGCTGTCGCACCGTAAATTGGATCATCTGTACAATGGCCAGAACATATGACAAAACCAAGCCCGCTATGCTAGGATTAACATTAAAACGATCCGTCACCACCAAAATGCCGGTGACAAAAACAAGCATATTTCCAATGGCGTCCAAACGTGTCGATAGCCACCTCTGGTTGGCAAAGGTAAGATAGTATGCAGAATTCATCTGATCAATGGCGTCGCGCAGTCGCGTCGTGAAATATGCCTGCAAGCCATATGCTCGGATAGATGCAACACCAGAGATGGACTCGGAAAACCGTGCGAAGACGGTGGACCTCAGCACCGCCTCGTGTCGTTTGATCTCTCGCGCCGATGATCTGTAATAACTGGAAGCGAATAAGAACAAAATGAAAAGTGGCCCAAGAGCCACGGCGAAAAAGTGGAAGTATGCAATGATCAGCGCGAAGACTGATGTGATCATGGCCAGGGTAAGGAAATACATCCTCATAGCGTCGGTCAAGCTGTTGTCCATGGAGTCGACGTCCTTCGAGAATCGATTGGTGATGCGACCAAGAGGCGTGGTGTCGAAGAACGACATTGGAGCTCGCAGAGTCCGGGTCATCGCTTTCTGCAGCAGGACTCTGCTTGCATTGGTGCCACTCGTGGACAGGAGGGTCGAAAAGGCAAACAAGAGGATTGCCTGAGAAAGACCCAGGCAGGCGTACGCAGCAATGTATATACCTGGGGAGAAGCCAAATTTGTCGCTGGTCCACCAGCTTAGCCACAAGCTGGTCACAATGTTGGAGCCCTGCGAGAGCACGAGGCAAATGAAGATCAACGGCCAGAAAATCGGCGACCCTGATGCCCGGATGTACGCTCTCCAGACGGACCAGCTGACCGACTTGACGGCACGCTCTTCCTGTTGCATCAGAGCAGCCGGCTTGCCCCTCTTGTCCTTCTTCTTGGGTTTCTTCTCCTCCTCTTCTGTTGTCTTGGCTTTGGCGAGAGCGGTCTCGTCTTCTTGGGCAGTTGTGGCCATCAACTTCTGGAAATCAACGCTCGTATTCATCAGATTGTCAAAAGTGTCAATGGCTTGGATATGGCCGTCTTCCATCCAGATGATCCGGTCACACCTGTTGAGAACATGCAACTGGTGCGTGGCTAAGATTCTGCATTTGTCCTTCATAAGTCCGCATATTGCCTTGTCCATGATGTGACGGCCAACGTGGGCATCCACAGCTGAGAGTGGGTCGTCCATCAGAACAATGTCGGCGTCAAAATAGATGGCTCGTGCAATGTTCAACCGCTGCTTTTGGCCGCCTGATAGCGTTATTCCTCGTTCGCCGATCTCGGTTTCATCCCCAGCAGGGAGAATTTGCAGGTCGGGTTCCAGAGCACAGGCATTGATGACTTCTTTGTACCACTTGGTCTTGAATGGCTTCCCAAAGGTGATATTGTCTTTCAAGGTAGCATTTTGAATCCACGCATACTGGGGACAGAAGGCACGAGAAGCCGCTAACTTGATCTTGCCGCCTGTCTTGCGCATATCTCCCGCGAGGGCAGCCAGAAGAGAGGTCTTGCCGGAACCGACAGTCCCAATGACCGCAATCAATTCGTTCCTTCCCACGGCAAAATCAATGTCGTGCAACCTGAAAGGCTCCACTTCGGTGGTTTCGCTGGCGATGTCCTCGTTGGATGCACTGGGGGATTTCTCATTCTTTTTCGCGGCCTTGTCGGCTTTCTTTTGCGCCTTTTTGCGCGCCTTCTCGGCTTTCTTGGCGGCCATAAGCTCAAATCTGGTCTGGAATGTGTTCGTCCTCTCCTTGTCCTGTGTCACGGTCCGCTCCCATGTGAATGAAGCATGCTGCACTTCGACCGCCGGTTCCATGTCATCGTCCCAAACCACTTCGTCTTTCTGCTCTTCCGAGAGAAGGAATTCTTGAATCCGTTCGAGTGCTGTCTTGGCGTCGGTGACCTGTCCAAGGACCAATGGAAGTAAGTTGAGTGGCATTCGCAGAGAGTTGAAAAGGGCTAGGGAGGAAAAGATCCGCGCAGGAGCCAAACCGTGGTCGGTCAACGAGTATGTGATGAAGGCCAGCATGGAAGCAAACACGGGCATTGACATGGCGACCGCGTTGATCGCGTTCCTGATGGAGAGCAATATCTGGATGGCCCTGATTTCTCGCTTCCGAAGTTCCTTCAAGCGGTCAAGGAAGCTGCTTTCCCAGCCAAAGAATTTGACGAATCGAACGGAGCCCAAAATTTCTTGGGTGAGCGTAACACGCTGGTCGGTAATCTTGTTGATATTCTTTCGCCTTTTCATGAGGGACTTGATTGTCTTGGTCAACACTGGTAGGGTGATGACGAGCAGAGCAAAGCCTGCCAGCGCGCTATATCCAATGTTAATGCATAGCACGACCAGTACCACAACCAGCTGGATTGGTGAAGTCCACAAGATGTGGAACATCCCCGACGCCTGATCAATCCGGTAGGTATCGACACTCATCAGGTTGACAATCCTGCCGTTGCTCCAGCCAGTGCCGTCTCCAGCAATTCCGGCTCCTTTGTCGGGCGTGGTCTTTGCACCGCCCTTCGGATGAATTCGCTTGGACAGGGCGCGAGCAAGTGCCGGCCGGTTCGGCTTCTCTTCCGCGGTCTCATTCGCTTGCTCAGATACGCCCTCGCCTTTCAGAGCCTTTCCCCCGGCTTTTGCTCTCCCTGAGATGACCAGAGATTTCTCGAAAATTGCGTTGATCAAGACAGCCCTGCATTCTCCTCCAACCATCATTCCGCGATACAGGAAATGGTTGGTGGACATTGTTTGGCATATCTGCATAAAGGTGATGCCGATGACAAGGCCAATACCATGGCCAATATTGGGGGATTGGCCGCCAGACTTGTCAGCGACCCATGCATCTGTGGCGAACTGAATCAGATAGCGGGTAGTGAAAGGTGAAAAGACCTGAAGCAAGGCCGAAAACAGAGCACAAACAGCGCCCAGCATGAATTCACCGCGGAAGGTATCGAGAAGCGCCCACATCAGAGGGTTGCGTTCTCCTCGCGCATTTCGACGCTTGAAAGAGGCAGTCAACTTGCCCATCATCGTGGCAGCACTCCTATCAGGATTGACCAGCCAAATGTCGTTCAACTCGATGGGCCGCTTGTAACCGGTAGTCATGAGAGGATTCATCCATTGGAACGTCAACAGACTGAAGAAACCTGCATTGTATTCTCGCGAGACGGCCCTCTCCTCCGGTATAGGCGGAGGGTTGCGCCGGAGAGGATTTATTTTGTAGCGCCATGGTGCTTTCTCTGGCTCGACCGCCGGAAGAGCGGCAGAGCTGGCTTCAGTCGCGTCGGTTACCGCAGACTCGATCTTTTCCAGTCGCGTGCTGTCTTCACTCCTCCCTCGCCCTACCCTGCGAAGATCCTTGGGCACTTCCAAATACTGCACTGGTTCGTTTCTCTTCGCCACGTCCTGCTCCTCGACATTATTCTGGGAGAGGGCGCGCTCGAGCTCCTTCTCATCGTCGGGACTCGTCATGGCGACCGCTGCCGTATCAGCGCACGAATAACAGCGGATAATGGTTGGCGAGGCCGAGCAGACAGTCCATCATGAAGTGACGGACCAAAAGTGGGGAGGGGCAAAGAATATGTAGCGAGGCGGCATAAGATACGGTGACGGAAGGACATAGAGCCGGGCAACTAATGACTGTAAGGCGACCGGGATCTGGCACGAAAACATCCTCGGTGTTGTCGTAATTGAAGTTGAAGCCGCGCCTTTGCGGCAAAGCGGCCTCAAGCGAGCTTTGCAGGCGTTGAACAGTGGGTGTGGGCTTGGGGCGCCAGCTAATAGTGACGCAGCAAATTGGCTAGCGGCCACGTCTATTGGGCGGGCCGGGGGCATTCCTCCAGGCGGGCAGGTGGCATACGCTGAACCACGGACTGGGGCGCTTGAAAATCTGGCACCATCTCAAAAATGTCCCTGCAAACGAAAGCTTGTCTCGCTCATTTGCCCCGACAGAGCAGCCCCGAACCTCGCTACTGCCAGAGCTTAGCAATACCCAAACGCAGAGCCCTGGCCAAGACCCCACAGAGCCTAATCCTCTGCTGTGTACGGCACTTCTCCCTCGTACTGGGGTATACTCGCGACGAGTCGTACGAGTACGCTCTCCGCGTGTCCTGGGGCACTGGCCATGAGGCGACTATACGCCAAGTGGAATATGGAATTTGGGGCGACAAAAGTGCACACCGATATTGGCTCCACAGGGGGGCAACGTAGACCATCAGGTCTGTGATTTGGAGATCTCGCTTCGGATGCCACCGCAAGGGACCTGAAAGGGTTCACACAGTCCAGCTTGGTCATCATCTCGGACTGATCGTAAAACCCTCCGCGTGAAAGCTTTGCTGCCTGGCACTCATGGATCTCCTGACACATGAGATCGAGGCAAAAGCTTCCACGTCTCGTGGTGTCACTGCTCAAACTGCTGAGGCCACTTTTCTGTCACAACCTACAGGTATGCTTCTGCCTGTACTACGGAAGACATGTCCTACGGCTGCTCAGCGGTGGAGAGACGATCCCAAAGCCACGGACATTACGGAGTACGGAGTACGCAAAACTGCCTGAATTCCGACACCTACCTGTAACCCCACCACACTTTTGGTGCCAGGCTCCGGCAGATGACAGCCGTCAAGAGACGAGCATGCCGTCAACCCTCCAAAGATGCTTACATGCGGGTATGATCCTCCCGACATGTCTTGCATTCCAGTACACTCCAGTACAGTGGTGAGCGGCGCTTACTGCGTCTTCGTCGGGCCCGAGGCCGATTTTATCGAAGCCGCTGCTCACCTAAGGCACGTCCTCGATCACATCTGGTGGGGAAGAATTCCATTACTGTGTACTTCATGAACGGCCCGGTACCGGTATGACGACCCCTCAGTAATGCTGTGTTTAGTAATGCTGTGGACGTCGCAACCATGTGTCGATTTCGGGCGCCAGCCTCTTCTCGAGGAACATCATGTTGGGCAAGACACTGATCACACTGCAGTGAGCTCGTGAATCACAGTCTGTTCTGGTAAGGTTCGAGTCATGGTTGACCCTCCACCATTTTCCATTCGTTCCGCTGTCGGATTCAAGAGGCATACACTTTACGTGCCTATATCCAGGCTTTTGATCTCACTCAAGCACAGCAGCCCAAACATCGCGTTCAAAAGTTTGTGCTTGCGGCAACATCCACGAGCAGGTCTGTCGTCCTTCGGAGCTCGCTGATCTTTCTATCCACCACCTTCCAGCAGTCAGGCCCAATGATGACTCGCAACAGACTCTCTTTCTTGATGAGCTCACCAACTTTACCCTCTCCCGTGGCTGCCTCGAACATGATTTTAGCGGCCTTGGCCGGGCTTCCCATTGCAGTGGTGGACAGTCTGGTGACATGATCGAGTCTGGCACTCACAGGATGGTTGCCTGTATACTCCTCTGAGGGCACTATCTGCTTGCTCACGTTGGACTTGCCAAAGTCAGTCCTGAACGCCCCAGGCACAATGATCAGCACGCGAATCCCAAACTGCGCGACCTCCTGACTGCACGATTCGGAAGCTGCTTCTAGCGCGGCTTTGCTTGCTGCGTACACACCACAGGCAAGGCCCGCGGCGACACCCTGGGCGCTAGAGACGTTCATGATCACGCCTGATCTTCGTTTTCTCATCCCTGGCAGCACGGCTTGCATGATTCTCAGGGGGCCAAGGAAATTGACCTGCATCTGATATACAGTGTCCGCAGATGGTATATCTTCTAAAGCTCCGAGCACGCTCATACCAGCATTGTTGACGAGTATGTCGATTCGGCCGAACAAAGACTCTGCAAGCTGCACTGTCTTGGTGAGTTGTTCTTCTGGCTGCGTCGTGTCGAGGGCGACCCATTTGCCGCCGCTCTTCTCGACTTCAGACACCAACTCTGGCGTCTTGGATGGATTGCGAGAGGTTGCAATGACGGTGTGGCCTTGTGCCATTGCATAACGGGTGAGCGCAAGCCCTAGCCCTGCGCTTGAGCCGGTGATGAACCACACTAGCGCTTTGAAAGTGGCGGGCATTGTTGCAGGAAAGTCACCTAGCTGTCAACGAAGATGAACCTGACGAAATGCGGCCGAGCTCACAATGCTATAGCCAGGGAAGGCCGCATATCTGTTACTACTTTAATATCACGAGGTATTCACTTCGTTTGCACCGAAGCTTTGGAGGTTCCTAGCTAGATTGATCAGCTCGGACATAGACTCGGATTTTGCATGCCAGCAGTCAGAGCTCAGAAGTGAACAATATGAGGATAGAAGCTTGGTCTTACTAGGCCAGCCAGCACCATCCGGGTCTGGCTGCACATAGTGACCGTAGTTAAGGTGGACTTTTATTCTTTATGTCCGACACTCTTTGGACGCTTCAGGCCTGAGATCTTGCCCAGATGAATGGGTGTCTTTTCCCTTAGAGGGCTTTCTCGACAATTTACCCGGGTGCTTCTGGTGAATACACGACAGGGAAGCCTTGATCATTATGCTGACCACAACTAGTAGAAGCATGGAGCAGGAAGACCGGCGGATCGGAAGACGGCCTCGGCAAAGTTCGCGCGGTCATTTCAAACCGCAGTCTCGTGATTGGCTGCGAGGTCCACAGCATCATAGACGACCTTGAACGCCACTTGCTCCTCGCTTTCAATTCCACCACCACCACCGTCTTTGAGCGACCACTCCCCACGCTCCGCATCGACCCTGCTACCGCTACAGCTCCAGTGCTGCTCCGACAACCGCCATGGCAGCTCTTCGCACAGCGTTGCGCCTGGCTGCGCCGACACGAGCTGCACTCCGACCTTCCTTCGCCGCACGATCGTATGCCACCGTGACGAAAGAAAGCGCCTACGATCTCAGCGCCAGCCGGCCTCCTATTAACGAATCGAAGACCAGCACCGTGCAAGAACCGAGACCTGACAAGGATGCGAAGATCAAGACATTCCACGTTTACAGGTGGAACCCTGACGAGCCGACCTCGAAGCCTCGGATGCAAAGCTATACCTTGGACTTGAACAAGACCGGTCCCATGATGCTGGATGCGCTGATTCGGATCAAGAACGAGGTGGATCCTACGCTGACATTTCGCCGAAGCTGCCGGGAGGGTATCTGTGGTAGCTGTGCCATGAATATCGATGGCGTCAACACTCTGGCTTGCCTGTGTAAGTATCGAGTTCGGCGATGCCAGCACCGGCGTTTGAATTAACATGATGGACAGGCCGCATTCCCACAGACACAGCCAAGGAATCTCGAATTTATCCCTTGCCGCACACATATGTCGTGAAGGACCTGGTCCCCGATTTGACGCAGTTCTACAAGCAATATAAATCGATCAAGCCCTTCTTGCAAAGAGACACGAAGTCACCAGATGTGAGTGGCTAATACAGCCGTGTGATGGCGTCGAGAATCTGCTAATACGTTTGCAGGGCAAGGAGAACCGACAATCACCAGCCGACCGAAAGAAGTTGGATGGTCTCTACGAATGCATTCTGTGCGCTTGTTGCTCAACCTCCTGCCCGTCATACTGGTGGAACAGTGACCAGTACCTTGGACCCGCCATTCTCCTCCAATCGTATCGCTGGCTCGCTGATTCTCGGGACGAGCGCAAGGCTGAGCGCAAGGAGGCATTGGAGAACAGCATGAGCTTGTACCGATGCCATACCATTTTGAACTGTTCAAGAACATGCCCGAAGGGATTGAACCCGGCAAAGGCTATTGCTGAGATCAAGAAGAGCATGGCTTTTGCTTCATGAGCGGGTTGTTTTGACGGGCTGGGCCGATTTATGTGGTCTTTCACGCACAGTGCTATTGTCAGATAGCAGACTGCTGTACATATACATCCAAACGCCTGAAGCTTACGAGCCGAATACGGTGGTCCTCGCCAGAATCATACCTAGGTACGGAATGTTCGGAAACTGTGCGGCATCTGGAAAGCCTTCCCTGCATAAGGGCGATTGCAATACGGTCATTGGTGGACTGCGTTTCCTTATCAACCCGCAGAATGCACCAAGCCACTCGGCCGAAAACATGTCCGTACAAATAGTCTGTACGGAGTAGCACCAATGTCAATGACGCTGAAATCAACAAGCAATAACAAGTCCTCATGGCGCAATTTGGCCCGGGCATTGCGACTTCGTGAGCATCTCGCTCTTAAAATACACGTCCAGCCATGCTGAACGCCAACGGTGGGCAAGCTCCAAGCAGCCTGCGGCTCTGGCTCGACTCCTTCAGTCCTTCGGCCCATCTCTCTTCACGGACGCGTGCGGGGGAACCCATTCCGGTTACTTCGCAGGCGAGGCAGCAACAGTCCCTTGACGATCGACCTTTCTTGCACCTCGACCAGACCACCATAAGAAACAGCCCAAGCGAGGGCAAGGAAGACGGTGATGACACGGTTCTATATCTGGGCTACGGCTCCAATCTGAGTGCCGAGACATTTCGGGGCAAAAGAGGCATCCGGCCGGTCTCGCAGGTCAACGTCGTCGTGCCAACTCTGTCCCTGACCTTCGACCTGCCGGGCATACCGTACACGGAGCCGTGCTTTGGCAACGTGCGACATCGGGACGAAACTCTCCAGTCGGAGGACTACCACAAAGACCACTGGGCCAAGGGCCTCGTGGGCGTGGTGTATGAAGTGACGAAGGAGGACTTTGCCCACATCATTGCAACAGAGGGAGGTGGGTCAGGATACGAGGATGTGCTGGTCGATTGCTACGCCCTGAGCGGCGAACCCAGTCAGGATGTGCCGATGAAGCCCGCGGGACGGCCGTTCAAGGCGCACACGCTGTTCGCGCCGTCGAAGTTGTCGCGGCCGGATCATTCCTATGCGCAGCCCAGCGCGAGGTACCTCAAGTTGATCACCGACGGGGCCACTGAACATGGACTGCCGCTGGAGTATCAGGCATTCTTGCATCAGATTAGGCCGTTCCGTCTGACAACCACGAATCAGAGATTGGGGGCGTTCGTGTTCCTGAGCGTGTGGTCTCCATTCTTGTTGTTCCTTATTGGAGGAGCGGCCTCGGTGTTCTTGCAACCGGACGGCACGTATCCGAAGTGGTTTGCCGAGTTCTTGAACGCCATGTTTAAGGCTTGTTGGGCGAGTTACGACTACTTCTTCAAGGAGCTCTTTGGCGACGGAGAGAGGACGATTGGTGACGACGAAGATGATGACCAGTATGTGAGCAGTGGCTTGGTGCTTGATGAGAAACAGCTCTTGATCGAAAGACGCGGGGACAAGTATGGTGCGGTGAGCACGGCGGAAGAAGTGGTATGACCAAAAACACACGCGGCAAAGATTTTCTGGGTCTATGAAGAAATGAGCCTTTCCATCACGCACTATGTTGCTAAAGTTGGAGTCCGGGTGTATTTGGAATGTGTCAAGAGATTGAGGGTGGTTGAGATAAATATTGTGACATTTGTTAGACTGGTTGATTCTTTTCTCGTCTGGTCTCACTTCTTCTTCACCACCGGGAATCAGCACACCGTTGGTAACCATCTTTTACTGCTTCACCCTTCGCTCAGATGTCCACTTCAAAGAACTCCGCTGGCCACCCGTCACACTTGGAAGGGTCTTTCTCTGCTCTCCTGGAGGACCTTCGAAAGAGCTTCCGCCACCAGGGGACAGTGAGGTAAGCCCCTTGCGACCAGCTCGTTGAAATCGCCCTGCTGACGCACATCCTGCAGTATTCCAAAGGATGTTATTGCGCCCTTTAGGAAACCATTTCGACCCACCGACACCTCGCCTCTTCGTGATCTGGCAAAGCTGCTGGAAAATGGCCGACCCTACAAGAACATCGTTCGGCTTGATTCGCAATCTTTCTATTCGCTCGTGTCAATCGTCTTGCATTTCCCGTACTCTGTGGTGCAGAACAAATTGTTGTATATCTTCATGGTCAGTGGCCCCGTTTGTTCTCTCGAGTCAGGCTTACTCGACCAGGACACCGTTCGACAGTACAAGAATGAGGGCACACTTGCCCCTCTCTTATCTGTCATTCACGGTACCGACCTGACGCCCACCGAGGTCAAGGAGCAAGGCGATTACATCGGAAGGAAGCTCTGTGCTTGCGTACTGCGCCACCTTGTGAGTAGGGAGAAGGAGGCGCAACTGCGTTGGACGGTATGTACTGACCATCCTAGAGGTATCGCCCTACTAACGTTACACAGTTAGCACAGTTCCTCTCCGTCCTAGTTCACTTCAGCTCTGCGGCAAGAGATCACATTGTGGAAATGGCGGAATGGCAAGGATCGGCGATCCAGAATGTGTCTTGCGCTGACATCAACTAGCCCACTTCTGACAACCATCCTCGAGGTAGACCGAAGCCATTTCCTCCGTATACTGGTTGCCGATGTTATCCGCGAGCTGCTCTACAAAGGAGCCGAACGAGTCGTTTTTGGGCAATCTCCAGCGTTGCGCAAGATCGTTGACAATTTCCCATTGTCAGCAGTCGGGGACTCGAAGTGGCTGGGCGAGGTGATCGAATACGTCAGCCAGATCGATGTAGCGGGAGCCTTTGTTGAAGAGTACACTGTTTTTCATTCCTGGTGAGAATCGCGCTGATAATATCGCAGATCTGAGCGAGTTTTCTTTGTCCAACGCCTGGAGGCCGACGGCAATAAGTTCTTCGAGAGTCCCTCTCCATTTGCGGCAACGGTGACGAGTGGGATATCGTTCCTGGTGCCCAAAGCCGTGGACATAGGCATGATAACTTTAGTTTCCGTCCCGGTGACGAAGAACATGTTCATCAATTGCATCGTCTCGGAGTCGGAATCATCGACGATCCTGGAGATTCAATATCCAGGAGATGAAGGTGATCGATTCGTGAACGGAACCAGGAGCGCCATAAACAGCCTGACGATTACCTTCTGCGACGAAGAGGGCGTAGATAGCTTTACACGAACCGTCCAAGACCTACGCAATAACAGGACACCGGGAAGTGCGCACAAATCTCCTGGAACACCTAGGAAGCAGTCATTTGCTTTCATCAATATCAGCTCGGCTTCCGGAGACAACAGTCACAACAAGGGTCGTGCTTTGAATACTACGAGCACTTCCGAGATCGATGGGTCATCTCCTCTGCGCGATATTTCATTGCGTATTCGGCAGAAGAGCGACGCAGCAACTGACGGTCTTTTACAGAAGCAGGCAGCTACAGCTCTTTCCCACCTAGGCGCTGGAGATGGAGAAGATACACCTGCATTGAAGAAAGCCCCAGACTCACGTCAGTTGATCGAACGCTTACGTGCTTCCCAAGAGGAAGCGACAGACTTGCCTCCCAAAGCCGGGTCAGGTTCGAGACGGTCCAACTTGCCTCGCAGTCCACCTAAGGTCGACCCTGGGGAAGGAGCGGTGACAAAGAAGCAGCCGACCCACCATCCTCCAGCCGCCGATGGATCAGCTCGCGGTGCAGCTCCTGCCTCTTCGGAGTCAAAGTCGAAACGCAAGCGCCCTGCTGAACCAGCGAGCAGCTCACTTTCTAATCAAGCGAAGAAGAGATCCAAGGTCGCTGACGCCACAACGCAGGCAAGTGGCAAGACAGACACTCAGATATCTATCCACAAGCAGGAAACACTCAAAGCCACCATGGCTCGACTGACTGGGGCTGGGACAGACGACTCCAAGACCAGCACTGGCACGGCGCAGGCGGGTCTCAAGCGCAGAGCGAACAAAGAATCCGCCACCCTTAAGAGCGAACAGTCTCAGAAACCATCCAAACGTGCCTCCGACGCTGCCAGCTTTGACCTTCCACCTACCGATGACGAGGATGCCCGTCGTGTAAAGAAAGCAAAGACCGGAGCCAACAAGCGTTCGGCCAAAATTGCTGGCAGAGATCGTGAGGAGAAGAAGAAGGGTGCTGTTCAAGTGGTGGCTTCGCCCAAAAACCGCAAGAAGAAGCAGAAAAGCAAGCCGAAGGCCAAGGAGTTTGTAGATAAGAAGTCGCCACCGACTGCAGCCTCAACCCGAGCGAGAAGAGCTCCCAAGACACCCAAGTACATTGAGAACTCAGATGAAAGCGAAGATGAAGTTGCACTCGAAGAGCCTGGCATTGAGGAAGTTGTTGAGGATATACACAAGGACGACAACGCTGAGGAGACAGCCGAAGACTCACTTCCGGTCAGTAAGGAAATACTTTCAGCTGCCGCTGAAGCCTCGCAATTTGAGTTTATGACCCATGTTGAGTCGCGACTTCAAGAAATGGTCGACGGGGAGAGCACTGATGACGAAGCTGGTTCCAGGGACAAGCGTCCTCTGCAAACTTCAGCCAGTGAACAGCCCACGTTGGAAGACAAACCAGCGGTCCAACAGCCTGCAAAACTGCACAACCAAACTGCTTCAGAGAAGGCGCAACCTGTGACGAAGATCATAGCCACGCAGCCTTTCTCGGAGAACAACACCTCAAAGCCAATATCTACTATAGCGCAAGATACGCTCGCAAAGGACGACACGCCTGTGCGGAACTCCGCGGAAGGACGGATCGTCGTGGCAGAGAATCCTTCTTCTTCGACGCTCAGGGAAAAGCAGACCCCTGCAAGGGATAAGCTCACCAAACAGGTCTCTACCCGGCTAGAGGCTACTCCTCAACGCAATCCAAAGCGTCCAAGCGAAAATTCAATTCCACCAGCGAGCGAGAAGTTGCTGCGAAAGACTCCAATCGTGCACTTTGGGCCACAAGGTCCGGCCAACCAGGCTGTGCAAAGCAAGCCTCTTCAGAAAGTAGTTGCTTTCAGAAGCGCGGCGGACAAAAGCTATCGGTCGCCCGAAGCACCACGATCTGGTGGCGATGAAGATATGCAGGTTACTGATCAACGTGCCCAGAAACCGCGAAGTGAAACCCTAGATCCCATCAACCGACTCGATGATACTGAGCAAGATATCCATATCACACATATGGTACAAGACTACCAGCTTCCTCCACAAGACGAGCCTGCCGACGAGACTCAGGTGGAATATGTTGAAGATCCTGTTCAATATTCGACCTCAGAAGGCATGATCAGGTCACCCGAGATCGAAGAGACGCAGCCCCGATCCCCGCAAGACACGGATCTTCCTGGAAACGGAGTTGCCGAGGCAGGAGCGGACGTTGAAGATAGTCTCTCGAGTGTACAGAGTATTGACACAGACGACGCGTCTTTTGCCAACAAATCCTATGATCAAGAAATCTCGGAGTATGTTGCATCTGACGCTGAAGAGGAGGCCAGTAGAGAATCACCACCAGCTCCTGTATGTCAACCATTGTGCAAGCCCGATACCATCACACTTAGGGCAGAGACGCCGCTTCTTGATGACGATGAGCCCGGCCAATGCTATGAGAGAGTCAAGGAACCTGCAGTCTCCCGATCGTCAACTCGGCAGTCTATCGGGCTTACCACCATCTTGGACGAAGAGTACCCTACGGCTCAAAAAGTCATCAATCCGCAGAAGTTTAGACAAGCTCGTCAGTCAGCCACGGTAGACCATGCCAGACGAGCTCAGATCTCGTCCACCGGATCTTCCTCACTCACACCGATACCAAAGCGAGCAGTTATACTTGAGCCGACAAACTATGCAAACATTTGGAAAGAGGCCCAGAGGACCAGCATTGCGTCTGGCATTCTTTCCATGACTTCGATGCAAGCAATACCAGTGAACAAGAGCAGCGACCATCCTATCGCCCTTCGAGACGAGAAGGAACACACCCGACGCGCTCTTCGCCCCTCAAATGCGACCTCGAGAAGCGCACCGCGCGCTGGAGAAACATCGGCAGCAAAGCCACGTACGCTACCCGATTCTACTGCACGTCCGGGACAGGACTCTAGCAGGAAGACAGTCACCTCACCTCCATCCAAGACAGCTCGCTTAATGGCTCCACCTCCCTTACCGATTCTACCCATGAGAGTCACTAGTGAACCTGTTCCTGCTCGCAAATCGTGGCCTGAGTCACACGTCGAGAGAGCCGCGAGAGTCGTCGAAGCAGTAGTAAAAGAGCAAGTCAAACCTACAAATGCAGGGCCTGTCCGAGTGAAGAAGAGACGGACCCTGCCGCTTGGGCCTGAGGAGCAAAATCAGGAATTCGATGTGCCACCCGCCACGCCTGCATCATTCTCTACACGCCTCGAATTACACGCAGATTTGCCAACTCATCAAGCACACGACCGGGAGGACTGGAGATCGGAATATGGGGGTCAAAGGTTCGGCAACGGAAGCATGACGGTAGTAGACGAAGAAGAGTCTGGCCTGGAAGCGCGCTCAGGGATTTGGAGAAGGCCAGAACACAGGCATGGGCCAGATTCTTGCAATGGCATGTCCGAAGCTCCGTCTCCAACTCGCAACTCTCGCGGGACAGAACCCGCTAAGGACAGAGATGTTCTCGTACAGGGGAATGTAATTGCTCGAGGCTCTCAGCGAGCTCTTTTGTCCGCCATTGTCAACATCACCAACGTGGGTACGATGCCCCTCAACCGAATGTTTACTGACCTTTCCGCAGGATGTTTTATTCCGCTTCGGTGAAGAAGAAGACGCCATAAAGGCTAAAGTCGACCAGTACGGTCATGGAGGCAGAGCAATCGTTGAGACTCTGACGGACACCTGGAGGCAGCGACTCGAGCATGAGCAAAAGATACTCTTAGAAGGACTCAAAGCGGAGCAGGAATCCCTGTCAACAGCAGCTTGTCTTCTGACAGAAAAGCATAGTGGTGGAACATGGAGAGGGACCATTGCCGATGGCAGATTGCTTGGCAAGGTACAGAAGAAAGGTGCTCGGCTTGCGGAGCAGATTGAGACGATGATGGAGTAAGTCCGAGGATCGGTCTGAAACACGAAATCCACGATTTCGTGGCTCCTAGAATGCAACCAGGAGAGTATTTTAAGTTTGCGACTGAATGTAACCATAGAGCAGTGTCTGTTCTGGAAGTTGAGACGTAGAGCGAGTCAGATGTTGCTGGAGAAGATGGAGTAGCCTCGGGTGGCCACCACAAGGCCAATATCGGCTTCGCAAGGCTCCATTGCCGATGAGTGACCTTCTATCTCCTGAGGTGGTGTGAGGCTGCGACAAGAAGGAGTGACTTTGGGGAGTATGGAGCAGTGCAGTAGCCGTGTTGAGTACACATGACGTGGAGCTGCTGTGGACAACACTGCTGCTACTCGTGCGAGTACACAGTAACATGAAACATTTAGTCACTGGCCAATCTATAAATAATCCTGGCACCTTCCGTGGCAACCGAGTTGGAGATGGACGCATCCTCATGCCACTGCCAAGGGACTTTTTGAGCTCAGCTTCACACCACTGAACTACTGAGCCTATCGATCGTCCTTACCAAATTGACCCATTACGAGTTACCTCGCATGGCTAAGTCAACGGTCAGCGTCCAGGTACCGATAACCTCACACCTTTATGCCTCAGCCATCCTACGTCAAGTACCGCTCGCTCCATAGCCCGACGGGACAGTAGCATCCAGCTTGCCCAAGCTTTCTGAAAGCTTGACTTCGCCTCAAACCGCCCCTCGTCCCTCGTTTGTACCCATCTCTTCCGTCGTCGTTCAACTCTACCACTCAAACACTTCGCCGGCTGTGCCCACCGCTGGAGAATGAGCTTACCACAAGTACGAATTTGCTCAAGGTCACGCGCTTCGCTTGATGCGAGGCAGTGATGATCGTCGTTGCAACCGGTTGCTCTCTGCCCGCGATATGCAAGGCTCTATCCTCCCGGCACCTCAGCCGGGCATCATATGCTAGTGATGGTTCATGTACAGAGTAACTCTTACCACTCGTGAGTGACTTGTACCTGAGGCTCGCAGGACCCACGTGGGTACCATGGTACTGCAGATCCAGGCAAAGTACAGTTCAGTACACTGACCGCATACCTTGCACGGTGTGCATATAATGTCTTGACGACGGCTCATCTCTGAGTGCTCACTCACTCACCCACTTGCCTTGTGTTGATATCTCTCGTTTCTCACTTAGCAAGCTCACCAATCTTGCACACTGACTGACGTTGGAACTTGAGCCTGCCCTCCTAAGGACCTATCTCCCACTGCTTAACGCAAGTCACAACAAATCCGAGTCAAGCCGCCTCACGGAGTATATATCCTGCTATCTCACACAGCGCTGACAATGGTCGCCTCCTCGCTCTTCGCGGCCGTTGTCTCCCTCTTCGCCCTCGGTGCCAGCGCAGCCCCAAAGGCCCTCCAACCCCGTCAAAGTGGCGCAGACCTCATCGGCCTGTACATCGACACCACCGCCTTCGACACAACCTACCTGCAGACCTCGCACGTCTCCTACGCCAACACCTCCGCCTACATAGGCCAGATCAAGTACCAATCGTACGCGGAGCCCTTGGTCGTCAGCGCCTTCACCGCCACCGACTCCTCATCAAACGGCGTCTCCTTCCTCTCCATCCACCAGAGCCCGACGGGATTTCAGAACATGTACATCATCCCCGAAGAGACTCAGCCCGTAGGTTTCAGCGTGCCCCACGGCAGCGCGCCCCAGGGCGTCAGCACAACGCGGTTCTCTTTCGGTGCTGACGGCGCGTTACTCCATGAGGGTGTCAACAACTTTTATGCCTGTCAGAATGCGGAACAGGCGGCGATGAATAGCTTTCAGATTTGGTGGTTCGGGGCGGGGCAGCCGAATGGGGTGGGGTGTAAGGGGCCGGTTAGGATCGTTGCGGGCGATGCGTGCGCGAGGACTTGAGCGGGTGCATGGTGTGTATCTAGGCGAGGGCAGGGCGAGTGTTGAGCGAAGCATGAAGCACGAAGCGGGGGTAGTGATTTGAATATCAAGTGTCAGGCATTGGACATTGGACATTGAGCATCAGCATCAGGCATTGGATATTGGACATCAGGGAGCACGAAGCATGGAGCATTGATGAAGTACCTTCTGCACAACCTGAACTCCTTGATGTGTACTGCATAACAACGTCTGTGTACTAGATCCTGTGTACAGCATACTCTGGGGTCGTGTGGTGCCCGAGAGTATTCCGGCAGCAGGAGTCCCAAATTGCAGCATACATATCTGAGTGATCAGTTCTTACCCGAAGACTCCGTGGCAGAGAAATTGCTGTGATGCGTGCTTCGATCTTTAGCCTGATAGACACAGACGCGCCCAATAGGTACAAGTGACATCGCAGGAAGAACATGTTTCGGTTTGAACATGTGTATGTGGATAGATTGACCGACCGAGCACTGCAAGGCTTGGCACTTGCAGAAGCACTCGTGCGTAATTAAGTCATGAGCACATTGTTTTCGAATCTATCATGACCTCGTCGCAGCGGCCCAGGCCAGTCCGTGCATTCCATGTTGGTATTATGAACTACCTATGTACCACTGTGGTCCAGGGCTGTCCGCACATCCCGTCCCATGTATCGGAGGGGGCCCTTCGTTCTCGGATCTAGGCCAGCCCGCACATCCCTTCGGAGAGAGCCCTCGGTCTCGAACCTAAAAATGGTTCCCCGTGGCCGCCTGTGCCAGCAACTTCTCGGGTATATCCACTTTCTGCTCGGTACAATTGCCCTCCCTGTCCACCAACACGGCATGGTTCTTCTCAATGACATTCCACTCTTCAATTTTGTAAGTGGTCGGCTCGCTTGCCACAATCACGTGTTTGCCATGCTCCGCCGCGCTCTTACTCGGGTTTGGGTTATCGACCCCGGCGTCGGGATGGTCCGGGTATTTCCTGTTCAGCGTCACGCCTGCGCTGGTGCTGTAGTACAATGACGGAGGGTTCTCGATCGCGTGGTTGCGCAGGCGCACGGAAATAAGTTGTTGTCCGTCCGTGCAGCATACATTCAGGGAACAGGCTTGCACGTTTTGCGGGCCCAAGGTGGACTGCTGGAGCGCGATGATCTGGTGGAAGGACGTGATGAGTGCGTCCAGCATCTCAGCGGGGCTATATTGTCGTTCCCAGCTCGCGGGGCCGCCGCCGCCGCCGACGTCCTTGGTCAGATTCGTCATGTACAGTGCCGCCAGGTGTTCCGAGTCCGTCGTGCCGTGGATGTTCTCGTACGCCGACTTTTCGATCAGATCGAGCATGGGCCGGCGGATGTCGGCGAAGTGGCTGATCAGCCCGTTGTGCATGATCGTGTGCCGCCCGAATGTGAATGGGTGGTTGTTTATGGCCGCGACGCCGGTCCCCGTTGCGGCTCTGATGTGCGCAAAGAGGCCCTTCGTCGCGGTGCCGGCGCAGATGCTGTGGAAGTTTGCGTCGTTGTTCGGCGGCTGAGCGTTCTTGTAGACGACTGGGCGGCTGCCTTCGATGTCGGTGATGAAGCCTGAGCGGGATGGCGTGTACCAGACCATGCCGAAGCCGTCGACATTGAACAGGCGGTTTCGCAACGTGATTTCTTGCTTGGTCGTCTGTTCCCCGGGTACATGAGAGAAGAGCTTCGGAAGGTAGTGATCGTGAACTTGCTTGGACAGGGAGTGTTGCGGAGTGATGAGTACGTCTTCGAGGAGACAGGGCTCGGTAGGCGAAACGTAGGCGAACCAGCGGCACATTTTGGGCGCGTTTCCAGCTGTGGTGAATAAGTGAGTAGTCAGTGCGAACAGAGGTGACGGGGACTGGGCTTTTGTTAGGTAGGAGTATCACGGCACGGTAGATGGCTAGGCTGTTCGGAGTGAAAAGCTGAAGTGTTAGTGATGAAAAGGTGAGGACGAAGTGACCGGAACAGCTGGGATGTCATGAGCTCCGCACATTTTTCGAGAACAAGTCATGATGCTCGCCCACCTTGAGCTTCCCTTTCAGGGCGGCCTGTGGCACCACATGCGGTTCTGAAGCTGGTAACAGGTCGAACTGGGAATAAAGACGGGATGCAGGAACATCATCAAATCGACATCCGGGTCCAACGTAATCGTTGACAAGCCTTTGAGGCCTTCGAATGATCGACGTCATCAGGCTAAGCTTTGACCAAGCCCATGTACCAAACCACGTTGCCAGCTTAATTTAATTTTTGGAATTTTCCCCTCAAATTTTCTTAGGCCTTGCACAAGCGGTTCGAGTCCTCACAGGATGGTCCTCGCAATAAGTGTTGCGCTTGACGACGTTCCCAAGTGTTTCCCATCCGACATTCCTGGGGGAAACATCCTCTTGTTTGACTACTAAACCAATCTGTCTCACCACGAGGATGAAAGACTGATGAGCCCCCTTCGCATCAGCAATGCGAGGCCGATCACGATCCCATGTCTTGACCATCGTCACAGATATCACAGGCCGTCATTTGAACTCGGCGGCACGCCTTCGCTACAACCTCAACTGTGAAGAAATGCTTACCTGCGTAAAGAGGTCTGCATAGTATCTGCATAGTATCCGCTCTTGGTACGACGATATTGCACGGTGGAAGAGCCTAGAACGACTCTTCGCGGACGATAATATGCAGCATTTGCCAAGAACAGCTAACGTCGATGATAGAACAATCTCGTCCCTCACGACGTCGACGGATAGCTTACCTTTCCCCACGGACGATGGAATTTGCCCGAGTGACGATATCGTATACTTTCACAATGCCTCTGTTCAAGATGTTGGGCGCATCCCCGCTGTGTGGTGTACAAACGAAGGTACGCTAAAGCAACTCATGCGATCCGAGTCGTCCTGTCGAGGGCGTTGTTTGAGACAATGCACCTCACAGATCCTCATCGCACTATTCTCACAGCTGATAGCATGGTTTCCGCGTCTCGTTTAATCATGCAATCTCGGGCGAGGGAGTCTACGCCTACTCTTTTCGTACGAACCTTGATTCAACAGACTGAATTGAGGCCTTCAACATCTGTTTTGACAAGTCCATCCTTCTCCGAGGAGGCCGCAGTGATCTAGCGTTCCCCATTCATCTGTCAGCAGTCCCGGTCGGGCGAATTTGGCTTACTGAATGCCAAGGTACTGTGCAATGCTGCCTCTGGTGTATACCCCATGCCCTAGCGGATCAATCAAACCTGCCATGATGATGGACTCCCACGAACTTGACCCGATACCGAGCAGTCGCTACTGCGTGCCAAAAGAATGATTCCATAATCCACGGCCGCTTGGTGGAGAAACGCCAAGGAAATCGTGCACTGGCTATGCGTTAGTCAGCGTAGCCAAGGGACATGCAGCCTTGAGACAGAAAGCACGATGTGGCCGTAACATTTTCAAGATATATGCAGTCCGCCCTTCGGATGTCGGTTATGACGGAATGGCTGCGAGGCACAGCATAAAAGCGTTCGATGGTCCCGCTGAGATGAGCTCGCTCAGAAGTACGGAGTAAGTGCTGGGTCTACGGAAAACTCCCGATCGTTCTCCAGTATACAGCGCTTCAGCCGCTGTCTCCAACAAGATGCACCAAGGAGAGACTCATTTCAAGCTCTACTCCTCCCCTGCTTCACAATGGGCAGGTGTACCTCTGCTCGGCCTCGTGGAGAAGGGCTACAATGAAAAAGAGTATGAAGTTGAAAATATTGATCTGAGTAGGTACCAGTCCATTCCCTGAGGGAGCGTGTGTTCCGCCCAGTGCTGACACGTGTTCTCCCTGCGCAGTGGGTGCCGGAAATTTCCATCCCGACTATGTCCAGATCAATCGAAACGGGACTATCCCCTCCTTGACGAGCGCTTCGCTTGAACAGCCTCTCATCGAAAGTGCGGACATCCTTGTTTATCTCAACGACTCTCGACCATCCGGCTTGGACCTGGCAGCCAAGGATGATGCCACGGCTCGTGCGGTCAAGCAGCTCGTCGACCTCGTCCACAGTCCTGAAGTTAGCACCAATATCATTCTCCTGATGGCCCGCGACGCCGAGGAGATGCAGGCCAAGCAGAACGGTCCGTTCAACGACTTCCTCCGCAAACGCCAGGATACGCTGGAGAAGTACCACAAAGAAATCCCCGACAGCGACTTCTACTCTGCGCGTCGCCACATGAATGGTGCGATTTATCACCATTACGTCTCCTCCGATGGCCACTCGGAGTTCTTCCAGCAGAGCCAGGACGCTTACCGCGGTTTCGCAGCCGGTATGGACAAGCTGGAGTCTCTCATTGTTCTGCCCTATGCGGCGGGGTCCAAGTTGACGTTTGCGGATCTCCACATTGTGCCATGGCTGGCTCATGCTATGTTCGGTGCGGGCGCTAAAGAGTTGGACGACTTTGGCAGCTTGGAGGATCTGATCCGGAAGACGGTGCCTGATTTCAAGGTCGGTCCTAAGACGAGGGAGTGGTGGGGTCATATGATGAAGCGGGAGTCGTTCAAGAAGGTATATCCCTTCCTGCATTGAATGGAGGCCTGGAGAATGGGTAGACGTACAGGATCGAGAATGCGAAGGCTAAATTGCTCCAAATACTAGTAGTTATCAACCTTGCAGCCAAACCGCAATATCAGTGTCCTAGGATTTTTGCTTCTCTTCCTCTTTATTCGACCACAAATATCTACTGTAAGAAGGCATTTATCCTGGTACACTGCATCTTCCAGATTGCTAACCGAGGGCATCTGCCATCTTACTCTACACCGCCAAAGCTATTCTTTTCAAGCCCATGGCAGCCTCTGTACAATCTCGCCCATACCAAACACATCAATCGACGCTCCGTCCAACCTGGTGGCCTTCGAGTCCTTTAGTCTTCCTCAGAGCAACCAAAAGGTCCTTGGTCCCCTTTACCCCCAAACCACGGCCACCCCCTAGCACTAAGGCGGGCTCAGATCGTGCAATCGCTGGAGGGATAGCGATCTGGCCAATCACCGTGCAGTGAATCGGCCCATTTCTCGAGAGCTTGAGTCTCGAGTCACTCAAGTCAAGCTTCTATCAGCATACCCCACAGTAGGACCCCTTCTCCACCTTCCTGAGCCCATCCTTCGGCGTTGACGACTCCTTGGCCTATCCGCACTTCCTCGGCTACTTGGAACCCGAAGTGAGCGTACACGTCTCTAGCGTGTGGATTGGTGGCTTCCAGCCAGACCGGGACGTTTTGATCGCGGGCCTTCTGCACGAATGGTTCGATCAAGCCGCGGACGGCACCTGCGAGAGGGCGCAACAGAGTCAGCCACACTTTCGACTTCCTAGTGGGGAAAAGTACACGAGCTCGTCGGGGTGGTCGAACAAAGCAGCAAGCAAGAATTACGCACCTTTTTCGTGCCTCGAGGGTGATCTGCCAATGAGATTGAGATACCAATAAGGACGGTCGCCCATGTACTTTTTCTTCATCGCGTCGAACTTCGCGCGGTACTCGGCCGCTCCTTCGGAGACAGCGCCGCTAGGGACAGGCTTCTTGGTGCCTGGGGGGAGCCTGTCGTCTTTCAGTGGGATGGTCGAACAAAAGTTAAAGCCTCGACCCTCGCCCCTTGGGCAGGAGGAGCCTGGGTTGGGGAACACCCAAGCCTTTCTTTCTTTCTTTCTTTCTTAGCCTTACCACAGTGCCACTGCTGCAAAGTCGTACGTTTGCACCAAGATACCTCCATTTTTGTACCGGTCCGTGATGATTGGTATCCAGAACTGGACTCGCAGGTCGTGTTGCGATAGTTTGGGATGGTCGGGCCGTGACTCATGGCCTAGGAAGAGGTATCGATTGAGCCCATCGTTGGAAAACGCCGCGCCGATGACCTGCGCGAATCTGGGCACGTCTTCGTCCCGTGATATGGTGGTGAGGGTCTGTTCGTTGTCAAGTGCCATGGTCGATCTGTAGCGAAGAGAGCACTGTGGTCTCGATCCGATCCTTTTGGTTGTCTCCTACCTTGATGCAAAATATACGAGTCGAAGCCGTATGTGTGTGACACAGACCCACATGCATGGGGACCAAGGACGAATAGGTACCTGCCTTTTCAAGAACCTCGTAGTCATATCGGGGAGTCAGTCGGAGAAGCCCACTAGTTCATGCTGAAGGGCGGGACGTGAGCGGCGCGTCACTGTGCTTGCGAGATCTAGGCGGCCGCCTTTGACGACCCGGGCTCTGAAATGGGCTGTCGCGTTAAATGGGAAGTCCGACGAAAACCTGAATAACACATAGCCCTTTAGATACTGTAAAGATATATACCCCACCGATGGACGGTTGCAGGAGATCACGAAGCATGGCCGTTGGCGTCCGCACCATATTGCTCCCATTTTGAAAGGATGGGATTGGCAATACTGTTCTTGACGGTATCATTCCCGTTGGCGCCGAGATGGTCGCTGGGATGGCGTGGAAGCATCGTGGCATGGAAGCGAGGAAGGTTTTGATTGCGCCTGTGTAGAAGTGGTTCACCCAACAACGCGCGTTTGCCGCAGCCATGCTCTACCGCGTGTGAATATAGGCAAGAGTTTGCAAGGATCGAATTGTATCGCCTGTATCAACTATTATTAGCTTTCCTTTGCTTGCACTCGATCTCTCGTCTTGTCTCTCTGGAGGTCCCAATGCTGCGATCATGAGTCTCTCCCCAGACAGGCCAGGGCAAGCCGAGTCGCAGGCTCGCTTGGCGTTGTCGCTCAGCAAAGTCGCGAGGATCGTGTGATGATGAGTCGCACGCGACGCAGGTGTTGATCGCGGGCCTCTGAGCTAAGAGATGGATTTGTGGATAATGAGATGGCAGTTAGAGGACAGCATGAAAGTTGCCTCTTGGGACTACCTTCTTTCGCAGGCGACACCCCAACACAGTATCGGTGGTGCTGGGAAAAGCATGGACAACCAGGTAGCTACGCCAGAGAAATGCTAGCCTCAGACGAGCGTGGAACGTACCGAGGGGTGGAGCGAAGAAAAGCCTGGCGACCATCGATGAGATGATCAGCTTTCCGCGGTACAAGGTAGGTGTGTGGAGCTGTGTTTCTTTCATCGTGGTGCTCGACCTACTCGCAGCGGCTCATGCTGAACACGATGGCATGCCAGAGCAGCCGTGCGGGCTCCTGTGAGCCTTGCCTTTCGGCGCTATGCTATACTGTGAATGTGGCTCGCTGCGGGTATGCTTGTTTTCGGGTGGCACATCATTTGGTTGCCTGTCTTGGACCAGTCTGGAAGTGGCCATTTGATCCTCCCCCACTTGAGACTGGGAGAAATGCGCCTTCGCTTTTCTGGGCGATCGTCTCATGAGACGTCTTCTCGTGGTTGCGCTTCTCGAAGTCAACCTGTGTTCTCAGGCGGACTACTACTCCGATACGTCCAAATTGCAGTTCCTCGAGATTTGTTGACCTCAGGCTCTCTAGGGGGGGTGTTGCCAACCATTGGACTCCTGTCTCCTGTTTCGTGCTGCAAGAACAAGTAGTCTGTTGGGGGGTGGGAATAGGGACCCCGGGTAAAGCTCTAGATCTGGTGCTAGCTGATCTCGTGATTATTGACATTCCCGGAGAATGGATCTGTTGCTTGCCACATCGTGCCGGCCACCTACCGGTCGTACTCCGTATATTTCGCTTCTTGCAGGGTCCGCCCAGGCGTTGAGACGGCACGCCAAAAGCCCTGCAAGAGTCGATTTCGGATCCGGACTCACTCGAGAACTTGGCGCCAACCTAGGTGATGCAATCCTGGACCCCAGACAGTACATAATCGTTGCCACCCACGTGCGGTGGACAACCAAGTTAGTCGTGTTCGGACCTTATGAATGGCGAAACTCCTGTAAGATCATTCATGTTCGAAGCACCATCTTGGAGATTTACGAATGGCGATGGGAAGGGTCACCGCCCTTCTTGGGGCTGGCACTCAAGGCCGGCGCCTGGCCTACATGGTAAGGTCCACCTGCATCGTTCGGCATCTATCCTGCCTCCGAGCTGACGGTCTATGTTGGCGACAGTGGTCAAGCCAGGGTAGAGCTGTTCATCTCATTGATGCACAGGAGAAACAACTTTCCGACAGTCTAAAGTATATCGACGGCCTGAGAGATGCTTCACAGAGAACCGACGCACGATGGGGAGATATCAAGACCTTTACCCCCGATTCACTGCGGGCAGCACTCCAAGACACGTGGTTGATTGTCGAGGTACGAGCAAATCGGTCACTCAGTCGAGTTTGCCGGTATAGCTGATCCACATGTCGTGGCAGTGCGTCCCAGAGAAACTAGAGCTGAAGCGGCAGGTCCTCGCTCAGCTTGACGAGCTTGCACCGAAGGATGCTATCATTGCGTCGAACTCGAGCAGTCACAGCATTACAGAAATCATCGAGGGCTTGAGTCTGTCAAACGCCCGTAGAGTTCTCAGCGCTCATACATACTGGCCACCGGAGACTTCAGCCATTGAGCTTATGGGGCATGCGAATACCGATCCTGGCATTATTCCGCTCCTCATGGAGCAATGCCGGGAGCACGGGTTCAGCCCTTTCCATGTGAAGAGGGATTCTATGGGCTACATCTACAACAGGATCTGGGCAGCAATCAAGCGAGAAGCATTGCTCACGGCAGCAGAAGGCGTCGCGACCCCATCCGAGATAGACGCCATATTTAAGGACGTCCTAAAGACACCCAAAGGTCCCTTCGAGCAAATGGACGTGGTCGGTCTGGATGTCGTACTCAACATTGAGGAGCATTATGCAGAAAAGCGTCCAGACATCCCTGAAGAGCCGCGGAAGTATCTGCACCGATTTGTGCGAGACGGTCAACTCGGCGTTAAGAGCGGACAAGGGTTTTATAGCTATTCGAAACCATGACAGAGTCAGCGTAGCTCAGCTTGCGTGTTCAGATTGGCAGGGCTGTTGTTAATTAGGCCTGCCTCGGTCTTTCCCGAGAGGCCCTCAGCGAGCCTAAGTGAAGCCTAAACATCCCCGCGCTGCTTTCCCCACCTACTGTACTCCGTATCCCTCCCTCTTTCCAAAGGCGCCTGCATGTAAGAGGCAACTATAGCGATTTCTGGTCTAGATGCCGTTAAGCCGCAAACTCTTTGTATGCTTGTCACTTTCCGCCTCTCTCCCCCTCTCAATCATGCATTTGTACACCTGCCTTTCATCCGGTGGTTGGCGAGGTCTCAAATGGCATGTCGGAAAGCGATCTAATTCCCCGCCGAATCCAATTCTCGAGTTGTGATGAATGTCGCCGAGCGAGAGTCGCGTGCGACGCTGGCAGGGCGCGCCGGAACCGAGTGGATCACAATGAGCTGGTATCCTGTACCAGGTGTCTCAATCGGCATTTGCCATGCACATTCGAGGTGGGGACGCAGCCTTGACAGATACCAACGTAAAGACGGTTCTGACTGGGGTCTGAATCTTGACAGTGGATGAAGCCGGACACAGGGAGCTCGTCCGCGCATCGGCAAAGTGTCGATAGAAAATCTCGCAGGCGTCGGCTTCGGACGCCAACGCAGCAGTCGCCTGGCAATGGAGACAGTCACTTCAGTGCTAACGTTAACGGCGAGTCGTCTCCTACTCTGACTCGACAAAGCTCGCATACCATTATCCCTGATCGTTCGAGAAGGTACGATAAGCCATGACTTTAAGAGCTTCGTCTGACCACGCGAAAACAAGCTCTGAATGGAGCTTTTCTTCGCACCATTTATCGCAGGATCTTTTTACACGACCCTTGACCAGAGAGGAGACGGACCTCGTCCAGTACCAATGGCTGCATGCAATATACGAGGCGGCTTTCGAAACGGTGTTCGGTTCGTGGATGGGCCGACACAGTAATCCTTTTGCGTAGGTCTAGCGTTGATGAAGCTTTGGATGTCAACATGTCTGATAATAGCAGTTTTGGAGAACAGAGCTTGGCAGAGGTGATCAGCATATGTCGGACTTGCACCCAACTCGACAGACATATTGACGAAGAGGAAGCTAGCTCAGGGACGGTGCCCGGTGCCGAAGCTCCTCAAGATCCTGCCAGGAACGACAGGGATACGCAGCTCGACCAATACCTTGACCATGCCATCCAGTCTTTCGCCGCTCGATGGCTCCCGTTGATCTATCAGAGCTCAGTGCCGGGGCTCCCTCTGGCCGACATCGTCTGTCGTCTATGGCGGCGTGCGCATACCGACATGCTAAAGGTCATCAACAGGCCGTCTTATCGCTCAATGCTTGCTTTACTACTGTTTGCTCTGACACCAATACCAGTAGGTGTATGTGAAGAGGAAGAGCTTGAAGGGGTGTCTGGACAGGTCTGTGTCCACGCTGCCCTTCAGCAGATCCAGACACTCCGCGCCCGGCAAAAGAGCCTTCAGTTCAACGGGACACGAGTCAATCTAACGAACTCGAACCGCCCCGTTGGTGCCAGTCCTGCTTCACTAGCGACCGCCAATTTCATCATTGCAGAAAGCACTGCTTACTGGGCTGCACTCACCTTCGACACCTCTGCTTCTCTGACTTTGAATTGCAGGCCACTGCTTTCCTCTGGCCTCTTCGGCTTTGAGTCTGAACCATCATGGCGTATGGTCCGGGCTTGCATCGGAATCTTTCACGAATCGGCACGAGACTGGAACCACGTCGACGTCGAAATAACAGATGAAAGAGCCAACCAGGTCATTGCCGCTGGGGCGGCCTGGAAATTGTTGGTCTGGAAACTGACGGCGAATCTGAAAGAATCCCTGCGAGACGGCCACGACGAGTCAGAGGTGCTGAGGGCGTTCAACTCGGTGTCCAATGCCGTCGATCAATTCAACATCACGTACCGAGATCTGCTCATCGCATGCCAGAGACGAATACAATTCCTCAACCAAGAGACGCGACTTCGCTGGTGTAAGTCTTCCCGCTGTTGTCACTTTGTGTTTCTTGTGCTAAAGCTGTCGGAGATGATCTCATGCTCCACTATAACCTCGCGATCCTGATGGTCACCGACATCGCTACAGCAACTCTGCGAGAAGACCTCTTATCCCTCTTCTCGGCCAAGCGAGTCGACGCCGAAACATGGGTCATGAATTGCCTCGCCTTCGGCCTGAACAACAAATACACTTTGAAGCTCCAACGACATCCAGACGCCACCGAACCCCCGACTCAGGCACAGCACGCAACAAGCATCACCGTGCCTCTCGTCGCGATTGATCCCTATCCCCACCACGTCGTCGCGGCCGTGAAGCTCATGCAGCACGCTATCGACAGGGACTTCGCGGCCGAGAAGATCAGCGCAGATGCGTACACCAACCTACATTCCACGTTGCGGCAAACCTTGAGCCACCTCCCTCAAGTCTCCAAGTCCGTGCAGACAACGCTCGCTGAGTTTGAAGCGGCCGAACACCCGCGACAGCCGCTATATCCGTAATATTGAAGAGCGTTGGTGACTCTCTCCACAATCGGCTCAGCCGTGTTCTCCGCTTAGACGATCGATCACACAACGTTTCAATATCCAGAGAATGCCATCCCGTGGGACTTTGTCTCTCACGCCGTGGTAAGTCAAGCTAAAACTCACGGCGCAATACATAATATTCATTTTGCCCCCTCTCGGGCGAGGTGGTCGGACGGACGCTATAGCGAGTGCAGACAGGCTACAGTGTCACATACAAGTACTCCGTAGGGCACGGACTCGCCTTGTATATCACAAGGATAGAGCCACTTGCTCGACACTCGATGCAATGCGGTTCCGCCAATTGGAGGCGACTCTTTGTGGGCAGACTTCATTCATGTCATCAGTACCGATACTCCCGAGTACAGTCACGAGCGGAAGCAAAAAGGCTTGAATATGGCTGCTGCACACACACACACAAAGAGCCAGATGGTCTTTCAGGAATTGTATAGCAACCAACAGCCATATACCTAGAAGGACCCTGTCGTGGAATCCTCTAGGCCAAGCTCCGACAACGCGAAGCATTCGAAGCACTGGCGAGTACGAATAGCCTGACAATAAGCGACTTGGCGAGTATGCGTCATGTTGCATCCGGATCCGAAACCACATCGTATTTGCCGGTCGCGCATCCCATCGCACCCATCTTGTTGAGAAGACGATGCAAGGAGAACTCGTGGCCAATTAGAGCGCACCAGAAGCGAACGTCCTGGATCCGGGCTCTGAGGGCTCCATTCTCCGCCACTGAGCACCTCGTGCATCCCCAACCCCTGTGCCACAGGCCCCAACGGGGGTAGCCGTGAGGGGCCCACCTCCGCAGCCACGCGGAGAAAACGCGGAGACCAGCAGGGTTGTTCGCTTCCGGAGATCTAGGCACATGTCAGAGGCTGAAATCCATGATCTCAACCCTTTCAATTACCGGAAACATGAGCCTGCCTATATAGCGCGTGCTGGTTCCCTCGATCGTCACTTACTCTACCTGTGCGCGCTCTTCCAAGCATTGTCCCGTCATTCCTTGGAGCAGCAAAACGACTTCGCGGACACCGCACCGTCTCCAACCATGGCCGAAGAACGAGGGACGAGAACGTCTCTTGGCGAAAAGGATGTCGTGTATGATCATGCTGTGTGTAACTGATCCTCTGTCGCCGACCCCGACTCCGCCAGGCTTGCTGTCCGCTGCTGACACATTCCTCCGTTGTTATAGAAATCCAAGCATCATGATCCAAATTGGACGGGAGAAGGAGTTGACACCTCGATGGTTGATGGCAACAAGGTGCTGCGGAAGATGGATTTGCGGCTGATCCCTATGCTTGCCATCCTGTATCTGCTCTCCTTCCTCGACAGAGGAAATATTGGAAGTGAGTTTCCGTTGCTCGAATGAATACGGATGCGCTGCTTTCAAGCTCTGATGGTCCTCGACCTTTGAATTGACACAAACTAACAGAATACCACAGATGCGAAGATCCAAGGCATGCAGACCGATTTGGACCTTTCAGGCTCGGAGTATAATCTTTGCGCCACTGTCTTTGTAAGTCTCCATCCTGGGCACCACCCTTGTTGCAAACTAATCCTTATTGCGGTATAGTTCTTCACATACTGCGCTTTCGAGATCCCCTCGAATCTGCTCCTCAAACGCTTCAGACCCTCCGTCTGGCTCCCAGCTATCATGGTCGCATGGGGCACGGTCATGACATTGATGGGCCTGGTTCAAAACTACCATGGCCTTCTCATTGCTCGCATCTTCCTTGGTGTAACCGAGGCCGGCCTGTACCCCGGTGTTGCCTACTACCTGACAATGTGTAAGTGGTTTTCCACTTCTCGACACACTCCAACACTAACACCCTGTCTTCCAACTAGGGTATTGCACCGAAGAACTCGCGTTCCGCCAGAGTCTCTTCTTCAGCGCGGCAAGCGTAGCAGGCGCTTTCTCCGGTCTTCTCGCCTACGCCATTGCGAAAATGGACGGAGTCGCCGGACAAGAGGGCTGGCGCTGGATCTTCATCCTCGAGGGTCTTTTGACCGTCGCCGTCGCCTTTGCCGCGTTCTTCCTCCTCTACGATTTCCCCGACACTGCCTCCTTCTTGAGCCCGGAGGAGAAGGCCTGGGTCGTGCACCGACTCAAGTACCAGGGTAGCAAGAAGAGCGGGAGGATCGTTGCCGAGAGCGACCATTTTGAATGGAAATTCGTCCGCAAAGGTAAGTTAGCTACTACATTTTTTAGCAGCTCCTCCTCCTAGTCCTCTTACTCTGCCTTCTCTTTCCCTCTCTTACCTTCTTTCTCTTACTCCTTCACCTATCTCCATTTTTCCATCCACCAGCACTAACCCTGACCCTCATAGCCCTCACGGATTGGCAACTTTACCTCTCACTCTTAATGTACTGGGGTATCGTATGCCCTTTGTACGGCATATCGTTGTTCCTTCCGACCATCATCAAAGAACTGGGCTACACGTCGACCACGGCCCAATTACTAACCATCCCAATCTACATCACGGCCGCCATCCTCGCCGTAATCGTAGGCTACCTCTCGGACCGGGCCACCAAGCGGGGCGCCTCGCGCTGGCCGTATATTTTCGTCCCCATGTGCGCCATCCTCGTGGGCTTCATCGTCGCCATATCGGGCTCCGCGGCGGGAGACATCCCGGGAGTGGTGTATGCCGGCGTCTTCATCGCCACCTGCGGCATTTACCCTGCCTTCCCAGGGAACGTCACTTGGATCGCGAACAATCTGGCGGGAAGCTACAAGCGCTCCGCGGGCATGGCGCTGCAGATCGGATTAGGTGAGTTTACGTCACTTGGACACGAGTGGATGCGTCCCTTTCCCCAAGCTATGGGGGATGAGAGTTTTGGACTAACGCGATATACACAGGAAACCTGGGCGGCGCAATGGCGAGCAACTTCTACCGCAGCGTGGATGCGCCCAAATACCTGCTCGGGCATGGGCTGGAGATTATGTTTGTGGTGCTGGGCCTCGGGGCTGTGATCACGCTGCGTATCTCTTACGGCACTATCAACAAGAAGAGGGAACAGAGCGGGGCCGCCGAGTCGTACTCGGACGAGCAGCTCGCTGATATGGGCGACAAGAGTCCCAGTTTCAGGTACACGCTGTAGAAATGTAAGTCGAAGCGTGCTGGGCAGGCTGGCGGGCGCCACCATGCTGCAAACGGGCAAAGAGCCCGAACAATTTGAACGATTTCGATTTTCCAATCAACCAATTGATGAATCATTACAAGTGCTGTACTGTAAACCGTTTCGCCATGGCCAGAATCATATCCGTATGCGTATAGATTCGTGTCTGTATCCATTTTCGCATTTGGAATCGGTGTCGCTGTCCATGTCGATGGGCGGTGTTGCATCCGTATGATGACAGTCATCGCTCTCTCCGTGCAACCCGATACCTTTCTCTCTGCCCCTACGTTCATCCATCTTCACACAGGGAAAAGAAAGCCCCTTCACACATACGTCCGGGGGCAGCGCGAGCATCGCAGGCCTTCAACCGAGTCTCACGCCTTCTCCTTCTCCGTCGCAATGACGCTCAAATTCTGCGCCACCGGCGCCGCCAGCCACAGCTCATGCATATCCATGCTCTCATCGCTTACCTCGCCCGCAAACTTGAGATCAAAGCGATGGAACAGCGCCGCAAGAATGACCCTCAACTCCATGTACGCCAGGTGAATGCCAATGCACTTCCTCGGCCCGTCCGCGCCGAAGGGGATATACAGGTGCCGCATCTCGGCCGTCTCGTTGAGCCAGCGCTCGGGCCAGAACCGGTCCGGGTCCGGGAAGACATCCGGGTCGCGGTGCGTGGTGTACGCCTGGACCGAGACGATGGTGCGGCCCGGTAACGCGTAATCGCCCATGACGGCGCCCTCGGGGGGGACGTAGCGCGGCGTCGACCCGGGGACGGACGTGTCGATGCGCAGCCCTTCCTTGATGATACAGTTCAGGTAGGTCAGGTTATCCAGTTTGGCATGCGCGGGAATAGCTTTGCGGTCGGTGGTGCCCAACGCTGCGTCGAGCTCGTCGTTCAGTTTGCGGTGGATTTCGGGGCTTTTGAGGATGCGCCACACAATCCACGTCAGGGAGGAGGAGGTCGTGTGGGAGCCGGCCAGGATGAAGCTGGTCGATTGCACGTTGAGGTCCTCATCCTGGAGGGGGCGGCCGGTGTCGTCTCGCGCGTCGATCATCTTCTGCAGGAGGTCCTTGTCGCGCCCCTTGTTCTCCTTCAGCTTGTATTCGCGCACCATCTTGGTGCCGCGCTGGTAGCCGCGCACACTGCAGGCTTCGGCGTCGCGGATGAACTTGAACGGCGCAAGGCTGGCGTATTTGTTCAGCCAGCCAAAGTGCCACCGCACGGGCTCGATGGTCAGCGACCCGTACATGTCTTTGATGTACGGGTTTTCGGCGCCCTTGTGGAGCATGTCGAAGCCCATGCCGAAGCAGAGCTCGCATGTAATGTCCATGGAGAGGTAGTGCCACCAGTCGTACAGGTTGCTGGCTTTGCCTTCCTTGCCTTCTGCCGAGATGAGGTCCAGACACTCGCGAACGTTTCGCTGGATAATGTCTTCATACTCGGTGATGGTGGACATGGAAAACAAATGGGCCAGCTCCCGGCGTCGTTTGGCGTGGGCTTTCCGGTCGGCCATTGTGAAGAGCTCGGGTTTGGCGTCGGTCATGCCGCGCAGTTGGTACTGGTAGAACTCGGTCTTGGTGAACTCCGAGTTGACGCCGTAGATGGCGGTGATGGCCTTGCTATCGGAGGTCGAGATCTCGTTGGGCGAGACTCGGACCCATGGTCCGTACTTCAGGTGGAGCTCATGGATGGTCTTTGCACGTACTCCGGCCCAGGTCTTGTATACGCTGCTTCATTGTTAGCGTCTAAGACCTGCATGAGAACACACCAGGGTGAGGAAGGGCTTGAATACTCACAGCCACCATTTGGTGTAGCCTGCCCACCAGGGACCAGGAATGTTTCGCAACGGCGAAAAGAACCACGGGTACAGCAGCCAGTAAATGACAACTAGGGGGAGAAGGACGACGGCGACCTGAGTGGTGACTTCGTAGCTGAGCAATGCCATCTTGACAGAACCAAGTCAACGTCTGTGCTTGCGTGGTTCCAACAATCTGTTCGGCGAGCTCGGTGACTTTACCTACTTATGTACTGTTGAAGTGCTACTTCAGCCCATCAAGGCGGTGAAGTACCAAGTTCGCATGTTTGAGGGGAAGGTCTCCGTATATACGAGACAGTCCCAGCCTTGCGCAGCCACATAGTTGTCCGGCTGTCCCCCGCTGCAGCCAGCATGCCTCCAGGATTCGTTTTGAGCAAGCCACGTCTGAGGGGTCGCGGGACCCGGGACGCTGCAGCTTCGCCAATGGGAATACTCATCAGCGTGATACATGTGCACAGTCTCGGTGCTCCGCCAAAGTCCGCGCCAACTCCGTCTGCTTGATGAACCGCGTGTAGTCATTTAGGTCTTCCTCGGAACGATACGAGGTGATCTGGGGAAAAACGCGGGGATTGGGGTTATGGCGGGTCCTGGAAATGCGAAGCGGCCCCCCATGAGGGCTTAATCTTAATAATGTGAAGGGTATCAAAGCTCCGAGTCGCCTATAGAGTTCTGGACGTCTCGTATTGAGTGAGTACGGAGTAGAGTATTAGGATCCCAGAAGTCATAAAAGAGCTGTCTGGTATTGGAGCACCAGAGATGGGGTAACAAGGCTGCTGATCTGTGACGGCGGACAGCGAGGATGGTGTCCAGCTTTCTTTTCCACAATAGGCCAACATTCGATGCTTGGGAAGGTGGAGAGCAAAAGTGAACCGGTACATTTCCGCTTAGGTCCCCCATTGGAACGAAATCTCTTATGCGGGACGAGCAGGATATCTCGTGGAGTGCCGAGTACACGGGCTTGGATATCTGCAAGGGGACAGATCGCAGGTCTAGGCTATCGATACTGACAGAGTCTGGTGATGGTTCCGACAGGCCTAAAAGAGTGAGCAGTGAGATAGTCTTGCCACTTGCTGTGCGCCCACAGAGGACGATCTTTCGCCTTCGACTTGCCATGGCGATGTGCCGGAAGACATCTTTAGGGCACCGTATCTGGCCCAAGCTTGATGCTGTGACTGTTTGGCCATGTGGGGGAGAGGCGAGCGTGCGGTGGTGAGGCGTGCTCCTTTGAAGTTGACGGCCAGGATCATGACTGTCATAGCAAGTGTGTGATGCCCGGATCCACAACGAGCTGTGACCATATCTCTGCATAGTAGGGATAGAAGTGTAAATAAGACCTGTCGAACTTCCTGATCATGGATCCTGTGAACTCTCGCTTCTAACGGAAGCTTCAATTGGCGGACAGGCCTGGTGGTCTCTAGGAGTTAAGCATACGCGGAGTCCTCAACTCAAACTCAGCTACTCCGTGCTGTCGTGATGTGCGCCAGTATACCCACTGGACAGAGAACAACGCAAGTAGCACAGCAGGCACTGTCAGACGCATCCAGTCTGATCCTGTGCATGTCAGTGCAGAGGCCAGTGGCCTAAAGAGGGTCGCCCACGTGTATAATGCGCCGATGACCGGTCGTAATTTAATCAGTGTCCGGTCTGCAGAGCGTGGCGCCAACAGCAGGTAAGCTGCATCGGTGAGAATGTCCGGTGAAAACTGGTACTGATGGGTAGCACGCAGGATTTCGGGCGCGCTTGTAGTGCTTGGTACCATACTTGCCACAAGGCAGGCCCTGCAGTAAGAGAACCAGATCCCCTGGCCGAGCAACCCTTGGGAGGAACGCCTTGATTGATTTTGGCAGATCGGTGAACAGACATGCTGGCTGATGCGTCGCCACTGAGTTAGAAGAAAGCCAGCCCACCGGAGAGGATGCTATGATCCAGTCAAGTGTGAAGTCGGATGATTGAATACATGAAGCTATCGCTGGGTCCGAACACGGCGTGTGCATCGACCTTAAGATTGCTTAATCTTGCCAGTGTTGAGTCTCTCGCCATCGCAGAGTCAACACACATAGGCGCGAAGTGGCGGCATTTTTCAGCCAGCTGTCGGATAGGCGTCAGTCTCAAGACACGGACACAAGGGATTGTGCCCGTCACTGGCCTCGAGACGGAGGAATAGCGAACCCGAGCGGCTGCTTGAGTTCATTCCATTTTGCATCATTGCTGCTTGGGCAGAAACAATGTGTCCGCCGAGCTGTACCGCTATCGCCTCATTCAAAGTAGATGGCGCATTCAACACGAGCTCTTCGCGGCTTTGTACGCAGCACTTTTTCTCGGATCAAAAGCATGAGGGTTGTCTGAATAGTTCCAGGTCGCAATGAAAGTTGTGAGAGTTGCGTATCAGCTTTCGCAGGCGGGCCAAGCGATTTCGCTGGGAAACAGGCCACTTCTTCCGTACGCCTTGTATTTCCGGCGAAGCTCCATTAACAAAGGCCCGTCTAACTATACAACAGACTGCTTCTTGGTCTTTTCTGAATTGTTATAATGTATTATTTGGCCTGTCGCTCTCCTTGAACAAGCTCTTGTCCGTGCCGTTCGCCTGCCACCATACTCAAGCTCAATGAGACCCTTTAGGCAAATCCGACTCACACACCCATGTCATTCCAACCTCCCAACAATGTCCCGTCGTTCACCAGTACTCAGCGGGCGTACGAAGACACATATTGGCGGCCAAAGAACGGTGGTAATGGACATGCAAGAGCAGGAACGCCGGGCGCCATCACATCCAAGATCAACGACATCTTCGGCGAGACCAAAGGCCTCCCAATGTATAAGGATAAGCCGCATTTCCCGTCAAGTCGGCGCAAAGGCAGGGGTCTGCTGGGGCCGAAACGAGTGCTGATCTTGATCGGCTCTGCGTCGTTACTCTTGCTTTGGTGGATGGGCTGGTTACCCGGGAGCAGTAGGCGATACTATGACCCGGCGGACCATCTCCATCCTTTCTTCCATGACGAGGACTGGTCAGAGCAAAGGGAGGCTGTGAAAGAGGTGTTCATCACATCATGGGAGGGCTACGAGAAATACGCTTGGGGTATGGATGAGTACAATCCCCTATCCCGCAAGGGGAAGAATATGGTCGAGGGTGGAATGGGATGGATCATTGTGGACGCATTGGATACTGCTATGATGATGAACCTGACCTCGCAGGTTGCAAAGGCAAGAGAGTGGATATCTACCTCCCTCTCTTATACAGCGGACCACGAAGTCAATACTTTTGAAACAACTATCCGCATGCTCGGCGGCCTGCTGTCCGCCTACTATATGTCAACCACGTTCCCACACCTCGCGCCGCAACGTGACGATGACGCCAACCAACCGGGGGAAGATCTCTACATTGAGAAGGCCACGGACCTTGCGGACCGTCTCATGGGCGCCTACGAATCGCCCTCAGGCATACCCTACGCGTCTGTGAATCTCAATACGTCCCTAGGCGTGACCTCGCATCTCGATGCTGGCGCATCTTCCACTGCCGAGGCTGCGACTCTGCAACTTGAGATGAAGTACCTCGCCAAGATCACAGGCGAGGCAATCTATTGGCAAAAAGCGGAGCAGGTTATCAAGGTCATCGAGTCTCAGAAGCGCGAAGATGGTCTGTTACCAATTTATATATATCCCTCGACTGGCGAGTTTCGGGGCAACAACATACGTCTAGGATCTCGAGGCGACAGCTACTACGAATATTTGATCAAACAATACCTCCAAACTGGTGGCGTGGAGACCGTCTATCTGGATATGTGGGAAGAGGCACTTGAAGGGATCAAGAAACACTTGATCACCTATTCCAAGCAGGCATCACTGACTATCCTCGCAGAAAGGCAGAATGGCCTTTATGCTCCGCTGACCGCGAAAATGGACCATCTGGTGTGCTTCATGCCTGGAACGATTGCGTTGGCCGTGACGGGTGGACAAACTGTCGAGCAAGCCAAAGCCAGACTCGGAAACCAATGGACAGCCAAACAAGACGAAAATCTGAAACTCGCCGCAGAACTGATGAAAACATGTTGGGGCATGTATAAAGTTACGCCGACTGGCCTTGCGCCTGAGATCGCCTATTTCCACGTGGACAATCCCGCTACCCAGTGGCAAGCACACGTGGATGCAAACTGGTCACCACCAAAGTCTGCGGATCTTTCAGACGATCCTGATGCTCCATGGCGGTCCGATTATGACATTCACACAAACGACGTACACAACCTCCAGAGACCCGAGACGGTTGAGTCGCTCTTCTACATGTATCGCATCACCAAGGATAAAAAGTACCGGCAATGGGGATGGGAAATGTTTGAGGCGTTTCGCGAACACACCAAGGTGGTTGATGAGGTCGCAGGGAAAGTGTATGCATACACTTCGATCGACACCGTCATGGAGAATCCAGTCAAGGAACGAAGACGGCGGGACAACATGGAGAGTTTCTGGTTGGCCGAAACGCTCAAATATTTCTACCTTTTGTTCTCGGATGACGACTTCTTCCCACTGGATACGGTCGTATTCAACACCGAAGCTCACCCGCTGCCCAAGTTTGATATCTCGGGTAGTAAAGTCTTTACGACGGGGTGGCAAAGGAGTAAAGGGGCGCCGGCGGAGCCAAACGTCCAATCCAAGGATGTGAGGGTGGGAACTGGGGTCCGCGATGACGACAATGGCCTGAAAATCGTCCTTGACTTAGGAGAAGGGGAGAAGAAGACGGTCCCTTTCGACCCAAAACAGAAGCAACCAACAGGAGCAGAAAGTTCGGAGTCGCAGTCGCCTACAGGCAGTCAATCCGAGAGGGGGGACAAAGAATAATGACAGCGAGCATTGCTCCTCGGATGGCGGTGAGCAGTCCCGAATTCTGGCGATGAACGATATGTGCCGTCATTTCATGTTGTTCTGGTTGGTTACTCATCATTGATTTTGCATACTTCATAATTGGCGCTGGGCTGTACCAACAATGATTGTCTCTTGCATAAAACAGAGGAGTTCAGCATGCTTTGAGCCGGTGCTGGTCACATTTGCGACGCACATCAGGGTGAAGCAGGAAAAAAGCGAAATGATTAAAGATGCCAGACCTCGAAAGTCACGATTTTCTGGCTTCGAGAATTCACCTTCACCTTCTTTTCCATTCATCACCACCTTCATCTTCCTCCGCTTGAACATAGCAATTCGTGCACCTCGTTCTCCCAATTTCTACACACTGCATTACACAGATTCACATTTTCTACACACAACATCACACAGACATTTCACGTTCGTCAGCCATTAGCCATGGCATCGACCGAAGACAACAAGCTCGCCTTTGTCATGATGGTTCTGAAGAACTCGGACATGAAACCAGACTGGAAGGCAATCGCGGCCGAGGCGGGAATCAGCCTTCCTGGCAACGCGTAAGAGGAACCTCATCTGCTGTTTTCCCTCATCTGCTGTTTTCCC